TTGCCAGTCCATGTAATAACTTGCTGTATCTAACAAATTTAGGGTCATCTGCAAAATCATCAACTATGATTAAAATTGAATGTAGTTTCTTCATCTTCTGTTCTTTCATATAATGAATTATCTTTCTTTGCGTGTTAATTATTTCTTCCAGTTCTTCAGGTTGGTAGGTGTCATAATATAACTTTTCTTTTTCATCATCAACCTTCATATTATCTTTTTGATATTTCTTGACTTCAACGAAGGTAGGGTCATTATGAACCGACGGGCTAAAAATGAATATACGAGCGAAGCAGTCCCTATAAACATTTAGGATAAGGTTTTGGATTAAAACTGTTTTGCCACCCGTTGATGAAGCAACAACAATTGAGCGAAAAGGTAGTTTTGGTACATGTTCATATTTGGATTGTTTGAATTCATAATCAGTTATGTTTATTGGTTTTATAATGGGAACTTCAGGCATAAAATAATAATATTAAAAATATTTAGAAAATAAATTAATATTATTTATTGTATGAAAGCATTGCTATGATATGAATGGTGTCTATCGTAGTAGAACAGGCTCTTTCATCAACTTCAGTCAATAAGTATTGAAGATAATTAGTTTTGTGTCTTGTATGCAATGAAAACCCCAAGTGCTGTGCCCCACCAATATTCTATTATGCATGAAAATAATAAGATTAAATAATTATTTTATCTTATTATTTATATGACTATTATCCATTGCAGTTGTGGTAAAACTTATGATGACAAATATTTATTTAAACATCTAAATTCAAAATATCATCAGAAAATTGTAGAATATAGATGGAATAAAGACGATACAATGAAAAAACTTTACAAGAAAAGAAAGACAGAAATGAAAAAATAATTTATCTTATTATTTAATATGAAAAGGAGTTATACAGATTATATTAATATAATAGATGAAATGGAGAATATAGAACAAGCACTAATAACCAATAATAAAATTAAGAAATGTTGTTATTATTCATTAGAATTAATTAAGCTAGGAATCCAATATATCAAAAATAAAAATGTAAATATTAATATAAATGCCAAAAAAGAAAAACAAAAATAATAAGACAGGTTTAAGTGTTTCATCAACTGATGAAGAAATTGTTAAAGAAACATCAGTTATTGAGGTTGTTTGTCCTACATGCAAAAGAATGTTAGAACTTAAGAATGAGTTACAAATAGAAAAGAAAGGAAATTGTAAATGTTCGTGTATTCCAACAAGTTTCAAAATTAGTAAAAATGATAAGAAAATGAATATTGATAAAACTAAAGACAGTATCAACTTAGAAACAGATGTTCATAATATTACTTTTAAATGGGGTAGGCATGCATCACCATCCGATAATGGTGATAACGAAACGCAGGAAACTATTAAACAAATGATGAAAAAATTAGTATTTAAAGAGTAGAATTAACATAATTTAAACATTTAGTTTTATAATATAGTATATATGGAAGGTGTGGATAAACTAATTTTGAAAATTGATGAAATAATGGAACAAAATAAACGCATTTATCAACTGTTAGAAAGTATGAAGAAACCAGCTTACAATAATACTAATAATTACCAACCAAAAGAAGTTGATAGAGAGAGCACTGAATACAAGAATAAACGAAATGTATATATTAAAAAACTTAATGAAAAAGTTATTAAAGAACCTAAACAATCAAGTCTGGATTTCTACCAAGTCAAGTATATTGAAGATACCAAGAAATATGTTTAATCATTAACTAACAAAATTTCGTGTCTCAGAAGTGGTTTGTTTATTCCTGCTACTCTGTAAGTTTTATTACCCATAATATCATATTCAATTTTATCAACATTGAGTATTTTATTAGACCATTTAGAGTTATACTCTTTTCTGTCGGTGTAATTGCCCCTTTTCTTTTGGAACACTTTTATCTTATCGTTCTCCTGTATTCTGGGATACTTTCTTTTGTTCTTTTCTCGTAGTTTCAGATTGACCTTTACATTTATTTCATTGTCGTCCTTGTGTGCTTCGGTTGGTGTCATCCTTGTTGACGAGTGTAATGTGCTGTTATACTGTTTCAATGCTGGTGTTAAGGCATCGGTCCATTTCATATTATTAAACCTAACTCTATCGTGAATTTTGTTTTTCATCGTCCTAATAAAACGTTCGGCTACATTTGCGTGTGTCTTCGTTATTATGTGTTTGATACCTTCGCTGTTGAAGAAATCCTGAACTTGGTTTTTGGTTGCAAACGCTCCATCATCATCAGAATACACAGGCATCGGGTAACCCATCTTTTTAAAACTTGCTCTAAGCGCCTTCAAAACGTGCTCTCCGTCTCTTTCCTCCATCGGAATTACATCTGCTAATTTACTGAAGATGTCAATCACGACTAAAGCATACTGTGGAATGTTCTTGTCTTTAGCTAAAGGTGACATATGCATTATGTCTATTTGATATTCATATCGTGCGAACGGTGCGGTGTAGGAATTAGTGCCTCTGTAGTTCTTGATTTGTTTATTTGGTTGTTTCTGTAAGAAAGACTTTACATCTTCTAATGTTATCGTTGGGTCTTCTTCCTTTGCCTTCTTGTGTGTTGCTTGTGTGCTTCCGAAACCATCATCTAAATCATAATAGATGTTGCTGATTATTTGGTCTTTCGTTAATCTTGCCATTATATTATTTGTTAGAAAATATTTTTATCAACATAAACCCCCACCCCTTAACATAAAATAACTTAAAGAAATATTAACTTATAATATTAAGAAGTGAAATGCCAATGATAGGAGTGACAGAAAAAGAGCTGGAACAGGATAGAAAGATAATATTGAGTTTCATTAAGGATAATCCCTATCCATCATATAAACAAGTCATTGAAATAATTAAAAACGATAAAACAATGGAAGATATATATCTAGATATGTTCGCTGAGTATGGAGAACAAAATCATCAATGGATAAAAGAGATTTACGAAAACATAATGAAAGAAGAACTCGTTAAACATAATGGTAATAGTATTAATGAAAGAGGAGGAATGACAACAATGCATTGTAATTATTATACTTTGATATCAGTGTTGCGTTATTTAATACAACAAAGAGCACCAATGAAAGATTATGACGTTAACTTAATCTGGTATAATATCAGAAACATCTTAAGCAGTTCTTGGAACAACATAGGAGACTGGAAACACTGAAAATAGGTTTATTCATATTATTCTATAACTATAATATGATTACAACAAAGTTTTATAATCTAACACTGCATTTAAATGAAACCTGAAACCCCCAGCTAAAAACTACTTAAAGAAAAAATAATATAATATAATAAGAGACAATGAGTGAGAAATGGACTAACTTACCTGTTGATATATTAAAAAATATAATTTCATATAAATTAGGGGAACCTGAGTATTTGAATATAAAACATAATCATATTGAGACATTAAAGAGAATACAACAGCGATATAAATTTAAAAGAACTGAAACAAAAAGAAAGACAAAGCGCTATACTGTTGAAGATGGCGATGATTTCAAGAGACACATAATTAAGTATTACATTTCAAGAAATATACCTTTAAGCATTGGAAGCATCGAAGATATAGTTTTTAATGAAAATGAAAACTTAGATTGTTTGTTAGATGACATTGAAACCGATAACGGTTATGAAGCAGTGATAATAGTTGAGGTATGTTTATTTGTGAGGGGTCATCAAGACGATGATTCTAGAACTTTTACGTTCTTTTCTCATAGTGATGATGTTGTAGATAATGTAACCATAGATAATTTAACTGAAGTAATGATGGCGTCGTATCAAGAAATAAACAGTTGTATTGATGAAGAAAGAAGTAGAACGGAGTTTGGAGGAGTCAAAAGCATAAAGTTTAAGCTAATTGTTGATGAACCTGTATAATTCAAAACTAAACCATAATTATATCATTTATATTCTTATATGTTATAATTATAGTGAACTTTTAATCTATAAATACCCCTGAATTAATTTAAAGACTAGACCCCTTAATATTTAAGGATATATGACTGACAAAAAGCAGTGTTCAAAATGTAAAGTCATTCAACCGCTAGAAAGGTTCAAAGAAGAAAGGAAACAATGTAATATATGTCTCGAAGCAAACAGAGATACAGAGAAAGAAATAAAGAAACACTTAGCCAAAAAGCGAAGGAATATTATGAAAATAATAAAGAACACAAACAGCAATACCAGAAAGAACACAGTAAAGAATACAACCTACGAAAAATTGAATGCCAATATTGTAGGTGTACGGTCTCACTTAGTCAGAAAGCAAAACACGAAAGAACCAAAAAACACATCAACAATGTTAAGAATCCAAAACCACCAAAGACTGAAGAAGCGACAAAACAATACAAACAGCAAACAACACAGGAAGAGATAAGAGATTACATTGAAACCTCATCAGATTTTGAATACGACATAAACAAAGAATAGGAAAACAGAAGACCCGCCAACACCCCAATCGATGAAACTACTAAAAGTTCAAACCTCTTTCAAAACGAAATAAACCATCACCCCGAGAAAGACAAAATGAAACATGGCATGAAACATGGGTAGTGAAAACGAATAAGATGGTTAAACTGTTGAAAAACAATACTCCAAGAAAACCCCCAACATTTGACATTTTCCCCTTAGGACCAGCCTTTTCTACATTTTTTGGGGGTGGGGTAGGGGTGGGGTGGGGTGGGGTGGGGTGGGGTGGAGTGGGGTGGGTGGGTGGGTGGGTGGGTGGGTGGGTCGGTGCGGTGGGGCGCGGTGGGGTTCGGTGGGGTTGGGTTGGGTCGGGTTCGGTCTGTCGGTGGGTGGGTGTGGGTTGGATGATTGGTCGATCGGTCGGACGTGCTTGCTTGGATATTGCGGTTTTCCTTAACCAAGCACAAAAAGGGCAGGTTGGGCACGTTAAACGGATTGGGGCATGTTGAATGGGTTTGGCTTTTTTTTGGTTAGTTTTGCGTTGCTTGAGCAAATTTTGACCATCCCTGCCTGGCCCTTGCCGGAAACGTCCTGACGTTCATCGTGCACTGCATGTCCCCAAAAGTTTGGTCTTGGCCCAGACAGAAACAGAAGCACCAAGCAAGAAACCGTGCTTGGGCCTAAGGTGAACCGCAAGGCACTACAGCGATGCAACACCGGTTGCCCCATGGGATAATGGGGAACCCTCAAACCTTTAGACTCCGAAACTCAAGAAACAACCAGAAACGTCAACACACCCGTTGAGGGAACCTCGGTCCTCACCAATCAGTGCCTCTTGCAGCTGGCTCATCTGCTTCACGATCACCTGAGTCACAATAGGATGGCATGCCCAAAACCTACGGCAAAGAATCAAATGGGCTTCTTCATGAAATCCAATTTAGGCAAAGGGTAAGGATGCTAGAATGCACCCAGAATGCATCATAGAATGCAGTTGAAATTGCACCCAGGGATGGGAGGGGGGGAGGGCGAGGATATGGGAGAAGGGGGGCGCAGGGGAGGGAAGGGGAGAGAGAGGGGGAGAGGGGGGGGGGAGGGAGAAGAGAAGGGGAGAAGAGAGGGGGAGAAGCCTGAGGGAGAAGCCTGAGGGAGAAAAGAGGGGGCGAAGAGAGGGGGGGAGAGGATTATAAAATATTGATGTTCATGCATGATTATGCAGCTGGTTTGCGGGTGCAGTATTGTCATGCAAAAGATGTTTCTCGAAGTGTTTTTTGCAGTTTTGAAGGTGTCGGGCCCAAATCCAAAAATGCAAACAAAATGCATGCACAATGCGTACCAAAGACACACAACATGCACAAAACGCAGCTGTCTTGCATGTTCCGCATTGTTATGCAACAACATGCATGTCTCCGAAAGCTTCTTGCATTGTAGGGTGGCCGTTCACAATCAGACAAATGCATAAAACAAATGCACACAATGCACCAAGCATGCACCCTGATTTTCTCTCCCAGTCAAAATGCACAACACATGCAGACGCAACTTCAGCACGCATTCTAGATAATACACCCTGGCTCCGGCTCATTGGATTCAAGGCTTCTTGCCGCACGCGCAAGTCGCTGGGACTGAACCTCAGCTTCCCTCTAATTAGTGGTTTGGACTGGCGGCTTCGTGGTTAAGGAGGCTTTCCAACCTTCCCTTTACAAGAACGAGGGACACAAATCCCAATCCAAACCACCAAACAAGGGTAGCCTGAGAACCTTCGTTGCATTTGCTTTTAAGCCCCCTGGAAAAAAAGAAGAAGAAGAAAAAACATATGTCCAGCAGTGATACATTCCCTGCAAAACCAACAAGTGCTGTTGCTTCTGAAAAAAATGGCAGCGCTTCACTTGCTGTCTTATTGGCCCTCCCGCCTCCCGCAGCTGCATCTCCATGTTTGTGGCACTGTCCCGCATGATCTCCGAGCGCGTGAAGGTGTGCAAGCTCTCCGCGCTGGTGTGCATCGTCTCCTTGCTCGAATGACGGGCAGCGTGGGTGCACACTCGCTCACTCACTCACACACACAACACACAACACACAACACACAACACACAACACACAACACACACACACATTATTTGAGTTATCCCCAGAAGCCGGGCCACACTCAATTTTGTTTCGGCCTTCATGTCAACTCCCAAACAAACAAAGAGACCACCTCCCCCCTCCCCACGAAAAATCAACACACATGCAAAAGCCCGCAAGTTGGCTGCCCTCTCCTGGGCATTGGTCAACATGTCCATGATCATCATGTTCTGGCGGCGCACGTCCGCCATGCACTCCTCCTGCACCTGGCCCAGTGAAAACCCAAGAAATCCCTCTGGAGAAGCCACTGGAAAAACCGATGGTTGAAACGCAATGGAAACCACCGGCAGGTTTCAGTGAATTCTGGAAAAATCTGTCCAACGCCTTGGCATCCCTTGAGGATATTTACCATCCACTGACAGGTTCTTGTGGGGTTCGAGGGAAGGTTGGTTAATCCCCACATTCCCTTAGAACCAGCAGGGAAATAGCCACGCTACGGTTGGAAGGTTCCGGAACTGGCCCTGGGTGTGCACTCGGCAAACTCCCCCCCCCCCCCCGATTCCCCCCCTGGACCCCTCTCAGAAGCAAAACAACAACGTTTTGTTGGGAATTTCCAGATGGAACCAGGAGCGCCCTCATCTTCAGCTCCTAGGATTTCTCGTTGGCGTCCGCGGAGGAGCGCGGCCCCGGCTCCACCCCCTTCCCCCCGTCCGGCCGCCGAGCTCTTCTCCGTGGCGTCCACGGTGGCGTTGCCCTGGGCCGCCAACGTGGCCAGGTCCTCAGATCTGGGGAGTTGATCCACAAGGGACTGGGTTCATCTGCGCAGTCCCCTTTGGATCAACCCCCACATCTCCACAGACGAACCGATTTCCAGGGGCAGAGACGACACGCATTCCATCAAAAGGTCCTTTATTGATTCAATAAATCACATAAATACCATGGGATGAGTGCTTGGAAGTGGGGAGGGAACAGCCCTTGTGGGCCTCCAATCCCTTTTGGCTTCCGCTAAAACACAACACCATGCTACCAGGGCTGCCTGGCGCAAGTTCGTCAGCAGCTGCGCGGAGCTGTCCGTCTGGCTCTTGCACACTGTGCCGCTCACCTTTCCATGGAAAATGCTCTGGTGGCCCCTGTCTTGTTGAAGCTCTGAGTACTCAATGCGCATTTGACCCTTCCCCTTCAAGTATCCACCATTCAACTAGTTTATGCAGTTCTGTGTTTAGGGCCTCCAGTAGAGAGGTTAGAATAAGGGTACCCTTTTTTCTGTAGTCTAGTTTAGAAGGGGAACCCTCCCCCCAAAAAGGGTAAAAGGGCACTACTGGGGGACCTAGTTGCTGATAGACTGAACGTGCACTTACAACGGCAACTTGCCCTTTGCATCACATGGTAAGTGGTGGGCTTAAAACGTAGCGTTTGCCCACCCAAAACGGCTTGCTGCCGAGTAGGATGGCAAGGGAGACCGGAGTTGACAATGCGACCACTCTCTCACTGTTCTTCAACCATCGGTCTCATCCTGAGCATGGGAGCCAGGACATTTCTTGAGCTGTGCGCCACCGCAGTTTGTCTCCCAGTGGGCCTCTGTCATCTTGCGCTCCATGGTACTCTCCATCTCAACCAGACGGCGCTGCGTGAACTCATTGCCCGAGTCCACCTTCTTCATCATGGTGTCCTACACGTTTTCCCCACTGTGACCACCAGTCCACAAACTGCCGTGCCATCACTTTACACATAGCTCTTGCCCACCCCCAACCATACCCAACCCAAACCATCCCAACCCCTCCTGGCTGCCCGATACCTTCTGCAGCACCGAGTGGGACTCCCTGGTCTGCTTCAGCAAGTCCTGCTGGGTGGCGTCCAGCTTTTGCAGCATCATGCCTTCGGGCTTGGACGTTTGGAGTGACGGGCTAAGGGCTGTCAAGGACCGGGGAACCACCCCCCTTTCGTCTCTTTCTCTTGCGTTTTGCTTTTTGCGGCTTTCTTTTTTGGCGGCAAGGAGAGACAAGCTATGATTTCAAGGGCGTTCTGAGCTGCTGGAGGAGGTGTTCACCGAGTCCAGGAGGGCCTGCTTGGTAGTGTCGTTGGCCCCGGTGATGTTACACACCAAGGTGTCCACGCCCACCTGAAATTCGTTTCAGCCCTCGCCAACATGGGGTGGCAGGCCTTGCTTCTCTTGGCCCATGAAAGGCTAATGGGGGCACACACAAAAAATAAGATGTTCAGATTGAGCCTGCCCTAAACTATGAACTTTGTTTTGAGACCCCAGCAAACCCCAAGCCAGGTCCTCAGGTAGAACCACCTGAAATGGCCAGCAGGAATCGGCTTCGAGCGCAACCTATATTAAGACAGGGGAAGCAGGGGTGTTCAGCCCACTGGGGTCGCCTACCGATTTCCGGGGGCAATCCACATCCACATTCTCCGGCTGATTTAGGGCAGCAGGTCATGAAACTTGTGAGTTTGGGGTGCCGGGCATGTTTTTCTTGAAGGTACCCTTTCCAGGTTGGCCGCAATACGGCGACTTGTAGGACAAATCAAATGGTTGAGAAGGTGCCTCCCGGGAAACAAATCCCATCTCGGGCGCGTTCTGCGAACTGAGCATCCTAATGGCCAGGAGGAAAGGAAAGACAAACTCTCCACAGCCCGGCATCCCAATCACCTCACCTTGTGCGCGTCCAGCTTGTGCACCACACTTTCCTGCGAGGAGTCCAACTTGTGCAGCAACACCTGGCCGAGGAACAGTTTCACTGCAAGGCATCGCCACAAAGCGGAACAATGGACACCAGCTACATGTTGTCAAAATGCGCGGACCACACAAACTGTGATTTCCATTAGTTTCCGTTTAAACCAAGCTGAAAAAGGGTACCCTCAACACACACACACACACACACACCCAAAGCAAGCAACGCCAACTGCCAGGTTGGGCTACCCTCATCTGACCAACTGAAAGCCGAAAGCCGAGTGAGGTCGTGTCTTCTGCTTTGCTGCTTTTCACACCATCGCCATTTGCGAACTCAGAGGGGAGCAAGGGAGCAACAGCTCGGATGGACAAACTCAGCTTCTGTTTGTTTGGAGCCACTGACAAAACAACGCTTCGCCTGGTGTCCAAGGCGGACTTTACCGAGAACCTTCAAACAGAAATCCGCCCCCTGCCTTCAAAAGCCGTCCTCCCCAAAACCAAATCCATGTGGCAATGTCAAATGCTGAATTCAAAGTGTCCTTGAGCCATGAAGTTCACCAACGTGACAACCAACCGGATCATCAAAATCCCCCCCCCCTTCCCCCAAAACCCAACCAAACCCCCTCCCCCCACACACAAAAAAAACAAAAACTAAAACAATCCCCCCCAAAAAGAAATCCGCCTGACAGGCGTTCACCGTCTGCAAGAGCGCCACCTGGGAGAAGTCCATTCTCTGACTGATGGCCTCCTGCGTGTTCTCCAGCTGCCGCTGCAGGTTGTCCTCCATAAACCTCGGGCGTAACGTCGGCTTCAGCCAGACGCCGCATGCTCGTCCAAATGGCGCGACCAAATGGATGAATCGGAGCCCCGAAAACGGCAACGCGTTCACGTTGCTTTCCTTTTTACACTGTGCAAAAGGTCCTTTACTCAAAGGGTACCCCAACGAAAAGCAAAAACGCGCGCGCACGCGCACGTTCACCCCGGCAAATACGTTTTGGCGTGCCAAGAAGCTGGAGCTTGGTCATCACCGCATCCTGGAAAGGCATGAGGTATCGCTCCTGGGTGCGGTAGGTCTGATTCAAACAAAAGCAAAGACCGTCCATCCCCTTGCTTCCTTCCGGAAAACCAAAATCAAAATATGCTTCCTTTTGAACCAGGACCCACGTCATTCCCTGTGCCAAAATTAGGATTCGGACCCACAATGGGTTTTGTTTTCCATGTGGTTTCCCTTCAAGCCAAACTTTAAGCAGGCACCGAGCCTGCAAAAAGCACCCACCATTGGACGGCATTTAGGGGGTGGGAAACCCGCTTACCCTCCGTTTATAGAGGTTTGCTGTTCAACCGCATGAAACCAGGGTAACGAAACCGAAGCACCTCTCTTTGGCCCCGAACCACCCCTCCTCCTCCCCCTTAGTGCAGCCAATGGCGCCATGGCGTTGTTGATGTGCTCCTCCACCGAGCCCATGTCGCCCATGAACCCAGCCACCGGGGGCGTAGACATCCCGGCCATCCCGGCCATCGACATGGGCATGGCCCCAGGAAGGCTGTGAAGCAGGCCCTGCCGGTTGCATTGCCAGCAACAATCTACTGGAATTTGCTGGGTTGTGGCGAACTTTGTGTATGAAACTTGTCCAAGAAAATCGCAGGAAGTTCTACGAATGCTTGTGTTTGGTGAGTGTTTGGCAAATGTCCGGTGCAGATTCCTGTGGATGGTTTCTACGAATCATGGCTTAAACCCTGGATATTTACCACCCCATGGTGTTTACCGCTGTTTTGAGCCACTATTGTTTCAGCTTTAGGCATCCTCATCCTCCTTTAAGGCCCCGGATGTGGTTGCTTTAAACAAACTTTGCCTGCCCAACCCGCCTTGCCAGTCATGCGCTCCTTGTTGGCCTCCAGCAACTTCTTGAATGGGTCCTCCTTCTCCACAGACCCGCCTTGATCCTGCGAACACTTGGCCGCTTTCCTCGCTTCCATCCCTGGGCCTCAAGCCTGCCTTCTTGCCTTGGGCCAAATTGGCAGGATGGCCAACTTCTAGCTTCAACGTGTTTTCACACCCCTTTCACCAGCCTCCTGTTGGCTTCCCTTTAAAGGGGCCAGGGTTGAGGCGTTTCACTCCAGTCATGGAAGCTGAGAGGAGGGCTGCGTAAGACTACTTTCCTTTTGGGAGAGGCGCCTGTCTACTTCCATGGTCGTTGAAAAACGGGTAAACTTGATGGTGCGAAATCGGCAGGGAATGAGACATGGAAAGACCCCTATAAATCTATAAAGCAATCAACTGGTGGTTTCCTTTGTTCAGTAATCCCAAAACGGTTCCTTCCATTTCTCATTCCCTGCCGATTTCGCACCGATCGCAAGCTTTGCCCCGTCCTGGCCCATGTTCATCTTCTCGGAGATCCAGCGACGCTGCGAGGACTCAATGAGCGTCCACGGCAGGTTCAGCTCCATGCAACGCTCTGCGTTCAGGCGCTCCAGCACTGCCTCGCTCGTGATTGAACGGTTTCTCAAGGGATGCCTCCAAAAGCAACCTTGCTCTAATCGCTTCCCCCTATTACATATACATTGGGTTGTGCACAATTACTTCTCCCGAAAACTGCCGCCCTTCTGCAAACCTTCCGCGCCCATTGTAAATCCACACGCAAGTTATCGCTGGTTTTTGGTCAATGTTTTCGGTTGCTGGCCCTTCCGCATCTCCTCCGCGGCCCTTCCACGTCTCTTCCGCGCACACAGCGGGAAGCTCATGCCATGTAAGCCTGGAAATTCGCAAAATGTAAATATGAATTTACATATGCAAAAGGTAAACATGAATTTAGGATGTTCAATAAATGTGCTGGAATACACTCAATATGACCAGGGGCGGGATTGGCGCGGAATCGGCAGTCTTAGTATTGGTTTAGAATTGGAAAATTCTAAAAGTAGTATTGCGGATCCGGGGGTCTGGAAAAAGTCGTTTATTAATTGGGTGTGATCTTTTAAAGGGACACCCAGAACCCTGTTGAAACAAACACAATGGGCCGGGGCGGATTAGCCTGAAATTCAACGTGTTCCATGCCGCCCAAAGCGGGCGGCATGCCCCAAAGCCCCGAGGGGCCGTGTTGGTGACACCGTTCTCCACCATGAGCCGCAGCAGGCGGTCGGTGTGGGCGCTCATGCCGAGAGTGACCATGGTCTCAGAGACAACCTCCACCAGTTTCTCCTTGCTGAGGCGTCGCCCGTCCAAATTGAATTGGGCCCGAAAATGCTGACCATGGACGCTCCCACGTTCCAACTTGGAACTCCCCTCCCCAGCCAAAATGGACCAAAGGGCCGGCTGATTCAACTATGAAGGGAAATTGGAGTCGCTTTTGGGGAGAAACAAAGGGCTCATCTATCAAATCACCGTGCTCTGCCATGCTATACCAACAAATCATATCAAGTTGTCAATTAAATAACTCGGATCATTGCAAAAATGAATCTAGAATTCCCCAAATGGGCGCCGGTCCAATCGGGCGGAACAAGCACAACACAAAAAATATGGGTTTCACCGCAGGGCACCCGCCATGTTGGGAAAAGAAATAATAATATGAATATCCGAACCAACTACGCAACAACAATCTTGAATTCTCTCCAACAAGCACCCGTCCCTGTCAACAACATAGCGCAATGTCTGTATTAGTTGGTTTGATTAGAATACGGACATTAGTTTCAAACCAAAGTTGGTTATTTGCTTCCACTGGCTAGACGTCTGCCTCACAGACAAGTCGAAACAACTTGCACCGCGTGGGGGGTGTGCATAGTTTTACGGCGACATGCAGAATTCATGGCATTTTTCACATTTACACGTGACGGCCACATCTGGCTCAAACCACTTGTTCTCTGACCTTGCTCAGGATTAGTCCATAGCTGGGTACAAAGGGGATTTCTGTTCGGAACTCTTGCGTCCGTGTTACAGGACAGTACAACCATTGTCGTTGGGACACATTGCTGCGTCCCCTCGGTTCTCAGTTTGGGTGTGCGTGCATTTGGTGTGTGCGCGCATGTGTGTGTTTGCATCCTTGCGTGATGTTTTGCTTTTCGTTTGTCCGTCTATCCCTCCGTCTGTCCGTCTGCATGTATTGAGAATAATTGCAGTAGTTAGCAACAAACGGGGCGAGACTTCAAAAGCACCCATGCCAGGTGATTTGTTACGAAGCATTGGAATTCTTACACAAAATGTTGATAATCAAAGGAAGTCTAGTTCGAAAACTTCTGTAAAACGAAAAATGGAGTTAATAACATGCGAAACGCGCGAAGGGTAGCTCTGTTTTGCGCACGGGTTCGCCACGGTCTCGCCGCGGGTTCGCCATGGTCTCGCGACGGGTTCGGAAAGTTGCCCAATGGCACGGCCGCGCAAGGTTTTCGCTAGGTTTCAATTGCGTGGCAGGCAGCACTTTGTCAACGCGAGGCGCAGATGTCGTGACAGGCGCAGCATTTTGTTCTCATGGGCCACAGAATTCGTGACAGGCGCAGCACTTTGGGAAGGTGAGTCGCGAGGTCGTGAATCGCATCTTAGTGCACGCGCAAACTGCTGCGTGCCGATTTCGTGGCAGGCGCCTGATGTTCCTACTCTGAGGTGCAGATTTCGTGGCACTCTCGCAAGGTCAAGAGCAGGTTTCGTGGCAGGCGCAACACTTTGCAAGGTCCAGTATACATTTCGTGGCAGGCGCAGCGCTTTCCCAAGGTCAAGTTCGCAAGGTCAGATAGATAGATAGATAGATAGATAGATAGATAAGTAGACAGATAGGTAGAACAACTGCCAAAGACCGAGAGGGAGAGAGAGAAAGAAAAGATACAGACGGAGAAAGCAAAAAAGAAAGCAAGAAAGAAAGAATGCAAAGGACACCCGACCTGCCAACTCTGCGCGCCGGCATGGGGCGGGGATGTTTGTCTCTCCTCCTATAGGCACATGTCCTTTCTAGAAACTTCCACCCTTCAGCTCTGCTGGGGTACACCTAGAACAAACTAACTTGGATGTCCTTAAAAGGCACCCGTCCCTTCGGAAATCATTCTAACGATTAGAATGCTTGAAAAATCCCACGTCGATGAGCAACGAATGGATGGTACTCACTAAAAGGCACCGGTCTATTTGGGAATGCTTGGAACAGTTTCTCATAAACAAAACTAGAATAGCAAGAATAAGTAGAATATTACAACAAAGCTGCACCTACAAGGTGCCCGTTCCCTCGGGAGCAATCGAAATAGTTAGATGTTGTTCTTACAACTATGTAAATATATACATATATATATATATATGTATATATCTAGTATCAGTATACTTTTAACAACACATGTTCAATAAGCAAACAGGAATGCGGGGAATCCCCATACGGCACCCGTCGCTGTTGAAACCACTCGCATCAATATTGCGTTTGACACACTTAGAGCATCACAGCCCCATCTTCTCTCCAGCATTCTAGTTGTCTTAAATACTACGACGCAATGGAAGAAATAGAAAGCCAATGAATCGGGAAATTGTCAAAAGGCACAACTAGAAAATAGAAAAATATGAATCTGGAAGCCCAAAAAGAGCACCCGTCCCTCATTCCCCCAAAGGCAGCCGTAAGGGCTTTGCTTGGTCTTCGTTTTAATACCTCTCATTCACTAGCGCGATTAAATGACTAGATAAAAATAACGACACCTATGGACACACGCGAACCGGGAACTCCCCCAAAGGCACCAGTCCTTTCGGGAATAAGTAGAACAAAAACAATGACTAGAAAGAACCTAGGGGTACTTGCCCTAATCATTATAACTTTAAACTACCATGAACTGAAAACACCGAGGGCAATGTTTCCCCGAATAGCTGAAAGCTAAGGGGTTCTAACTTCTAAAGAGGGTCAAGTAATTAATGCTGTTAGGGTGTTCTGTTTGGGAGCTGTTTGTGGCGCAGGCGACGGTGCTGGCGCAGTTTCGCAAAATTGACCGTAGGGTGCTACAGGGCATGCAGTTTGGGGGCGCATGTTTACCAGATTGACGGCAGAGTGCTGGGGGCATGCAGTTCGGGGTGCTGGCGAGGGTCCTGTTTTGTGGTGTGGCGTTTCTGCAAGATTGATGGCAGGCTTGGGGGCATGACTTAGTAATACTAATTGCACGAGACATATGTTTTAAACAAAGAGAATCCGGAGTTTCCCAAAGTTAGCCCGTCCCGTAGAAAGTGGCAACAATTCCGGCCTCCTCTCACACCAAAAACACGCGGGGTCGATTTGTCCAGATCCACATTATTTGACATTTGCCGCCTGTGAGCCCTTTGACTGCTATTGGGTGACCTCGCGCTAGTCACACTAAACTAAGGATCGATCTTGAACCCACCATGTCCCTCCAAACACTGTTGAACGAACCTCAGGCGAGCAAAAAGAACGTCAGACTTTTACCACCAACATGGTAAAGGCTTGTATGGGCCTCACCTTTGTATCACCAACATGGTAAAGACTTGTATGGGTCTTACCTAGTGGAACCACCTGAATTGGCCACGAGTTAGTTGATGGTAAATGGGACGACACAAGCAGCGTTGGTTGACTTGCATCCGTGTCTTCAACTTTTAACCTAGCATTAGGAAAAAAATCCAGATTAACAGGGGTCCCTGAAACCTTTTGATTCCTTTCTAAATGGCCATGGGTCAAAACCCGTACCCCCAGCGAACATCCCAATCCCCACTAAAATAGACTAAAATGGGTGGTGCACCTACCCAAAAATGGAACCATTGGTGTTGACCCACGGCCAAATACCAACCGCGCGTTTCCTTTTGTGATTCAGACCTCCCGTCCTCGCTCTCCGCTTCCTCCCCGAAGCCGAGGCCGTAGTCGGAGGCGCGGCCGGTGGCCTTCCCGTCGAGCACGGACTTGGCCCTGAGCTCCTCCTCCGCCACCTCCGAAGCCAACCGCTGAACCGGACCCATGGGACCCATGGGACCTTGGCCCAAGCTCTGGAGTCGGAGGGGAGGGATCCAGAAACCTTCCGGGACCCGTGGGGTGGTCGGGCGTGTATTTGAGGGCACCAGTTTTGGATGCTTTCAAAGGCAAGCCAGACGAAAACCCACCGAAGATGATATATTGTCACCTATTTTAAGACACGTCCGTGTGTCAATTTCTGGTCAAACCTCTTTGTGGGTTCCGAAGGGTGGGGCTTGGGCCGCACCTCGTCAGTGGGGGACAGACCGTAGAGCTCCCGGGCCGCTTCCAGCTTGCGCTGGTGCACCATCTTCATGCGCTGCATCCAGATGATGAAGGTGAACCTTGCCAAGAACTTCGCCAAAGGATTGGGAAATTCCGGAAAGAAAAAGAGGGGGTTGCTTTGGCAAGCGCCTGGAAATCCCATGAGAAACCTCTCTCTCGATTGGGTTTGTGTTGTTTGAGGCTTGGTACTTGACAGGGAGGGGAAACCACGTCCCCCGATTCCGACACCCCATTCCAGGCGAGCAACTTGGAGACGAGGTTCAAGACCACCCAGCCCAGCTCGATGACCAGAGGGTCAGTGATGAGCCCGAAACCCTCCACACTCAGCGAGAACCATATTGGGAAGGGGAACCAAGTCACGATTAGCAGCAAGGACAGCTTGCGGAAGTCCGAGTCCCCATTGAACGCGCCCTCCTCTCCCTCACTGTTCTCCTTGATCTGCAGAACGTTGTGGTAGAACATGATGAATGCCAACCTGCCAAAGGCATTGGCCTTTGGATGAAATATGGGCCTTGCCGAACCTGCGCCCCCTAAAACAGCCTTAAACCCCGGGCAAAACCCCGGCGGCGAAAAACCGTCGTCCGCCTCAAAATCCCAAACCCGCACCTCATCATTTCTCATGCCCCCCCCCCCTGAACAGAAAAACAAACACTTTGCAGGAGACCTCATTTCAGTGCCGATTGAGGGATACATTCAACCACCTGGCCCATCTTTGCGCCCTGAAGCACCAGGACACTTGTGAGCTGGGGCTGGCCCCTCATGTACCCTGAACTTCAAGAATTATGTTCCCTTTGCTTACCCTCTTCCTTGTGAGAGCGTGACCAGTTGTCCCACCCCTGGCATCTGCGTACACAGAATTGGATTCACAGAAGGCGCTTTCGCTCGCTCTGAATCAATGCAATCGATTCGCCCGGAAAATTCAAAGGCAAAAAGCCCCATGCATATCGACTTTTACTGACCCGGACAGGGGGATGCCTGCCCGTGTCCACCAATTTCAAAAACTCCGCAGGCTCGTTCCTGAAATGCATATCCGACCAGGTGCGACCAACCATTTTGGAGTAGCCTTTGAAATGGGTCTGAAGTTTGATTGGGGACCATGGGATTTATGTCCAACCACCCGAGGGGTTCACGGCCAAACCCAATAGCCACATCGATGATTATGTCCACCAACCACGGTTTGAGGGGACAGCCAATCCGCAGGGGGTTCCCCGATTTTGGGTGAGACAAACCCGGGGGCCCAATCCTACGAAATGCGACCTCGGCACATGATGCCGAAGGCGTACCAGGCAAAGCGCAAGGCATCCGCGGTGAACATCGAGGCAGTCCCGCAGAGCAGAACTGCCACCGAGAGCCTGAGGGCCGTGTCTTAACATCGGGGACCCCAAACAAGTAAACAAACATATAAGCAAGTGCATCAAGCAAGAAGACAAGCTCTAGGGAATATATGAATCAGCAATAACGTTGACCCCATATTAATCAACACCATTTCTTAATACAGGGTGTTTCTGGGTTTAGTGGGGATTCATCACTTTTGGAGGCCGCATGCAAATGAACTGGGGTTGATTAAGTTTACCCTATTTTTGGAGTTGCTTTTTGGTTGTTCTCCTCCATGAATTGCTGGGCGAGGTCCGGCCATGTTCTGTTTGGAGTGCCTACCTAGCTAGCTAGCACACGACCAACTAATAGGGTTCCCCCTTATAACCCCTACAAACTTCAAGACAGCCCCTTCTGTCCAATTAATCCACAACAAATTCACCACCAGGGATACAAATTGAAAACAACTTGTTTGTTGGTTGATCTTGAAGGGTTTACCCTTCCCACAAAAGAAAAAAAGACACCAGCTTCTGGAAATGTTAGTTGTGTCCAAAACACTGGTGTTCGGTGGATTTCTGAATGGGTCGAGATTTAATTTAGGAGCTGTTGGTTTTATTTTGGGAGTTTTGTTCGTTCGTCCTGGCTAGTAAAATGCTGTATTTTACAGCATTTTTCTCACGGAATGCACGCATTTTACGCTAGTCCGGCAACATCATCAGCATCTTGTTCAACATCCCCCGCATGTCCAGCCAACATCCCCAGCAAATCGAGGGCCTTGGCTTCCTACATCTTCAGCATCATCATCTTCGGCAGCCCCCCCATGATTGAAAAGGTGATGATTCAATTAAAGGAGCGGGGGGGTTGGGGAGGGGCGGCAGCCCCCCCCATGATGATCGAGAAAGTGATGATTCAATTCGGGGCAAAAAATCTAAAAAGTGCTGTCGCATGATGATCGTGCATTTTAATCAAAAGGGGGGCGGCGGGGGGCACCAAAGAGGAACTGGCGATGCTGAGGATGCAGGAAGCCAAGGCCAAAAACCAACTGGGAAAGCAGAGGATGCAAAAAGCCAAAGCCAGAAAGCCGCCAAAAGCCACAAAGCCAAAAAGCCACCTGCTGCAGCGAAACTGGCAATGCAGAGGATGCGAAAAGAAGCCGCATGAACCCACAAAGACAAACAGAGAGGAAGAGGGGGTGTGGGTGCAGAGGAAGCGAAATGAAAAGCCACAAAAGCCACAAAAACCCACGTAAAAGCCACAAAAGCCAAAAAGCCAAAAAGCCGAAAGCCAGGGAAGCCCACCCTGAAAAACAAAAAGAAAAAAAAACAGGAAAAAATGGCTCTCCTTTCTGAATTTCCTGTAGAATCTCCTGGCTTTTAGTCAAGGACAAAGGAAACTAGACCAATCTTCTACCAGGCGGTGGTCATCTAGCAAAATGCGCGCGCGCGTCACCAAAAAAAAACGTAGCTTCGGTTTGCAACTGCTCCCTTGCAAAGACTGCCTCAACAAACTCGCACCCGGGGAAACCAAAAACAAGAAACACACCATAAGCCGAGTTCGCGGGCCGAGTTCGCGCGTTCGCGCGCCGGTTTCTGCCCGGGGGCAGCGGCATCATGAAGCGCCGGTAGCTCGGCACACGGGCGCCAGCCAAGACCACCAGCTTCAGCTGCATGATGGGGCAGGTGGCCAGCCATTCCACCGGCCTCGCAAGGCTTAGCTAACCTGCGGAGACTCCGGACTCTGAGTTTCTAGGCTTCCGGAGGGTGAAAAGGAATCTGTTGGGGGAGCCTGGGCTTATGGACCAGGTCTCGGGTCCGTTTTGCTAGGCCAAGATATTCCCAGCTGGTAACATCTCTAGCATCACCTGGACCAACAGGTGGAAGAAGAAACCTGACGTGCTACAATTGAGATCGCAGCAAGGCCTGAATGGGTACAAACCAATAGCAAATAACTGCAGGTGATCCAAGCAAGGCCCCCTTTCCTCACATTCTTCAAGTTCCATGTTTGCCTTGAGGGTATCCAACATCTTTCAGGTTTCTTAAGTACACGACGCATCCAAAACCACCTGAGTTGTAAGGGGTTCCTCTACATAAAATGGTGCAGTATTTGGGTCATCTTGAAACTGGGGCAACTTCATCCTTCAACGGACCCTGGCTTACTAAGGAGAAACAAAGGGAACACAAAACAACGAGGAAGAAAACCCCCTTTCCCCAACGAGCCCAAAGAACTAGGCTTTGAGCTGTTCTCAGATTCGCTTCTTCCTTGAAAGGGCGATGGGACGAAATGATTGAGAAAGCCCACTCCAGCGAAATGGGGGAGCGATCTGGCTGAAACGGAATGGGTCAAAAAAATGTAAAAACAAGGAAGCCCGCTGGAGAAAGAAGTCTATGGGTCCTATCAGCTCCGCCGTGAAAAAGAACAACTAAAGTATAGGTGGGGGCACACCCAAGGGGAGCACAAAAGCATGCACACGAAGTATACACGCTGCACCCCCCCACCCCCACCACATCTGTAAAATTTAAGCCTGCGGGTGCAAACCCCACATATTTAACCGCCCCCCGCAAAGGGGGTTGCACCGGCGTTCGGAAGTTGCAAAACACTGGCCCGGGGCGCAATCCCAACAGGTGCCTTTGCGGCAGGTACATTGAATTCGGACAGCATGCTTCTCTGCGCAATCTCCCTTTGCAAGTTCGCCGCTCCAACTCTCCATGCGAGATCTGTAGGCAAATTCTGCATGCAGGTGTCTCAAATCTCTGCAAATGTGCGAAATCGAGCATTCGATGGGAGGCCTCTATGTGATCCAGGCGCTCTTTCTCGCTTTATCGGTGCAAGTTGTCTTTGCGAGTTTCCTTACGCAAATGTTCAATGAAAGTGCTCGGTTGCAAGTCGTTCGTGTGGGCTCTCTATATGCGAAGTTTCGCTATGCAACTTCTCCATGCAACTTTCGCTGGCCTAAAGTGCTCTGACGTTCTTTGCGCAAACTAGCCCGAGGGAGTGGAAGATCGGGCGATTTCGGATTTCGGTCTGGCGGGTCTGCCCGAAACCGCCTGGACAAGTTCAGGGTGAAGGTGGAGGCGCGGCCGGGCAGGTCGAAGTCGTCAATGGCGGTGAGCTGCAGGATGTTGAAAAAGCCTCTCGTGGCGAGCCCCGAACCGAAGCATATGGCCCGGGCTGCTTTGTTCTGGCCTCACCCATTGTCCTCTTTACCACTTTGGTGCATTTTTGGGGTGCGAATCCCAACGAAAACCACCCCAAAACCCGCGTTTCTCATGGCCTCGCGCGTCTCATGGAATGGGCATCAATCGGTCTCTCTCAGCGGCCATGGGGGGCCCGCAGCCGAAAAAACGCGCGGAGCCGCTTTCGTTTCGAGCGGCCCGAGAAGAGCGCCACCGCCGTGCTGATGGTGGCGCACACCGCGTGGCGCTGCTCCAAGGGCGCCTTCTGGGCCACCGCCACCTGACGAGACGTCAGGTCCCGCTTCGGTCGGGCCCGGGGGCTTCCCAGGAACTTCCAACGGGGGCTCGGGGATATGCGGATCCCGAAATGGCTTTCCGTTTCTATCACCGTTTTTTTTTCTCCTGGATCTCCCAAGCTAGAAGTTCTGACTCGGGGTGTCCAGGGCTTGTTTGTGGGGAGCAGGGGTCAAAAGCTCATAGCGTCCATCAGTCGCTTTCTCTATCGCCGTGGCGGGCGATGCCAGCTTTTCTCTGAAATCCGCCTTGGAGTTGTTCGCGAAGATGAGCCACATCGCCAGGCCAATGAACCCCACGCCCTGGCAAATCTGCGCGATGTTGTGCGCATCGTTGAGGTCCACCTCGGGCTCATATTTTACTTGGAATAGTTGCTCACCTTCGTCTCTTACTTCTTTGTATCGGGTAATTTGGGTGGATTGCCATGGGTCTTTCAGATCAACATATGCCAAGAATGTCTTTCACTTTGGAAGCGCTTCTCTTCTCAAGCGGTCTTTTGCCTGTGCAACATGGCCACGCGTCTCTGCGCCATTTTCTACAAAACCTGCACGTGACCAGAAGGGATCAAGCCCAGGGATCCGAGGTCAATGGCCAACCTGGAACCAGTTCTCAGCTGAAGCCTCTAGCTCGACTGGGTCTGTGAGTGGCTCGTCCCTGGCAGTGTGGCCAATGTGACCCCCCCTCGCCTTTTCGGGGCTGCACTCCACCGTTTGAAGCCGCCGGATGTTGTTCAACACGTCGCTGATGGTTGACATGGCATCAGCAAGACGGTCCTCCTGGTACGTGACGACGTCCATGACTCGAGCGAAAGCTATTGAAGCGAAAGGCTGGGATAGCTGAGACTGGTTTTGAAAATGGCTGCAACATGCAGGAGCCAATGAATGCCAGCATGGAATGCATAGCCGAGCGCATGACATTTGAGGGGAAGAATTGATATCCCCTGTCCGTTAAAGCCTGGTTGGAGCAAATGCATTCATTTGACTGATAGGCTTGATCTATCCGTCACATTAAATCCGTTTGCCTTGCACCAATCAATGTTCTCCACGAATGACAACACGAAAATCTCGTGTTTTAAAAGGACACCCACGAGAAATGTGCCAATGGGGGGGGGTTTGCCACTCTGTCTCTCAGATTCCTGTGACCAGCATCTCAAATCTGGTCGTTTCGCCCGCCTTTCATCAGCTCCTCGGAGTCGATTTGCCCGTCCCCGCTCTCGTCGAACTTGCTGAAGAAATCTTTCCTCAGGTTCAGAACCAAACGCATCTCGGGCCTCGGGGGGAAAATAGAGTAAAGCCACTGTCTCAACTTAAGGGGAAAAGTAGGGAAGGGTCTCCCTTCGGGAGACCCCACGCTACCTGGTGCGGGGGCAAGCCGCCGAAGCACCACGAGAAACGGCGCCAAGCCGCGATCGCACCTTCCGCGTGCTCATGTAATCCTCGGCTCGCAAGTTGCAAGTCCCCGCAGTGCGGTAGCCTTACTGGGCCCCCAGCTGCAAAGGAGGACAGGATCGTGAGGCTTCTCCTGGGATGCAAAGGACAACGACATGCCTGGCAGCAGTGCAATCTGCTTCGGGCTTTCCAAGGAAAGGATGCCTCAAGAACGGCTTGCAAGGGGGCCCTTTCCAACTGCCAAAACATGAGGAGAGGATGCAAGGACGACGCGATCAACCATAAGGCCGAGCCACTTCTCCAGCTCCGTCATGTCCTCAAAGCTCTTGTTGATCCAGGTGGCCTGGTGATTGATGCATGGGCCACCCCACGACTGGCTGCTGAAAAAAATCGTATAGCGCGCCTTGGACGCCACCTTGGCCGTGTTCCTGGCCTTGTCGGCGGACACGAAATCTGGGCGCGGGACGGGGCAATTCGTCTCCGAGTTCAGCCTATTTGTGCCTGTCTTTCTTGGGACTCCCCCGAAACAGGGTGTCCTTGTTCTTTCCCTGTAAAGCCACCAAATGGATACCCTCAAAAAACACACCCAGTTGAAAGGATCCGACATAGGAACCCATCGGTAGAGAAACACAACCTCTCGTCCTCGACTGATCCGCCTTGCGAAGAGTTTCTGAACCATGCCTGACCCAAGTTGCAACCCTAACCCCACAAATCAAACTGGCCATGTCTTGTACCATTCGTCAGGTGGCTCCGCCTCGGCACATTGGCGCACTCAGAGGCCACAAATGCTGGCGAGCGTCTCTTCTCCGCCTTCTTGATCTGCCCCATCTTGACCCAAAGCTTCTTCAATCCTGGGTCGACTCAGCTGGCTCGTCGTGGGTGCGAGGCCATGCATCACCGCTCACACCCTAAATGAGTTGATTGGCCCGATGCTGCCGATGCCCCATCGAAGGTATATGTTCTTTGAAGTATCCCCCCCTTCAACCATGGTGTCATGAATGACTGCTGCAGGTTAGGCAGCCCACCCTGCCACTCAGCTATCATCATAGCGCGATTAGTTGGAAAGAGCCCAAACGAGACCCACAAAGCATAAACATCCGGGCGGAATACTTAAACTGGGGTATGGGTCAAAATTAAACCACAAGGGGACCGCAGGTGTTGGTCCATGTTTCCATTGAGGCCAAGATGCTCGCAGTCATCACTAAAACGGCTTCAGCATCCACGTCCGAGCAGTCCACGGCAATGACCTCGGCGAAATCTGGGGCCCAAGACTTCATGCTGAACTCACCTCATCCCACCTGATCCTACCTCATCCCATGGAAAACGATTCAGCACGTCCTCACAATACTCACAAATGGGCGGCAACCAGGCCAGTGGCACCATCATGCATCTTTAGAGGATAATTGTACATGGGATAACTGCCCCAGCATTGCACTGCGGCTCGCCGCACAGTGTGAGTCAATACGCATCAGATGCGGCACAAGTAGGTTCAATAGGAATGAGTATTTCTTCAACTTACATACCACAGAAATCTGCAGCCTCTTATTCGCACCGAGCCCATTCGAAGGGTCTGACAGCTAAGGGCTGCACCTTCAGCGGATCCCCAGGCCTCAATCAGGCGAAACGGATTTGGGGAAAGCTAGAGTGTCGGATTCGGGCAAAGCCTTGTGCTGAAGCCATGCGTCAAACTGGGCTAGTGGGAACTTGCAGTCTCTAGAATCGTTCCGGCCCTCTCAAGGGTTCTCTCGTTGATCCGGGCGGAAGGATGTTTGCCCCCACTCTCGGCTTGGGGAAGGCAACGCGTGCGACAAACCCGCACCTCACTTTGCCGCCCTTCTTTCCGCCTTTGGTCAGGAAGGCCGGAAGCCTGAGCATGGCAAGGTCAGCGACTGTCGAGCGTCTTACGCCGCCTTTTTCCTTAAAACCATTCTTCTTGGCGCTTCCGTGTCTTTGACAAAGCCCGTTTTGGGTTCCCTTATGGCAACCAAAGCAAACCCCGTCTTTGCAAAGGCCGGCGGGCTCCTTGCAGCCTGGCCGCTCAACAACGTCGCCAACCTTGAAGGTCGAGTCTTTCTCGTCCTGGCAAGCCACGGAGAACACAGGAACCTGCCACGGTCACTGGATTTCCGCTGAGTTGATCAACTTGATTAATTTGCCGGCGGCCTCTGGCAAAGAAACAGCCACTTGGGCAGGAAACCGTGACCAACTTCTGCGACACATCGCCCGGTCCTTGTGCGTACCTCAGCCGCTCACTTGATTCAAAGGGATCGTAATCACATGCCGTCAGCCAAATGCAGCCGGTTTTTGACTCGGCAAGCTACATTTTTTGATCTCTTCGCGAGTGAGTTCGATAATGCTCTCAGCGGACTGGTAGTAGCAGTTCCTCAGGGCAACATCCAAATCCAAGCCTGCAGGGGTGCGCCAAGTTGGAATGCGCTAATTCCTGGGTGCATCCAGCACGACAGGTAAGCCAAGTGTCAACGAGTTGAAGTCAATGATCTGCGGGAAAAGTTGGAAATCGATGCAGAATTGCAGAAACGCCTGGCGTCTCTGCTTCGCAAAAGCCTCTCAAATCATTACCTTCATTCGCATGGAGCATAGCCGGGGAGTTCCTGGACCATTCTCCAAGTCTGAACACCCACACGGGCAGCTTCCTATCCGCGAAACGGGAGCCCCACTTGGATTCGAATCGGAAGCCTCATTGGACATGTGCCCCTCCGTGGCCGCAGGAGTGAGCAAAAAGTTCGTCGGGGTGTCGAAGTAAACGTTGAACCTCAGGCGCTTTGATCCGTTGATCAAGCCAAGGTTGGCACGCAGGTTTCAAGAACCCAAGGCTCCAATATGCACCAACAGGTCACACTGACGGTCTGCCACCCTGCTCGTCCTTTCAGTGGGCAGATGTCCAAAGCTGACGCACTGGACCAACATTAAAATGTTCCGTGCGCGGCAGCCATTGGCAGACTTGATGACCACATTGCAGAGCTCTCACGAGCAGTGTTCGGACCCCAAGGCACGCAGCACACCGAAGAGGAGTGCAACATGGAAGTATGCGACGGCAGCCACTGAGCGCGCAGCAAATACTCAAAGCTGTCAAAATACCTCAGAAATTTGGCTCCGATGCTGAGAAACGCTGCATGCAGCCCTGCTCCATTCAGGTACTGCCTTGCGTAAGTCAGTTACCTGCCTGCCAAGGTGCATCCACACCAGCTGGATGATCTCGGGTTCCAGAAACATGCCTCAGCTCTGCCAAATGCCGTCAGCACGCCTCAAAACTGCTCAAACGGATGGGCAGTTGAAACCCTCACTGAGCCTGCACGCTCCCCCCCATCTCCCCCGCGGAATCTCCTTTTTGGGCCACGTTGTGCTTTCCACCTTTTACTTGCAAGCAAGGTCAGGAGGAAAACACCCCTCGAGCCATCCCTTTGGCTCCAAAGCGGGAAGGAAAATCTGCCAAGCGACTGGTGAGGTACTCACCCTTGGACACACTGCACCTGAGTCGGCTTGCACGAGCCCCCACCATTTTCGGGTTAGTTAGGCAGTTGGCACATGATGGAAGTTACCGGGACCCAATGGTAACTGGTTGATATACCACGTTTCGACCTGGCCCCAACCTGAACTAATTGTTCCCATCCGAGGGGAAAAATGGAGGTCAAGCAACAGGAAGGATGTGCCCGGACAGCCTGATTGAATCCCTCCAATCAGATAAGTTTCAGCCCAGACTGCCAAGATTGACATACAGCGAAACACAGCCATGCCAAAACACTGTTTGACAGGAACTGACTTGCACCTGGATGGAGTTCGCTTTGCCGGCCCGGGCAATTCAAAAAGCAAAGAACCACGATGATATGTCATAGTCCCCCCTCTGGTCATTCAAAGCGGTCACTGAAGTGACTGCAGCCAAGCAGCGTGTGAGCATAAAGGGCCTTAAATGCAAGTGTTCAAGAAAAGGCTGCGGTGCACGATGCCAGCAATTACATACCACATGGCTCCCACGAAGCCAGAAGTGGAGGAACCTCTTTGCCCGGCCAACTGTGGCTGCAGATCCGCTCAGCCAAGGTGCATCCTCTTCAGTCTGCCCCTGGCAAGGGATCAACCAATCATGCCAACATGCGCCGTGCGAACGGACAGGGATGGACAGGAGACATGCGATTTTTGCCCGCCCACAGCCGCCAAAGGCCGAATTTGCATACAAATAATGTTACACCTCCTTTAGTAGTAGTGCCCTCTATCATGGCATTTTCCGCATTTCAGGATCTTGTGTTTGCTTTGGAGTCCTCAATTGTGGCATTTCTTTAAAACAAAAAACAGCATCTGGGCAAAAACGACCAGCCAAAAAAAGTGGGACAAAAAAAAGGCAAACAAATCAGGGCAAATATTAGGTCTCCAAGCCATCAAACTTAAGATAACTTCTTTACAAAAAAAGTAAGGGCAAACATTCGCACAAAGGGGGTGGCCCACAAGAGGCCCTGAGCCTCTTTGATGTGACTGTTTTGGGGTCCTCTTTAGTGTCCAACCTTTTTTGGTGGTTGCTGAACAAACGGGCCTTCACAATACTAAAGTAAAACTAAAGTCAGCACTGGGGAACTTGAGAGTCAGCCTTGGCAATACTATAGTAGAAGTGGCAATACTAGAGTCAGCACTGGGAATCTGAGAATGCTAAGTAAGCACTGTCCCTCCTCTAAAGAGGGTCCAGCAGACTGGTTCCACTCCCGAGGGGGGGGGAAGGTGTAAAGAGGGTCCAACATTAATCCCCCTCAGCCCAACTGCCGCGTGTTTCATCAAAAGCAAAAAGGCTATGTATATATACATGGTCGGCGCACTGGGCGCAGCAATCACACCCCCGCCTTCCTCTCGTCCCCGTCGTCGGAGAAGACACCTCGGGTTGGATACACAAAACAAGTGCTACATGGCTATCAATTTGCGTGGGGAACCACCTCAAAAGTGGTTGGTGGACATCATATAATTTATGTCCATTAACCAAGATTCCCTATTCAAATTCATAGCTATATAAAACATCATACAACAAGTGCCTACAGCCACTTGGCATCTGATCAATATTCCTGCTCCGGAAACATCTTTATTTTGCAGGCTCCTCGCGGACCTTTCGCGGGCAGAAACACCGGTGCTATTGGCCCTCCACATTATAAGTCCTTGCCTGGGACTTGTTGATCAACTCCCAAATTGCTGTAAGAGTAGCTGAGGCCATCTGACCACATACTCCTGGGAGACTTTGGCAAGTCGGGGTCCTGCAATGCCACGCACACGGCTTGCGAGGTCAAAATAGGGACGCCGCCAAACCGGGCGTCTGAAACTTACCCCAAGGGTACCCTCAAAAAGAAAGATCCCCACATCAGTCAATCAAGTTTCAATGCCCTGCCCGGGAGGTCGGAATCATGAGACAGGATCATTCAAGAGCACATCTGCAGGTAACACTTGCACCCCCTGCAAGGTAAACAAATCAGTCTCTGCGGGGGTAGTGCAGCATCTAGCTACCCAATCCAGTTGGCAACCGAGAAGTGAATCCAATGGAGCAATTGACCCATGGAACCAGGAAAGGTGCATCCAAATTGAACAAGACACGAATAGGGAAAGGTCCCAACACCTTGCATGCTACTTGCAGCAAGTCTGCAGCCGCGATCACTGGCATGTTCCAGTTGGACTTGGCTTTTGGGGATGGGCCTCGACAATTTTGCATGATTGCGTCAACAGAAATCCCGCCAAAAAAATCAGTTGAGTTGGGTTGTTCAACATGAGGATCCCCAATAACCAGCTGCCAGAGTTGAGGGACTGGCTTTGAGCGACTCGTTTTACAACTCTTCGATCATATGTCCCACGGATCACGTGCCCATGGCATTTCCCCGGGCACCTCGTCCATCTGACTTTCCCTGCGGGCCTGCGGGAGCAAGCCACTAGGCTACGGATGGAACCTAAGCGTCCCCCAAACCCAAGTAGCCATCTTTTTGCTCTCATTCTCTTCCTCTCCCCGAAACCTGAACTTTACTATCGCTGTGATTGATGGCCTGGCCCAGTTCAATTAGCCCTTGCCAGAGGCCCAAGGATCTGCATTCAGTTGAGCCGACGCGGGCCTGTGTGATTGGAGCCACGCCGTCGAACTGAAACCGCGAGGCGCCAATTGCAACTCTATCATTTGGCTGAAACCCGCGCGTGAATCAAAAGGGCCCTCTCTGAAAGCGGCCCTGGTTTTGACACACAAGGGAGCAAAAATCACTCAGAGCATTCTCTTTTGATCATGACTCATAGCTTTACAGTACCCTACCAGTTCAATTTACTGGGCCTTCCTCAGATCCCCAACCCCCCACTAAACCAACGACCAGTCTAAACTTAAAGAGGCCGGCTCACCATAGCACCTCTTCCCCTCTGGCCTCCTCCCTGTCGGGCTTCGCCCGTGAGGACATTCGCGAGGCAGGATCCGCAGACTGAGTTTAAACGAATCGGACCCCCAAACGGCGCAACGGTGTTCCTGTTGGTTTCAGTTGAAACCAACCGCCAAAACGGGTAACCTCCAGATATAACAATGACCTTTATGTGGAGGGCGCCGGGCTTTGCAGTGTGATGCCTGCCTGAAACAACCTTGGCAACAAATAAAGCCTGCCAGGCATGGAAGAAACCCTTGGACTCCTGGTTAGGCCAACTAACGGCAGGATTCTGCCCATAGTACGGTGCCCGTAGATGAAGCTTCGCCCCAAAACGCCTCGGGCCTTGCCGCGATTGGACAGCCTGTCTTTAGCGGTTTGGCATGGCCCCGCATGCTTTGGATGCCGCAGCCAAGGAAAGGTTCACCAAGACTTTGGCACTAAGCAAGGAGCGCGCATGCAAATCAATATGAACAAGATCGATAGTAAACAGGAAGTGCTCAAACCCTGAATCAACGGGGCAAGTGGAAAAAAGCTCACACAGGCTGTGATCTTCGAACTGTTACTCAGGACGATAGGACAAGTGGCACTCGAAAAGGCCCAAAGCATTTTCCAATCTGCTTGCTTTTTTTGAGGTCGCTTTGCTCGCGAGCGAGGTCCGTACAAAGCACCCACAACTGAGGCTCCGGCAAGTCGCTTGGTTGGAGCTCGGCTATACGCAGGTGAGCTCATATTTGGCGAGTCCGGGCCAGCAGAGGCAGTCGGTGTTTGCTCAGCAATGGCCTCCGCCTGGCAAGCCAAGTAAAAGGCTATCATCGTTGTCGTCACCACCACCACTACCACCACCACCACCACCACCACCACCACCACCACCGCCAGCACCGGCACCAGCACCACCACCGCCAGCACCGGCACCAGCACCAGCACCAGCACCATCCACCACCAGCACCATCGCAGCAACAGCAGCAGCAGCAGAAGCAGTTTAGCACATCACCTGTGGCACAGGTTGCAAGCGGAACCATGGCCCTACAAAGCCAAAGGCTAGAACCCTCTAAGAGCCACTAACTCTGCGTCTCCGGCTCTACTTGCTCCTGCCTCGTCCTCGAACATGTCCTTTTCGCGCAAGGGCCGGCGATAGAGATCCTGCCGTCAATCTGGGCTGCTCAACCCAATATTGATCAGCTCCGGAGTCCGGAAGTCAAAGCGTGCGCCCAGTCCTTGCCCTGGGCCAGCTGTGACTCGATGTGCTTCTGCCTGAGGGGCACCCTTCAAACTGGCTGATGCCTGCTGGCCCCTGTGAACTATCAGCTAGCTATTGCGTGAACCACCTTTCCCACACATGACTCCCAAGATTTTGAAACAGCAAGCCCCATAAACGGAGCTTACCCGTTTTTCCACAGATAGCTGAAAGCTTTAGGGGCTCTAGCTTCTAATAAACGAGGGGAAGGTGATTTGCGAGATTGATGGGCTGGTGCTACGGGGCGTGCAATTTGGGGTGCTGGTGTCGGTGCTGATTGGGGTGCTGTTTGAGGTGCTGATGGCAGTGCGGGCGCATCTTTTCAAGATTGACGGTAGGGTGCTAGGGGGTATGCAGCTTGGGGTGCTTGTGCAGGTGCTGTTTTGCGGGGTGCCGGCGCGGGGGGTGCTGTTTGGGGTGCTCTTCAGGGTGATGGCGCGGGGGCATTTTTGCTCGATTGACGGCCGGGTTTTGCTTAGGGCGTTCTTTGGGGGGGTGCTTTTGGAGGTGCTGGCGTGCAAGCACTGCTATCTGGGGCCTATGCTGGTGCATTTGTGTTTTTGTGGGTACACCTGGGATTTGACCAACAGCCACGGAAACACCTAGGCACGATAGGCCACCCCCCCCAGGGGAAAATGCAGGAAACTGATGAATTAGCCAGCTTGTTCTTGCGGGCCCAAAGTGGGAATTCTTTTTTTCCAGGACCAGGACCCCTGCAATCGGGGGGGGGAGTCCCAAACCGGGGTACCTTATCCCGTACAAACCCTTGGATCTATTCCGAGGAGTATCCAATATGCCAATATTGGATGGAGTTGATCTGGAAGTCCCTGGTTACACTGTGGTTTCCACTGTGTGGGATTATACACGGTCCGCTTTAGCTCCTTTTCTCTGCACTGCAGGATGCTCAGTACTTGTGTGTGAACAGAGGGGCTTGAGCCAAAATACAACGGCTGTGGAAAGGTCAATGGTGAAGCAAAAAGCAACCCGAGGGTTATGACTCAGGAGCCAACAATAACGCGCCATCGACTTTCTCCCTGGGCGCTCCCTGCGCCCGATTTCGGTGCGCGCCTGCGCCGGAACTTGCGCTCCGCGTTGGGCAGGAGGCACTCCAGGAGATGGAGCTGAGGCGAAGCAGTTTATGGGGTGTCCCATTGAATGAGTGTACTTTTTGACGCTGCAATTGTTCACCAAACGGTATAGTGCATAGCTGCAGCCCTTGCGCTGGTACTGTTGCCAACCTTGAAAGTGGTTGGATCTGGCTTGACCACGCGAGGCAAAATGCGCCTTGAACTCGTCTGGAGTGGCCCCCTTGCTCTCCCGAGATGCCTCAAGCATCGAGGATATGGCGGCCGTGATTCCGGAGCAAAATCTGCCTGCTCCGTTGCTCGCGAAATTCGCCCGCTGAGCTTCCGCAAGCGTCGTGTTTCGCATGCCGCGCTAGTTCCGCGAAGCCCGACAAACTTCAAACCCTGAATGCTTCAAACCAGAGGCGGCCAAAATTCAAAACAACTGCGTCCTGTAAAAGTCCTTCTCCTCAAAACGTGACGAGTCCATCACCCCCTTTCTTGAGTGGGAGCCAAAACAAGCAGAGGCAGCCGCGAGAAAAGCCGACATCCCTCGAGGTGCCGTCGCCAACAGCATGGCGAAGAGCTGCAGCACCCGGTCGGTGTGGTCGTCCACGACGATTCCCAAGACGGTCCTGTACATCATCCCAAGGGAGTTTTTCATACAGTGGATGGACAAAATCCTGCACTACTTTAAAACCATGGGAACTATTTGATTGTTGGCATTTAGCAGGGGAATCATCATTCCAGGGTTTCTTAGGTGGTGCAGGATTAACACCCTCATGCCCCCAATCGACCTTGCGGGATGCTCGTCGGATGTCTACAACATACAAGGCAGCCTGCTTGGGGGGGGGGAACTAGCAACTGCAACATGAACCCTAAACAAAAAGCCTACCTCCAGCCTCAAACCAAAAGCAACGTCCCACCCGGGTGCTTCTTCTGCACAGAGTCCCACCCCAGAGCGCTGACGCCAAGCCACGCGCTGGTGAGTGGGGAGCCCTTGAGTGAGTGCTGAGCCTCACATGTCGAACTGAGCCTCCCAAACAGGGGTGGCCTTGGGTGGCTGAAAAATCGAAGACACCTCCAAACTGGTGGTTTTGCTTTTGTGTCCCTTCAAAACTGCCAAACTGGTGGGTGGTCCTTCTGATTCCCCCTTTAACCCCCCACTTTAAACAGGGCACCCTCGCGAAGGGACTCCCTGGACCACACGTGGACACTTTTTCAGGGATCCCCTCGTTCGGACCATTTCCTCCAGGTTTGACCGCAGCTCATTTGCACGGACCCAATTCACGGCGAGAAGGTGAGCAACTGAAACCTGGAAATGCCGCAAACAAATTCCGGGGCGGGAAGCATGTTGTTCGGACAAGCGGTTAAAGCCTCATTGCATCTAATTGCAAGGTAGACATTCAGAACAAGGAGCACCACTGACAAGACTGAGGGCAAACGCAGAACTTGCATCCACTGAAATGATTTTGAGTCTGATTGAAAGCGGAGAAAAGCGCAAAGCCCAGAACCGCAACTCACTGCGTCATGACTGGTCGCAACGCATGCTGGGTCGCAGGCTGCCAAAGAATCAAAAATGTCAATGGCCATCTGGTACATCACATTCCCAGCAGTATCGGCAATGGTCAGCTCGATCAACATGCCTCAGCAAATCTGATACAAAGCACGTCTCTCCCCTTCGGGAAGGCCCGTGGTGCACGCATCTGCCTAAGCATGGCCTGCTTGATTAAGCCATGCCTAAGCAACTCTAGCCAAGCATGGCAGCACGCCGTGCAGCTGAGTCACGGCAAAAAGCGGGCCGAGTTAGAATCGATGCATTGTCAGCTTCTCCTGTCAGATGAGTTTAAGAAAAACCCACATCGAGATGTTATGCTCCAGCCTGATTGGAGAAAGGGCCGCGTCAAGGAAGAGAAGTGATGGCACAAGGACATCACCTCCGTCCTCAGACACATGCTTTGGACTTCAGTTTAGGCTTCCATCCAGGCAGACTTTAGTGCTTGCGACTGGGATTTCCGCGTTCCAGCTGAAGCTGGTCGCAAGGTGCGAGATTCAGACTTGACGTGTCTGCGGCCGACCTTCGGCGAGAAAATGAATACCAAGACTCTCTCCGAGCTCCCTTGCGAGGTTGTCAATGGGCCATCTCTGGCCGGATTCAACAAGACTGACACTAAGCTTTCACACCCTCCAGTGCAGTGAGGCGATAAACCCGGAGGCTAGACCTAAAAGGCGGCCGGAAAATGCCACAGCTCAAACCCCATACCCAGCCCAGGATGCCACGTTACGCCTCGATGCGGCGAAGGCTCTGATGCATAGGCTCCATTTCCACGAAAATGATCGGCCTGAGTGGCAACGGGCTGGCAGTCAAGGCCTAAAAAGAAACTACCCAGTCCTTTTTCTATGAGCCGATTTTCAAAACTACTTGTTTCCCCAAGGGGGCATCAACATATTCATGAGTTGTCTGGTTTTGGTGGGAATTTAGGGAAAACTAGTGAGTGCCCATGTCCCTCCCAAATGAGCCAGATACGAACATTTGCTTACACCTTTTTTTGGCCTCTACCTTCAAGGTGAAGGCTTTTTGCATCGGATGAACTTCCACCCCCTAAAGTGGACGTATTCAGTGGAAGTCAGGCACTGTGCTTCGCTATCTATGTCACGCCGTACTCCGCATTTCCCCAACCTGCAAGCCCCAGCAACTCAGCTGAGCTGCTCCACTGCCGAAAGCCTATTCCAAACACGGCGAGCTGCTCGCCAAGTTCAAGACTTCGAATTCTGTCAAACAACATACTATATACATATACTAATATACTACATGAGCTTCAATCCTCTTCAAGGTCTTTCACACCAAAAGCCTGCGCAGTCTCACACAAAGCTAGGAATGCGCAGCTCGCGGTAGGCCGTCTTTCAAATTGCTTCAGCGAATGGTCAGCCAAGTTGGCATTCATAGGCATGAAGCCTCCAAAAGCGACAGGCCACCAACCTGAAAGGGATCCAAGGAATCGCACCCCAGGAAGACGAAGAAACATGGGTGAGCTGGTTCACCAGGTGAGCTTGCTTGTACACTGCAAAAAGCGGTTTGAAGAAAAGGCGAGCTTCGCTGTGGATCGCCTTGCGGGCCTTTGCGCTGCAGCCAAGCCGCTCATGCTTGGCGGTTCTGACGCGACGGGTCTTTCCCGTGAGGTCCACCTTTGAAATGCAAAAGGGCAGTCGGAGGGGTTCAAAGTGCTTTGCAGATTCTCAAGTCGCACGTTCTGGATGGCACAAAGAAGCTGCCCTTGTTTCCCCAGAACAACCTCATGCATTGAAACATGTGCTGAATGTCTTTCTGCCCGCGCATAGTATGGCTGGGGATTTTGAGTCATTATGAGCTGAGGTGCATTCACCTTCTGGACGTACTCCATGAGGTGTTCATGCGGGTTGTGGATGGGGTAGAAGAGCCGCCGCAATTGCCTACCCATGGTCTCAAATCCCGGCGCGACAAGCTGGTGGCTGATAAATCAGGCGAATCTGACGGTCGACCAACATGCCTACCACAGCTCACGGACAAGCTACTTGACCCCTTGCAACTTTGCAGGGCAAAACTGATGTGCTTAAGCGGGCAGGCAGCTTTGCAACCCAAGCTTGTAAGTCTGAAGCTGAGCTGACAATGATAGCCAAAGATTTTCATGGAGCTCAGTCGCACCATGGCAGCTATAGCAATGGAAACATGGCTATGGTTTGGCCCAAATCAAAGATGGCCCGCAGCCCAAGTTGCAGGTTACACACAGGGAACAACTTTGAAGGCTGAAGAAAGTGTTCGATGCCTCGAGACGTTGGGCTGGCTCCGGGTTCTTACCCGCGCATCCTGCCTCTCCACATCCAGGCGCCTCCGCGCTTGGAAGTCTTGGATCGACTCCTGGCATAGACCAAGGCATCTCAACCAGGCCTCGACCAAAAGGGGAAGCCGGGCCTAAACAAAGTCCTTTCCTTGACAACTGAATAAGGAAGCTTTCTGCTCTTTGAATTGCCTTTTGCCCATGGAACAGCACAAAACAAGAGAGTTGAATTTGAAAGGGCTCCGGAAAGGAAACGCGGCAGCGGGGCTTTTTGCCCCGCCAGCTCATAGGGACCCAGTCACCACTTTACCAAGCCCATGGGAGGGCATGGACTTGGTAAACCCATCGCCGCCGTCAGATGGTGTCAGTTGGTTTTGCTTCGATTCCCCCCGTTTTCTCCACAAAAAAGGCGGCCACGGCCACCACGGTAGCCGTGGGACGGTCCTTGGCCTCCTTCTTATTCTCCTCCGCGCGTTGCCGGTCCATGGCCAAAGCCTTTGCAGCGTTGGCCTCGAAGCAACCAGGAGCAAACCGCGAGACTGGAGCAAGTCTCAAGGCAGCAAAGTGAAGAAGAATCTGCAAGAATCATTCCAAAGCCTGAAGTAAGAACTGGGTCCCCATCAGAAATTGGCTGAAGACTCTATGCGCACTAGGTTGTTCACACTTCAGCGGAAACTTCAGCTCCAGCAACAGCATCATCAACAGCGACAGCAAGAAGAGCTAAATCAGCAGCGCAGCAGAAGCAGAAGCTTCTTCATTAGCGACAACAAAGCTACCAACTAGGAATCAAACAAATCTACTGATGCTGACTGCAACCACCACCGCCGCCGCGACAGCAACACTACTTCAGTAATGCGCCTTCTTAAAAAGGACGTCCGACTCGTTGGCCTTGAGCTTCCGCCGGTTGAAGATGGCCTCCTGCGTGCAAGAAACTCGCCCTTGTGACAGTCGGATTCCCATCCCCGTTGCTTTGTTTGAGAGTACCCTTTTTGGGTTGGCTTCAAGGGAAACCAAAAAGGAAACAAAAGGAAACCAACCAACCAACCAGCCAGCCAACCAACCAATGTTTGAGACACTTCGTTTTGAGAAAAGCTCCCTCCTGTGCCAGCTGGTCCCGGCACAGCGCGGCTGGGTCCAGACGTCCACCTGCGCAAAACCGTTCGCTTGGCCAGGAACTCGAAATATGAATAAATGAATACAAACAAACAGCCTACAATTGCATCGTAATGATGAGAAGAATACACACAGCATCTGTGTGTCGCTAGTGGGAGTTCTATGTAGGCTTTGTTACTGGGGTCATTTACTTACCACCGCTGAACCAACCGAAGAATTGCAGTTGGTTGGCCAGATCAAGGAGTACACCTTGTGGACCTGGTGCTTGGTTGCCATGCAGTTTTTGCCACAGGAAAAGATCGCCTGGCATAGAAGGTGCGCCCCGTTTGCTGACTTTAAAATTGTTTGCCTGGAACGACTACTTGAAGCCCGCAGAGGTCAAAAGATGTAAAAAACAACAAACAGTTTGTAAAACAAAGGAACAGTTTGGGAAACAAACAAGAAGCACCCAACAAAAAATGTGGAAACGACAAAAAAACAAAGACCAGTTTCCGTCAAAGGGAGACAAAACAGAAGAGTTTTGAAACACAGCAAAAAAACAAACCAAAAAAAAAAAAAACGAGGTTTGGAGAAAAACAAAAAACACCCCCAACGAAGATCAAATTTGAACAATCAACACCCAACGAACAGTTTGGAGAACAAAACGGAGAAAACAAACAACAAACATTTTAAAACAGCGGAAACACCAAAAGAAACGTTTGGGGAAAAGAAGAGGAAGGCGTTCAGGGCGATTAGACGTGGCAACTTGACTTGGCGAACCGGGGGCCACAAGCAATAAGAGCTGTGGCCTAAGAATCCAGGCTCGGCTAGCCAGCAAACCCAGGCAAAGCCAACCATCCTGACAAACTCCGACCTGCGCTGGGCCAGGCCGCGGTGTTGCGGGACTTCCTTGGCACCTTCCTGGGCCAAAAGCCGATCCAGGAGGATCAGCCATCTGGACTGGGGGGGCTCATTTTCGTGGGGGGACCTGGAAAGGGAGCATGCCGAAAATGCGGGGGGCGGGGGGGAAGGGGGCACTGAAGGGTCGATCAACATTTTCCCACCAAACTATTGAAGGACCTGTGGAAAAAACGTGTCGACCCGCGACTTGGCTCCCCATGATCCCTCAGGCAACCAGGAGGTGCAAGAATGTCGATTGGGGGCCCTTTGGTAGACGTGGACCAACCTTAGGAGCGTTTTGGTATGGGCGGAGAGTTTTCAGGAGCTTTCCGGAAGGTTCTGCCCCGCTTCCTGGCCTTCCCCACTCCAAGCTTTGCCTGTCCTCCGAATATGCGATCGGCCGCGCCCTAGAACTAAAGAAACAGGAGTTGAGACCTGCATGTCAGGGTCCCTGACTGCCCGACTGCCCCTTCCCCCCCCAGGTGTTGAACTGTTGACTGCTCCCTTCAGCCCGGCCACTTCCAACTCCGCACCGAGTCGGCACTGCCCTTTGAGATGGCATCTCCAGAGATGGGGGTGAGGAGCCCACTCCGGCCTCACGAACAAAAGTTCCGCAAGAATCCGGAATAACCCCACCCCCGCCCCCCCAACCCCAAATAAATACAGAAAGGTCCCCCCTCTCAATAAATACATATCCAGAAACCAGCTGCCCCACCAGTGCCTCAACCCGTGTTTGGCACTTTCACCCACCAATCTAACTGGTTTGGAAAGCAGACTTGTATTGGAAAGGCTTTGTCATGTATTAGTTCCAAATTGTCTCCCAATACGACTGCAGCTGGGGTGGGCATGGAATCTGGGAGCTTGGTATTGATTTGGTATTGCCTAATTCTACCTTAGTATTGGGTGGAGTCTGTGAAAACAAATAATTAAGAATAGGGACCAGTATTAATAGACCACACGCAGAGCGTAGCTCGACTACAAGTGGCAGTGTGGAAGCGGGAAAAGACCCCTTTCTAATATGCCGAAGCATGCCTGCGTCACCGGGTTGCTGTTTGCAACCAATCTTCACCCCAGCGTAGCCCAAGCGAATCTCGGATCTTTCACGGCGACGCGGCTGAAACCCAGACTGCCTGTGTCGCTAAAGACGCTGGCACCGCTTGTCAGGTCCTCAGGCCACTGATTTGGACAGGTGCGGATGGGTTGTCATGAAAGAGTTGGCGACCTTCCGCATAAACTGCAACCAAATGTTCGACCATGGCAAAAATGGTCTTGCTACATCCTCTGGGATCAACTGACATTCTTAGTTGAAACATCTCGCATGGATCTCTACACTGTCCACAATGGAGCTGCCTGCTTGCTAAAATCAAAGCTAGCGAAAAGCTCTCACAAGAATCTGCCAATCCATCCTGTCAGTTGCAACCCCCATAGCTGTATCTCAAAATTGGTGTTCCCTTCCCGATCGATGAATCGAGTCATGCCCCAAGGCTGTTGGCTTTGGGCAAGTGCAAGCCGCACATGAGAGAAACCTCAGCTGTTCTACGCTTTAAGCTGTAAAAACACGGGGGCCTCAAATGATCCCAAACAGGGCACCAATCACCCGCAACACGCGGAGCTGCGTCCAGGTCTATCAGCGCAGCCCCAACAAAGCCCTCAAGCTGCATGCCAAAGCTTCCGTGCGAGGCGATGACTTGGCCACCGGTGTGCACACCTTCGTGCGGCGTAGGCGTGCCGACCATCGGAAGAAGCGACCAACGCGCTGCCAAAAGCAAGCCTTTCTTGCTATTAGCAAACCTTCCCCAAACAATTTCCCCCCCAGCCCAAACCCTGATCCACTCAGCGAAACTCTGCAAATTCGGGGTTGGTCCCCTGAAGCCAAAGGGTTGCCTTGCGTGTCCCCTCGCAAGGTCCTACCAAAAAGTTGAGGTCTGAGGTTTGCTTCTCTCTCAAGCCAAAGGGTTGCCTGCGAGACAAGGGCTTTATTGTTAGGGTCTCCGGGTTCCCCTCAGAAGGTCTCTTTTTGGTAACTGCCAGGGTTTCTCTTGTTTTTGGGCTTCTTTCTGGAGAAAAAACAAAGGCGCCTTCCCTTTTAAAGTTCTCACTTGGAAACTGCATTTTGCACACTTGTTCTGCAAAGCACAGAGGTTCCCCTTTTGCCGTTCGATGCCAATACTAAACAACGCAGTCTGAAACAGTTCTGGCCCAAAACTCGGGGAGCCTAATAAATAAAACCCCGGGGAATACTGCGGTTTCAGCTTCAACTCACGTACGCGCACGTTCTGCCATTGAAGGAAATCAGTATTATACAAGAATCTGCCAACTTCAAAACGCGGCTGGAATAATGGAGCTCTCTCAATGACCCCAGACATTGCACGGAAAATGCCACTTTGAGACAGTTGGCCCCCATACAATTCTAAAACCTCCATAGAGATCAAGATTCCGTCTCTTCTCAACGCATGCATCACGAGAGCTGAGGTGGCAGCCTTCGGTGTGTCTGCTGCAAGGCCTGAGGCATCTGGCATGCGCGCCGGCCCATGCCAGGCGCGGCACAACTGGCGCCTCCGTGCCCCAGCTGAGGCCCCAACTCTGCGAGCTGCCGATGCGGTAACTGTCTAACAAGTTGCCGATGCTCCTGCATCCAATTCGGCTTGTCTGGTGGGTCTCGCATATGGGTGTGTTGCTTTTTGGGGACCCCCCCAACAAAAATATATATAATAGCAATGTTGATTGTTTTCTTGTTGGATTCCCTTTTAAACCACAAAAGAAGGGGGCCCCCACCAACAACTCGCACACACCCATGTGAAGGGGGGCACGTGGCCAAAGGCCTCACGTGCATTCCTTCGGTACACGAACGCAAGGCTCCGAGCTGGATATTTGAAAAACATGGCACAACAAGTTCCGTGCAACCATGGCACCAAGACAGCAATGAGATTCAGAAAAATCGGGACCCATGCAGCGAGCATGCCAGGCTTGAAGAAGGCTTGGGAAGAGAACTTGTTGGGAAACATCATTGCGAAACCACTTGATGGAAAACGCCGGAATTCCAGGATGGCAACACCTTCCGCATGCTTCGAGGAAAAGGATGAACCGACGCGGGAAGGAAAGGCAAACCACGTGCTCTTACAACTAAGCATCCGTGCTTTCGCCGACCAGCCCTCTGCATAAAGGCCAGCTGCCAACTCCTTCTTCCCTACGGCAAAGCCAAGGGAAACCACTTCTGTAGGGCAAAACCGCACTGAGTCACCCGGAAGCAGCTCGCGGCTTGCGGAAGTCGGGGCTAGCTGGGAAGTCGCGGGCCTCTGCCTCTGCCGAGCGAACTTGGCGAGGCTGGCCGGAGACTTCTCCGCCGTGGGCAGCTCCACCACCTGGACGGGGTCGAACGGGTTGGTTGGCTGGCTGGCTGGCTGGCTGGTTGGTGTTTGCCTTGTTTAACTGCTTGGTCATGGTTGGTCATGGTGGTTAGTGTCGAAACACGGGTTGCCTTGATTGGTTGGTCGGGCTTTGCTCGGGCTTCAGTTCAGAGTGGCAGTTCGCCTGCAAATTCCTGAGCAATCCTGCCACAAGCGGCCACGAAGAAGCGCTCATGTGGGCGCAACATGTGGCAACCTGAACAAGACACGTAAGGCGACGGCGGTGGAGTCATTTTGCCCTCGGTCCTACAAGATAACGGCCGGCCGTGCGACATGCCGCACTTTGATTCGCCCCCCTCCAGCTGTCCATGCGCAGCCCAGCCCTGTCCTGAATGCTCCAGGGCTCCAGGGAGGCTGCTGAAGAGGGTCTGTAGACTGAACCTGGGGCAAGCGAGAGATTTGTGAATACACCCCACAGACCCCAGCCAACTCTTTGAGAAGGAGGGAACACATGCTTGCCTGTGGCTGGCAGCCGGCGGCTGCAGCCCTGACTGGCTGGCCGAATCAGCCCCATGGGCTGGTGACACTAGCATAGCAGGCAGCGGGCCCTGTCCGTTGAAGCGCGGGGGAGGGCTGGCTGGGTTGGGTTGGGTTGGGGTGGGGTTCCACCAGGCGGCGGGAAAAATGAGACTGCGAACCAACCTTGACCAAAGAAACATGCATAATCATGCTCAAGCATACGGGGCGTGAGAAGCCTGAATGCTGTCATGACTGACTACCCGCTGCTGCGCACTGAACGGCGAGATGGTGCAAGCCAACATGTCTACTGCATGCCTCTCAAACTTGGGCTGTTCTGAGTCATCTAGGTGCACTCTGCTCAAGAGCATGCGACCTCCCCTTCCACCTGCTCATGAAAAGGAGAAGCGCTCGTGGGCACTCCCTACCGCAATCTCGCATTCTTTTGCTCACCACATGGGCAGCTGTCTGGGCCTTAGGGGGCGAAACTCGCCGGTTTCTAACCCTGTGTGACACAAGTCCCATGATGGGAAGAGCACAATTTGGTTCTCCCAGTTCCCAGAAAGCCAAAGGACGCACGCATGGAAAGAGAAGCCAAGCGCAGATTGGAGAAGGGACACCAACAGAAACGGGAAAGGACAGGGAGGGGAGGAAACACCCAAGCAGCCAACCAACCAACCAACCAACCAACCAACCAACCAACCAACCAACCAACCAACCGGCCGGCCAGCCAGCCAGCTAGCCAGCCGCAGCCAGCCAGACAACCAGCCAACCAACTAGCCAAGCTGGCCAGCCAGTCAACCAACCCGCCGGCCAGCCGGCCAACCAGCAAACCAAAAACAAACGAACAACCAAGACAGGCAGGCAGGCAGGCAGACACAAAGGTCCCCGTTTGCGAGCGCAAGGAGACAGACAGACAGATAAACAAAGACAGCTGCAGCCACATAGAAAAAAGGACAACTGTCATGTATGATTCACGCAAGTATCAAAGCAATTGGCTCGCGTGGCCGGGTTTGGATTCCCGCAAACGATTGCGCACGATCCCGGAAACTGAACTAAGCAATTGGTTTGTTTGACATCTGCAGGAATGCCGATTCTTGCAAGTCAAGTGCTGAGCTGTGCCATGTCATGAACGCCGTCTGAATTAGAACAGTCGTTCCAGGTTGTCGTCCCATCCAATCAAAACAGGATGCAGCCGCCTTAGCGCGGAAGGGTGACGCGGATTCTGATCTGGGAGGAATTGATGGAACCAGGCAGAATCTCTAACATTGCTCGTCTTGAATCGGAGATTTCCATCATTTCCGAACATCGAACACAAGGGTTTGGGCGGTTGGTACCATGGGCACCCTTTTCAGGTTGGTCAAAAGGGAGCAACTATGAAAAACTCCATTTTGGGGGGTCCCCCTCAAGGTGTTGCCGCTGTCGGACACAGGCCTTTGCGATTTTGACCCACCTTGCCCGACTCGCTGCCCCACACCAGGGACAAGATCACAACTCGGCCAGCCTAAACCTGCACCAAGCTTCACGATTCCCCAGCCTTGCAAAAGGTGCTCAAGGACACTCGAGAGCAACCCCTCCGGCGCAAAATCTCCGTAACCAGCAGGGAATGTCGATCCGTCCAATTCTTGGTTAAAGTCTCGGCCAAAAGTCAGGCTCTGCAAACTGCTCGGAAAGGTCACTCCCTGCAAGCTTTGGTCGAAACGCTGACCGAAGGTCAGGCTCGGCAAAGTGCTTGGCAATACCACTCCCAGCAAGCTTTGGTCAAAGCAATGACCAAACGTCAGGCTGATCAAACTGCTTGGCAATGCCACCCCCAGCAAGCTTTGGTCAAACCGATGGCCGAACGTCAGGCTGTGCAAGCCGCTCGGTAATGAGACTCCATGCAAGCTCTGGTCAAAGTTCTGGCCAAAAGTCAAGCTCTGCAAATTGCTTGGCAAATATCCGCCGACATTGCTCGGCGTGTCGGATACTTACTAGAGGATAAAGGATAACCCCCCCCCTAACCCCCCCCCCCGACGTCTATTACGTAGGTTTTTTTGGGGGGGGGGTCCCCCACGTACCGCGCGGCAATTTGATGACGTTCCACTAAACGTAGTCTTCGGGGAGCCGGTGTCGCAAAACAGGGGTCCCAGGCTCGATTCCCCCTGCCGGCTTTTTTGCTGGCTTGGGCTTCCTGCATCCTTTTGCCGAAAATCTGGAAAAACTCAATGTTTTTGGACGTCCTCTTTGCGAAAACGCTGGAAAAACCGTGTTTTTTTTGCGGGAAATACATACATACATGCATGAAATGCATGCATACATACATACATGCATGCATACATACATACATACATGCATACATGCATACATACATACATACCTACCTACCTACATACATACATACATACATACATACATACATACATTACATACATACATACATACATACATACATACATACATACATACATACATACATACATACATACATACATACATACATACATACATACATACATACATACATACATACATACATACATACATACATACATACATACATACATACATACATACATACATACATACATACATACATACATACATACATACATACATACATACATACATACATACATACATACATACATACATTACATACATACATTACATTACATTACATTACATTACATTACATTACATTACATTACATTACATTACATTACATTACATTACATTACATACATTACATTACATTACATTACATACATTACATTACATTACATTACATTACATTACATTACATTACATTACATTACATTACATTACATTACATTACATTACATTACATACATACACATACATACATACATACATACATACATACATACATACATACATACATACATACATACATACATACATACATACATACATACATACATACATACATACATACATACATACATACATACATACATACATACATACATACATACATACATACATACATACATACATACATACATACATACATACATACATACATACATACATACATACATACATACATACATACATTACATACATACATACATACATACATACATACATTATACATACATACATACATACATACATACATACATACATACATACATACATACATACATACATACATACATACATACATACATACATACATACATACATACATACATACATACATACATACATACATACATACATACATACATACATACATACATACATACATACATACATACATACATACATACATACATACATACATACATACATACATACATACATACATACATACATACATACATACATACATACATACATACATACATACATACATACATACATACATACATACATACATACATACATACATACATACATACATACATACATACATACATACATACATACATACATACATACATACATACATACATACATACATACATACATACATACATACATACATACATACATACATACATACATACATACATACATACATACATACATACATACATACATACATACATACATACATACATACATACATACATACATACATACATACATACATACATACATACATACATACATACATACATACATACATACATACATACATACATACATACATACATACATACATACATACATACATACATACATACATACATACATACATACATACATACATACATACATACATACATACATACATACATACATACATACATACATACATACATACATACATACATACATACATACATACATACATACATACATACATACATACATACATACATACATACATTACATACATACATACATACATACATACATACATACATACATACATACATACATACATACATACATACATACATACATACATACATTACATACATTACATTACATTACATTACATTACATTACATACATACATACATACATACATACATACATACATACATACATTACATACATACATACATACATACATACATACACATACACATACATACATACATACACATACATACATACACATACATACATACATTACATACATACATACATACATACATACATACATACATTACATTACATTACATTACATTACATTACATTACATTACATTACATTACATTACATTACATTACATTACATTACATTACATTACATTACATTACATTACATTACATTACATTACATTACATTACATTACATACATACATACACTTACATACACTTACATACATTACATACATACATACATACATACATACATACATACATACATACATACATACATGCATGCATACATACATACATACTTATGTACATGCATGCATACATACGAGAGAGGGAGATTGGGGAGAGAGAGGCTTGGGGGGATGGGGAGGATGGGAGCCGAGAGAGGGAGAGAGGACGACAGAACACACAAGGGAGACAAGGAAGAGAGGAAGAAGGAGAAAAGGGAGAGGACAATGTCGGCGGACTGAGCCGGAGGCTCTAAAGTACCCCCTGCAAGCATTGGTCAAAATGGTAGCCGAAAGATAGGATCTCCAAGCTGCTTGGCAATGCTACACCTACCAAATCTTGGTTGAAGCCATCGCCGAATGTCATACGCTTCAATCCTTCTGGCAAGGTCACATCTTCCAAACTTTGGTCAAAATGATCGCCAAAAGTTAGGATCTGCAGGTTGGTTGGCAAGGTCACCCCCAGCAGGCTTTGATCAAAACAAGTTCCAAAGCACAGCCTCTGCAAGCTGCTTGGCAGCAAAACTCCTTGCAAGCGCTGGTCGAAGCTTCTGCCGAAGATGAGGCTTTCCAAATTGCTTGGCAGGGTCGCACCCTGCAAGGGGTGATTAAAATGATCGCCAGGCTCTTCAAGCTACCTGGCAAGACCACGTCTTGCAATTGTTGGTCAAAGCAATGGCTTAAAGAAAGATTCTGCAAGCTCATTGGAAGAGTTGCTCCACGCAAATTATGATTCATGTACCTGCCTAGGGTCAGGGTTTGCAAGCTAGTAGGCAATGTCACTTTGCGCAAGCTTTGGTTAAACTCGTCGCCGAAAGTCAAGCTCAGCAAGCTGCTTGGTAAAACTACGTCGTGTAAACTTTGATCAAAAAAGCTTCCAAAAGTCAGACTCTGCAGGCTGCTGGGCAAAGCTACATCTTGCAAGTGTTCATCAAAAAAGTGGCCCAAAGTGAGATGCTGCAGGCCGCTGGGCAAAGTCAGTCCTTGCAGGCTGTGGTTGAAGAATCTGCCGAAAGTCAGACTTTGCAAGCTGCAGGGCAATCTCACCCCGCGCAAGGCCTGATTGAAGTGATCACCAAACGTCAGGCTCTCCAATGTGTCGGGCAAATCCACGCCTTGCATAGGTTGATTGAAAAGCTCGCCAAGATTCAGGCTCCGCAAGTTTGTTGGCAAAGCAATCCCCTGCAAGCTTTTGTTGAAACACTCGCCAAACGACAAGCTTTGCAAACTGCTGGGCAACAATATGTCTTCCAGGCTGTGGTCGAAGTGCTTGCCAAATGACAGGGTCTGCAAGCTCCTGGGCAAAGCTAAATCTTTCAAGCTCTGGTCGCAATCATCACCGAAGGTCAGGGTCTTCAAGCCGGCTGGCAAAACCACATCTTGGCTGCTAAAAGCGCAAAGTTTGCCCAAAGTCAGACACTGCAAGCTGCTCGGAAGTGTCACTCCATCCAAGCTCTGATCAAAATAGTCGCCAAAAGTGAGACACTGCAAGCTCTCTGGCAAGATGACTCCCCGCAAGCTGTGGTCGAAGCCCTCTCCGAACCACAGCTTTGTGATGCCTTCCAGGGAGAACTCCAGCTCCTCGCCGGTTTGCACGGCACTCCAAGCATCGGCCAAGCAGGGCCGTGCAAAGGTGAAACTGGCGCAGGCTGCACAGTCGGAAATCTGTTCCCGCAAGGTCTTGTCCGGCACCAGCTTGGCCTCCCCGAAGCTCACGTGAAGCCTTCCCGGCCTGCGGGCACACCCTTGCTCGGTTGCTTTCTGCTGCCCTGCGAAAAGTTTAACTTTTAGCGGCTTGATGGAAAACCCATTAGTTGGCAAAAAGTTAAAAGTCCTAACATCCAAGCAAGATGCACCAAACGCTGTTTAAACCTGGCGCTTCTTTTCACTCCGCCCGCAACCCTCACTTCCACAACTTTTGCGCCGTGCCTCGGTGGCAGCTTCGACCTGAGGAGCTGCAGAAGCTGGCGGCCCGTGAGGCTGTCAGCCACGGTGAGGTGCAGCTCTGAACCATCGAGCCCCGCGATGTGCAGCTCCAAGTCGCCCATAGCCAACCAACCGGATGAATCCGAAGGTTCGAGGGAGGTACCAAAGGGACCTACCCAAAATGTGACGAAGAACAAAAGGGCACATATCTGTCTATAGTTGGGACTGTCGCCTAACGTTTGCGCACCTTGGATTTGAGTGGGCGCTCGACTGCATCTGGGGGAGTGCAAAATTGGTGTGCGCTTGTGCTCAAACTGGAGCCCCCTTTGGTGAAATCCCCCCACTTAAATGGATTTGAATGTTTCGAATTGAGGTTAGGGGACTCTATCAAGCTCATGTTCGTAATTGGATGTCTAGCGCCTCTTTTGTGGTATTGGTAGTGTACGGCAGGCGCTGTGAATCAAAAGAAGTGCTGCTCCTGAGAAAATCAGCAGGCGCAAAGAAACAACTTCTGCCTTGGCCGCGAGGTCGCCGAGTTGAGCAACACGGCCAAAGGACAACGCCGGCAAACCAGTGGTGACAGCTGACAAAAAACCTGGCTGACAGTTGCAAGAGGCATGCCAGAATGATGACCCCCTTGTGTCAACTTTGAAGGGCACAATCGTGTTTGGGATGTCCCCCGTCCCGCCCTCCGATTGGGCGGCATGCCTCCAGATTTTCGGGCAGGGGCGATGTGTTTGAGGGTCCGGCAGCACTCCTCTGCTGGCTGAGCCTCCAGGGAATGCCAATTTTGCCGGCTGACTCGGCTGGACGTCTTTTGGGTTCAGCCGCGCTTCACCCCCATATCGGCGTATTGTTTCAAGGATGAGGCAGAGTCCCAAGCCAATCGCAATGCTACGTGCAAACCCCTGGACCGACAAGCAAGCCCAAGCACTGCTTCAGCCTTCGTGACATCAGGCGACATGCCGCCTGCTCGCAACCTTAGGGGCAAGCCCGCGGGGCCCCACACTGGGGAAGGAAAAGATTGAAGAAGATGGAAGAAGCAACAGCGGCAGGAATGTGCGGGCATGGGTCAAAATTAAACCACCAGGGCACCCAAAGGGTTTAGTCCATGTTTCCATACACCAGGGTTCCATTTTCGGTTCCCATTTAAAGCCATGTGCCTCATTGAGCAATGCCTGAGGCTGCAAAGATCCGCTGGGGAGATGACGGGGTGGCAGCGAACACGCCCAAATCCTGGTTGTCGTGGGTGTCTGATTGGCTTGGGACACCGGGTCCAAGCGGAGCATTGCTTAGCAGCAGGGCTACGTCCAGTGCGGTCAATCCTATTGACACCATAAACTAAGACCAGAATGCGGCTTGCAGGTGCTTCCCAAGGGTGATGAAGTTCGCTTTGGAAGTTGACACATGGGTTCTTTGCAGTGCAAAGAGTCCGCGAACTCAAATGGCCGTCATTCCCCTCGACCAAACCACGCGATGCGCCTCTTGCACGCGCGGGAGCACCGGCAGGGGCACTGCCCTCGGACCAGGCCTGGCACGTACAGTGCTGGCCGCGTGTCAATTCCCGCCCCCAACCGCTGCAGAAGGGTTCGGTTCCTTGCTTCGGACACCGAGCTGAAAAAGGCAGCCTCAAAAAACAGAAGCAAACCGAAAACAAGCGAGTGACGCGCCACGCCACGTTGCAAATCTTTATCCCCAGCCTTCGACGTCTCCCACTGGGCTTGGGCCCTACCAGTGTCGGCCGCTGTACGGCTGGGAGGGCTTCAGCAGTTGCAAAAACGGTGCAAAACCAACAATTGGCTTTTGTGCGCACATTTTCTGTGCAGCACTCTGCTTCAAACACACTTGAGCCCATGACCTCCGCTCTCTGAAGGGCAACGCGCCTGCCAGCGCTCCCTTTGGCCAGGGGGAAAGCGGCACCTGCGAGCCCACAAGCGGCTTGGAGGGGCTTCATGGGCGACCACGCAGGTCACTTCCGGAGGCCTTCAGCACATGCACGCCTGCGCCCCTTGGTGCGGGTGAGGTGCCCGGTGTTTTTTCTGATCGGAGCTTCGCTATGCTTCGCTTCCACGGAAGCACGAAGCGCTCCAAGGATCTTAGGAGCACTTTTTTTATGCCGGGGGAAGGGATCGAGAAAAATGGTTTGGCCCGGAGCCATGGGCTACCGCCATGCGAGCGCATCGCCATTGACAAGTGTGGTCAACGGAAAGCTCCCGACTGCCAATGCTCAAAAGGCTTAGACTATCGCATAGGGCACGGTCAAGATTGCTCGCTTCCCCAAAAGAACTCGGGAAAATGAATGAGTCCCCTGGATCCTGGATTTGCTGGGAAAATTATTGCTCCTTCCCCCTTTTTCCTCCCAAATGGATCGTCAGCCTTTGGTGCCCAAATCCACGCAGCCTTCTCTGGCTGACACTCAAACAAACAAGCCTCAGGCCAGGGATTGAATGCTAACCCCGCATCAAGACACCCTTGCTTGATTCTTTATTGTGGGGGGGAAGCGGGGGGTGCTTTTGCGGGTGACACCCACGAGTACTAGGGTGGGTTGATCAATCCGGGGGCAAAGTTATCTGCACACACTTCTGCAATTCAATTGTACCACCTCATCCACAAGAATGCATCCCGCTTCATGCGTGAGGATACGTTTTCCTCACATGAAGTGCCTGTGCAACATTCGCCCAACCGCTCTGCGACTGCATCCCCCCACAGGCCATCCGCGCATTCTGAGCCAACGGCATCCGCATCTTCCCGCGCGCGTGCAGAACAAAGCCAAGCCTCAGTGGCCATTCCAAACCAGCATGTGAATAACATCCGTGACAACATGTCGCAAGGAGCCCTTCTGAGCCTTTCTGAGCTTTTTAGGGTGTAGGCTTAGGTCCAGGGAGCTTGGGCTTGGGCCAAGTTTTGGTTTAGGGGCATACCAGCTGGGCCCCCAGCTGTGAGGCAGTGAGGTGAGATCCTGTCAAGCCGACGCCGTGCTGAAATAGTTCTTTTGTGAGGGCACCCTTTCCAGCCTGGTTTTTCGAGGAAGGAAAACACTTACGTTTGGGGGGGTGGTCCCAATGTTTTTGACGAGAGCCAATGAAACAAACGACTCGTGGCACCAATGCTCGCAGGCGAAGCCATGAGCACGTTTGCAGCGGCCTGGTGGACTTGGTACCATTTATACGGGTGGTGGAAAGGGAGATCAAAGGTAAAACCCACGTTATTGAAAAGCTCTGTGATTTTTGCGAGTAGCCTTTGTCTGGCAAAGCCGGCCGCTCAGTCCGTGTGACCCCGCCTGCTGGCCCCAAGGGATCGGGAACACCCTCGGGGTCGAAAGGCACAAAGTAGGGCAGCAAACCCGGCTCTAGCCTCGGACGGTTGCACGTGGTTGGGCTCATCTGAAAAGGATTTGGACCCCTAAAAACATTGAAACACCCCTCAAACAAACAAGCAAGCAAGCAAACAAGCAAACAAGCAAACAAACAAACAAACAGACACAGAGACACACAGACACACAGACACACACACACACACACACAGACACACAGACACGCAGACACACAGACACACAGACACACAGACACACAGACACACACACAGAGACACAGACACACAGACACACAGACACACAGACACACAGACACACAGACACACAGACACACAGACACACAGACACACACACAGAGACACAGGCACACCGAGACACAGAGACACAGACACACAGACACACAGACACACAGACAGACACAGAGACACAGAGACACAGAGACACAGAGACACACACAGACACACAGACAGACACACAGACACACAGACACACAGACACACAGACACACAGACACACAGACACACAGACACACAGACACACAGAGACACACACACACAGAGACACACAGACACACACACAAACACACAGACACACAGAGACACACACACACAGACACACAGACATACAGACACACAGGCCCGCACACACACAGAGACACAGACACACAGAGACACACACACACACAAAGACACAGAGACACAGAGACACAGAGACACAGACACACAGAGACACTACAGACACACAGACACACAGACACACAGAGACACAGAGACACACACAGAGACACACAGACACACACAGACACACACAGACACACACAGACACACTGACACACACAAACAGACACACAGAGACACACACAGAGACACACACGCAGCACACAGACACACAGACACACAGACACAGACACACACAGACACACAGACACACAGACACACAGACACACAGACACACAGACACACAGACACACAGACACACAGACACACAGACACACAGGCACACAGACACACAGACACACACACAGACACACAGACACACAGACACACAGACACACACACACAGAGACACACAGACACACAGACACACAGACACACAGACACACAGACACAGACACACACACAGAGACACAGAGACACAGAGACACAGACACACAGACACACAGACACACAGACGCACACACACTCAAAGACCGCCGCACAAAGGCGGCACGTTGTTGAGTGACAAATGACATGGCGCATGGCCAACGAATTCTAACCCAAAGTTCGCGGGCCAAGTCAGAACGCGCCAAACGGCCTGCCTCACTTGGCCCCGGGCGGCGGTGCTTCCTCGGCCCGCACCTCAATTGGCACCTGCAATAACGCGGCAGGTATCGGGATGCATCTTTAACAGTTGGGGAAATGATGGAAGTGGCGCTCCAAGGTTTCATTTTGGGTAGCTACCCCGCCCAGGGCGACGGAAACCAACCACTCCTTGGCTTCAGTCTACTTTGCGGCACCCAAAGCCTGGGACCTGCTCCCAACGACTGCGCAGCCGCTCCGGAGCTACCGTTGCCAAGCAAGACAAGCCTCTGGTAGGTCACCATCCTCCATCATGTCATCGGCATCGAGGGCGGAAGTTGACCTGTCCGGATTTCATGAGAACGGTCAGGGCCTCAAGTTGGCAGCACTGGAGGCACTTCACTCCAAGCAACGAGCAGTGGAATAGCATGGTGTATATCTGATATCTGGCCATTCGCAGCTGAAATGGCCTGCTAAGTGAAGGGGAGATGGCCGCTTGTCTCGCCTTGGATTGGCAGGGCAGCGCATCAGGAAGGAAACTTGTCACGCAGCGCGCGCCGCCAACCTGCTTCCTACATTGACACCGCGTCAAAGGGTGGGGGCTTCTTTGCTCTCAATCTTCCCTTGGTTTGGTTTGGCAATCCCCTCAATGCTGGGCTTCACGCAGAATACCACCAACGAAGAAAACCAGATCTCTTGTTGGGAAAAGGGTCCAAACCAGCAGCCTGCAGGCTCCAGGTTGGTCTGCTCGCCTGGGTCTTTTTTCCCAAAGCTATAGGGCTTCTTGCTTCTGAGGGGCAGGCGGTTCTGCGACTTTGGGCCAGATGGCAGGTTGGGGGTGCTGTTTCGTGTGCTCAAGGTGCCAGTTGCTGCGGTGGTTCCTGGCCACGGCTTTGGCTTTGGAGCGATCCGTCCGAGCGGCGGCGGCCCGCAGCGCCGCCGCGGCCCCGGGCTCCAGCAGCTCGGCCAGGAACTTCTCCACGCCCTGGGAGGGTGCTGGTGGACTCTTGAACCTCTGATTCGTCTGTGTGTTTTCTATTGAGGGGGGGGGGAGGTCGGTGTTTCATTTTGTGCTTTTCTCTTTGGGGGGGTGCTTGTTGGTGTTGTTTGGCCTCTGCGTGTTGTGAGTTGCTTGCTTGGGGGCTTCGAACGGTTGGGATCTGCCACCCCGTACCGGTTCCTTCTGGAACAGCTAAGTATGTGTCAAAAGACCCAAACAGTGGGTACCCCGAAAAGGGTGCCCTCAACAAACACAATGACCAGCTGTACCTTCGTGCCCTGTCATCCACAGGCCGCACCTCGCTAGAGCTGTCATCACCTGCAGAGGCCAAAGCCCTGTCTGTGGACTGACATGTGAGCTACGGTGAGCGGGTTCTTGGGTTGGACACTTGTTTCCCCCAAACTGCCCATTGCCTACTGCAAGGTTTGCCAAGTTACGAACTTGCGGAGAAAGCAGCGGCGACACAGTCAATTGACTTTGCCAGCTCGCCTCGCTCTGTGGCAGAAATCTCGTCGTCCTGCACGAAGATGTGGGGGCTGTCTTCAAATGAAGGAACCCCAACAAATGGGTGGCTTGTCTTTGCTTTTGATTGAAAATACCCAGGGCAAGAGCTCTCCCAATCAGGAAACCCCAACCCCCAAGAAAAAAAGAGTCAGTGATGTGTGCTTCTTCTCGCCTCCTCACTGAAGTGCACCATACTAGGCCATCGCTGTAGGACGGCATGGGTGAACTTCAGGTTTTTGTTTTTTCTGCGCATCAATCCGGCGGTGTTGTGTCTTTGCTGCCTTTTGCCAAGGCTGCCAGGTTGCAGAGGTGCAAAGGCACCAAAACAGTCTGGAGTTTGTCCTGGTCGCCCTATCCATCCACTGCAAGCCCAACGCCAGGCACGTGCAAGAAGAAAGCGCTCAACACCACGCTGAGGTTTTCCCGGTTCACTCTGGGTGTACTACTGTCTGCAGCAAGACGTGACGGTTGTCTGAAATCCTTGCTCCGGAAACCGCCATCTTCGCGAGAAGAAAAAAGCTAACTTTCGCGAGCCCCATCGCGGAACTTTCGCGGGGCTGTTTTCGCAACGTTCCTGTATACAAAGTACACTTCCGCAGCCCCGTCTCGAAAGTCGCAACTTTTCAATATGAAAGTAGTAAGGGAAGTTGAACATCCGGAGCCCCGGCTCGAAAGTGGCAACCTTTCCGCTCCAAAGTAGTACGCTGAACGCGCTTCCGCAGCTCCAGCTCCGTCCAGCTCACAAGGCGTGCAGCAGCACGCGGGGGGACCCGTTGGCTGCACATGTCTGGAAACTGGCGAGGAGGTCCATCGACTTTCGCGAAACTTTCGCGGATCTCACGCCAAACTTTCGCGAAATCCGGCAGGAAGGCTGCGCGCAACTTGGCCCGGAAGTTTCAAAACTCCCAAAAGCTGATTTGCTAATCTCTGCTCGGGGTTGCTTTTGCAACGACGTATTCTTGCGGCAGCGCGGCAGCCGGCAGATACACGTGGTTCATCATTCCAGCTTCCTGTTGGCAAGCCACCCTTGCAGAAAACTTCGCGAGAAAAAAAAAAAAAAAACTTCGCGACCCCCTTCGCGGAACTTAAGACCAAAAGGTCTGCCCCTTCATATCTCAATACAAGGACCTTTCGGACGACTCTCACGTGGAGATGCCGAGGGCGCCAAAATCAGAAGAAAAGTGCAAAGGCAGTCCCGAAGTAGCAAGCGCTGCTACCTGCAAGTGGCATTGGGCCATCTTCAGCTAAAGTCCAACATCATTTGATAGCCTCATGGGCAAGTTGCATGCTCAGATCTCTTTTTCCAACTACTCGCCCCCGAAGAGGATTTCTTCCTTCACTGTCTCGACCTCTCCTGAGGCGACGATGGTCCCTGAGCAAGAACGGGGATGTGTCTCGTGGCCATGGGGGCACTCTGGGCCTTGAGGCACGGCTGCTGCCTCCGCGCGAGGCACACAGCGCCACCTGAGATGAAGCAACACATGAGAAAGTAGATCATGGTATTGTCAACTTTGGGATTAGGACCATAAAAAAATGGGCTTTGGTTGTCCCTTTGACTTTACACCAAACCCAAAAAGATTACCGAGCGCGAGTTGTTTGCTGAGCTGAGGGCCACACCAATCTGAGGTGGAAGCGCGGACGCACACCTCCTGGGGCCTCTCGTCTCCGCCTCAATTTCGTGGCCTCCTGTTGTATGGGGTGACAACATGTCCACCGGCGGTGCAAGAGCTGGGCACGTGGGCCGAAACCCGATTTCCTGAGCTCTCGACACCGGCAAGTGTTCTGGTGTCCGTAGGGGACGCGCATCCTGCACGCAGGGCTTTTGGAGGCACGGTAAGACTCACAATACAAAAATGGCCGCCTAAGACACCAAATAAGACATCTGCACTGGGCCCCCAATAGGTCTGAAAAAGAGGAAGAAATGACCTCTCCGCTCACAACAGCAAACAACTACACATCGCGGGAGCGGCCCATCCCTTTCAGCTTCGTTTTGGAAGTGCGAAGATTTACAGACTGTTTCGGCCAACGCCAGGGCACAACCACAAGCTTGCCTCATGAGCAACGCCGGGTCAAGGAACAGAGCCACGGCGATGGTCCGAACCTTCAGGCTCATGCCGGCTCGCTCAGGAACCCTCCCAGCAAGAAGCTCTTCCGGGTGCTAGGTCTGCTCAGGCACTGCTGAAGTGGTCGAGGTCGAGGCATGTTCCCCGTTGAAACCCTGGAATCGGCCTTCCTTATGGTTTGCCTCTGAGCCCCGGACTGCATGATCCCCCCAGCGGTAGAGCCAGAACCTCACTGACTTGAATGGCCGGGATCAACGAAGGGTTTCTCAAAATACTGGCCCCCAAAATGATTGCTCTCCCTTCGGCCGCCCTGAAATACCACAAAGGGGCCGAATCCCAATTGGAGAAGGTCGGTCTTTGCATGGGGGAACTCCGAAAATGGGCTTCAGTGTCCATTTGGAATCTCTTTGAAAAAACACCTCAATTCCCCTTGAAATTGAGGCGCGGTTGGAACACCCATTCTACAGTGTAAAATTTGCAATTTGCCAAAAACGTCTACACAATGACGGCTGTTGCAGAACGAATTCTCTACAAAATGGGTCCCTGAAATTTACAGGTTGGTTTTTTGGATGTTTCAACGGGGGGGGTTTACAGGGATCTACGGCGCGACGGCCACCAAGAAAACAGACGCATGCAGCCTCTACAAAACGCATGGATATTGTAGCAACTCATTCTTGTAGAGACAACCATCCCTCTGCAAAATGGGTTTACTTCAAACTGCTTGCACTTGACGTGAGGCGTGACCCCACTTTCACTACGTAAAAGGAAAAAACAAACATGGTCAAAGGGAAGTCAACCCCTCCCATTCTGTAAGGAAATATCAAGGAAATGCATTTCAGACAAATGGGTGCTCCAACGTAGTATAGCAAACGTTATACAGGTACAGAAAGAATCTGACACAGTCACCGGTCCATAGTTGGCCAGCGGGGTTGCGTTTCGTATTAGGGCTTCCCCTATCTTGACACAAAGCCGAATCATAGTGACATCGAATGGTTGCAGCCGAAGTTGCCCCCCCACGGAGTCCAAGAAGCGAAAGAAGTCCTGCCACAGATGTGCAGATCATGCGAGCGAGCGCACCGGTCAGCGCGCAGGCACAGCTTATGCTTCCTGGTACTGGTCGCCCTGGAACCAGGACAGCTTCGTAATCTCAATGTCATTCCTCGATCCGGGGCCCTGCAAAACCTCACTTCAGGCCCCCAAAGCGCTGGGGCCGCGACATGAAAAGCACGCGATTCCACTCATGCCAATAGGTGTCGCGGAGAACCAGCGCGTCCTACAGGACAACACGCAAACACCGCAGTCACCACTGGAACTGCTAGACAGCCAGTCAGCCAATGTCACACTCCAATTGAACCGGGAGCAGGGCCGTGAGTCGGCGCATCATCTTTGTACCCTTTGGGTCTATGCCTTTCGACCTTCGGCGCTCGAGAATGCACTGGCATCCTCTCCAGGTATTGCTGCCCAGGCACTCAATGTACAGGCGACAGAACTCCCAGAAATGCTGAACCTCAGTGTTCAAAAGAAAACTCTGGCTGCATGCTCCCCCAGGCTCATGCCATTTTGTCTGTGGTTGTCGCGTTTGCCCGCCTTGGGGCTGCTCCAGGCACTGAATTCACATTACATCCCAAGGCCGCCCGCCTCGCGGCCTACACTGTTCCAAACTGCTGACGGACGAAGCCGCTCAGCAGATGTTGCTGTGAAGGCGCCGCAGGATAGCCATAGCCAGGGCCAGGCGGGTTGCCAGAATAACCGCTGGGAAGGCGCGTCACAAATGGATCCTGCGCCTTGGCTGGAGCCGCTGGAGCCGCGGCTTCCAGCTCCACCGGCGTGTATCTGGGCTCCTTCGTGGCTCGTCGATCAAGCGAAACTTCTTGGGCTACGTCATGAATCCCTTTGACTAGCGCTCAAGAGTGTAAAAATGTCCAAAAAGTCTCACTCCGGCCACTGCGGATATGGAATAACATAGACTAAGTCCCTGTAGTTACCTCTGAATGTCTAACAGCCTGAAGAACCGTACAGAAAGAACCGCCAAGCTTCCACTGCGCGGTTTTCGGGGCGACCTCGCTTAGCCTTCAGCGCCCCCAGCTGGCGCCACCCGCAGAACGCGGCCAGCAGGGCCCAGGCCGTACAGCCGCTGGCCTGCCAGGCCCACTGCCCCGGCACTGCCAGCTTGGAGGGGCACTGGGTGCCGTCCGCGCGGTGCCCGTCCTAAACATGATGATGTGTTCAAAAAAAACTGGGAAAAGTCTAGGCACTCCCTTTCGCTTCCCGCTTCCAAACCAAAAACCCGTTGAATGCCACGCAAAGCATTCAGACGGCCTTGTGGCACTCCAGGCCGGCCAGCAGAGCGCCCAGAGCCACCAGCACCACGTAGCTCACCAGCAGCAGCACCGCCGGCAGCGCGCGGTCGCAGCCGTGGACGGAGGCCGCCAGCAGCGCGCAGAGGCCGTGCCAGGGCAGGGCGTGGAGACCCAAAGGGCCCAGCAGCACCAGGGCGCCCTGAGACCATGGAGTGCCCAGCTGCCTCGGTTCGTTGGTCTTAGGGAGGATATGGTCTAAATCCCTCCAATTAAGCTCGAACAATCTAAACTGAGTCTAGAAGTCTGGCTGGGGACCGCCAAGTTGCGGCAGCACCGGCAGGCTGATAACCCTGCTGAGCAGGCAGCCCACCCCTGTCACAACCAAGAAGCTGCCCGCCAAGGGTGCCAAGGTCGCCAGCAGCGGTCGGCGCCAGGAGGTAAAAACCCATACGCCAAAGGCGCCCCCTGTGCAGTACCTTGGTCAACGTTCAGCCCCAAACCGGGGATTTAAACTGATTCCTGCCATCAGCACAGTGAAGAGCCAATATTTTAGATTTTCGGGCAACTTGTGACATTTCAGACGCCGGAACTGAGGAACTTTTCTGAAAGGCCCCTTCACCAGTGACGTCCACCCCCCCCAAACACATGTGGCGTCGCCATACTTTGACTTTTGAAAGCGGCGCGCCCTTCGTGAGTCTACCTGCTTGTCCCATGGGTTTTTCAGCGAAGCTCACAAGGGTTCCGCCCATTTTTTCTCAGACAAACGGCCGAGGCGCCAGCTGAGGGCCACGCCGGGCAGCTGCCCGTCCGCGGCCACGCCGAGGCCGCAGTACACCGCCCCCAGGAAGCCCAGCCCGGCTCCGATGAGCACCTCACTGGGAATGCGTCTCAACATGAACCATGGATGGTCGAATCGAGACTCGGGATGACCAATTTCAGGGCACAACTATTTGGATGAACCCATCAAACTAGAAAAAAAAAACAGAGGTACCCAGTTGAAGCTTTTCAAGGCCACCCCTCCGTCATGATGCTGTGGCTTCCTTGCATGCCCGTCTTCTTGCAAGTAGCTTTCTCCCGCTGCGCAAGTCCTCCATGCCCTATCGAAAATTGCCCTCTCTGGCAGACCCTTCCTGAAAACTGCTTCTGAGGCTGGTTGCAAGCCACCGGATTCTCCAACACACACACACACACACAGCCGCCCGCGTGCCATGGACACTTTATTGGTCCGTTTTGCCAAAAGAAAACATACCCTGAAAGAATGGCCGTCCGACTCGCCTGGGACCCCTCGAAGCCACTATGCACCGCCAGCGCGGTGGTGCCTGCAGCGCCAAGCACCAGCAGCACCTCCGACAAACCGGAGGCGAGCCCCCGCTGCTCTGCCTCGAGAATGAGTTCAAGATTTCGCACGCGCCGCGCTTGTCTCTTCCTGTGTTTTGGATTGTTCCACGCTCATTGGCCGTGTTGAGCGACCGTTTGGCCTAAGACCAATGCACAACAGGAGGAGGTTAACAGCTGACAACAGCGGCGTTGGTCGGTTTGCTGTTGGTTCTTTTTTGTGCGTTGGCTGTCAAGCCGAGGAGGTAGCGATAAAGGGTGCGCGAGGCGCAAAGCGGACAGCTATGCGATATGCAGGACGACGACAACGACGATGGCACGTGTTCTTGTACCCGTTTGGGGAAATGAGCCCCAATGCCCAGTCCAATGCTCCAGGGTAAATCCTGAATGCTGTTGGCGCTTCCCTTTGAAGCGAAGCTTGAGCCTTCGGCGTTCCTTCCGCCTCTCGTTTTGGACCTCCCCCCGCATGCGTTTGGAGTTTTGTTGGCTTCCAAAAGAACTGAGCTTAAACCTGGGGAGGCTTCCGATGGTCAATGCATTTTGTCAGTGAGAATGGTCAGCTTCTAAGGGGCAAGTTGATTCACTTGCATGGCAACCCAGGTCCCCGAGCTCGCGGGCTTCCACCCCTTTTGGTGCTGGCCCAGGTTGCTACTTCAATTTTGAATGAAAAATACAGATTCCTTGAAATGTCACCCGTCGCCACGATGTCTGACTTCGCCTCGAAGTGCAGCACCCAGGCGGCGCCGAGCGCCAAAGTGGTGATGACCAGCGCTTCCCAGAGCTTCGGCCCGTCCCAGGCGCACACCGCCCCGCAGAGCAGCGCCCCCAAAGCGATGGACACCTGGCGTGGTCGGAGGGCGGCTCTCCGGCCGGGCGGTTTAAGCGCCTGCGGCGCTAAGGAGACGCAAAGCGGAAGGGAAAGGGGAAGACTACCTAGAGGCAGCTTGACAAACAAGGAAATGGAAACAAAGCCGGAAAAGGGGCCAAGAGGTCAAAACACGACAGAGAGAAAGGGCCGCAGAACAAGTAGGAAGGAGGAGAAAAATAAACATAAAGAATGAGTAGACCATGTTGCTTGAACCAATTGATCTGGCGCATTGACAATGGCACGTGTTGGCACAGGGCCCTTGAAAGAGTGCCTAGGTCCAGAAATACTCAGCTGGCCGGCTTGCAAGGAAAAGCTGACAAATGTAGACTCCATCACGGCCAAAATCTACCTGTCAAGAAATGATGCTGGTATGCCCCAAAATCAAGGCGCACGTTGTGCTTTGCAGAGAGGCCATTCAATATGAATGAGAAACGCACCATCCGTACATTGAAAGAAGCCCATTCGCAGAATCCCAGGCCACCGCTGAGCCATGCCTAGTGGCAGGGGCCATGTGTGCCTGTGGCTTTGGGATATTCAGAGAAGATCTAAGAAGTGGCTTGCCAACGGATCGGGGCGAAGAAAGCGCGTTCTATCAAGTACCAGGGGCTGAAAGGGTGCATGGGGCAGCCCAGAAGTGCTGTTGGACGGGAGAAAACGAGAATAGCGGACACGGCTGATCGACAGGCCTGGTAGGAACTGCTTCGGAGCCACTGGCCAAAGTGCTTCGCATAGTTCAGGAAGGGAGATTTCGTGATCACCTCACTGTGAAAGTTGTAGAAGTCCTCGCGTTAAGCTGAGAAGGGTGCCACGTGAGCTGTGCACATCCACCTGTCCCATGTTCAGAACGCCGTATGGGGCCACGGCAATGGTTCCTTCTCTGGAACCCTTGCTATTGCAGTTCAGGGGTCCTTGACCACCCATACAAACCCAAGCAACAAGGTGGTTTGACCGTAGCGTGGTCCCGTCAGTGGTTCAATCGCTGGTGAGGCGTGGCTGGTGCTATCAGCGGCTTGTGGTACCGGCACTTGGGTGCGACAATATCGTTGAAGCCGCCCCACGCCAAAGAATGCATATGAGTGGCAAGTGGTTCTTACCAGCACGTAAACTACACACGGTTGTCCGCATGCGTTGGATGCCAAACGTGAAAGAATACCAGTTGCACAACCACGTTAAAACTGCAAGCACACGCAGGCTGAAAGCTGCCAATGACAAAGAGAGCAAAACAGCCCCTTGGGTGTGGGCGGCATGTTGGAGTCAGCATGTTCACCATGGGGCCCAGGCAGAGCTTCATGAAGCCTACTTGTTCTTGGTAACTTCCGGCTGCTGCACGTGGGAAGTGGGAGAACCGTCCAAAATTCCCACATGGCTCCTCGCACAGCTGCTCAGATGGCACAGCCATCGCAGGCGCGACTGCGGGCAGCGTGGTTGCCTGGAGCAGCGCACTGGGCGCGCTCGTCGCCAGGGGCACGCTGGGCGGGCTGCGCACATCTGGCCATGCCTGCAGCTGAAAGCTGCTTCTGGTTTGGCTTCTAGGGCCAAGAGCCCTGAAACAATTCGAAAGGGGGCGTTAAACTAGGTGGCCAAGAAACAAAGAGCCCATGCACAACGAGATTGTAGGGTGTTGTACTGAATGACAAGGTCAGTCGAATTCGTTGCACGGCATCCCGCAGCGTGGCACAACAAATGGTTCTTGGCACTTGGCACGTGAACAGAAATACATCAAGATCTATCCCTTTGTGGGTAGGACAAGAAGTTGCTTTCAACAACCAAACTCTGGCTTTTGAACAGGGACTGCCAGTACGTGGACTACCCGGAACCATGTAAAGATTTAAAAGGCGGCTGCCGTCAAAGGTCAGGACCACTCCTTACTATCCGGGTCGTGATTGTGCCTCAAATGAAGGTTGCTCCAGCCACAGGTGCTTAAACCCATGAGCTTCAGGGCTGGGGTGGCCCTCGCCTGCTCATTGCCCGGCAACAGCGCTGAGGGCAGTTGCGCCCTCCACGGCACAGGCTCAGGGGGTCCCCCGGGTACGTGCTCCATGGCCTTCGCACAGCGGTGAACATTTTGAGGCTCCCAAGCTGAGGTAGTTCTGACAACGTTCCGCATGGTCCGCGAGCGTTTCGTTGGGTTTCGCGAGGGTTCCGTGAGGCGGTCCGGGCAGGTTCTGTGGAAAGGTTTGAACAAATTCTGCGAGGGCGGGTATGGTTCGGAGTTTTGTTTCACAGAGGATCGAAAAAGAGTGCTGCGTGTTCTTAGGATCTTATCTAGGTTGTTATATGTTTTGGTTTGGAAAGGATTATTCAAAGGAACGAATTTGTATGTGAAATTGCCGTGGCTTGTTTATGATGATTCATGGTGCCACCTTTGTTGGGGAATAGATGAAGTTGTTTCATGTCCCCCCCAGATGGACAAGACCAGCGCATAGTCCATGGACTACATCGGCTTTGGGCTCCAGGTTTCGTTGCAGCTCGGGTCAACGTTAGATATGCTACCTGCAATTTTGAACCCAACAGCCAGTTTCGGGCGGGGAGGACCCATACATGAACAAAAGCTTCAGCCCCGGGCTCAACGGTTCCAAAAAACTTCTGGGTCAAAGCCCTGGGTTAGACCAAGCTTGTTCTGCCATCCACCTAAACATTACCCAAAAGAAATGGTTGCTTGAAGGGCCAAAATAACTGAAGCTGGGCGCTACAAAACAAATGACTGGGTTCGTCTTACGCCATCCAAGGTCGGGGTCCCTTAGGAGCTTACGCGGGTGAATTTGAACGGTGGGCCCATTATTTAGGTGGGGAACACCAAGCACTTTGGAGGTTGTTCCCCATTGAAAATCATAGCCAAGTAGGGGAAAAACACGAGGGCAACAGGGATCCTTACACTATACACCTGAACATTGCCTTGCAAATTGTGGTTTCCCTTCATTTTGGTGGAAAAAGCCGTGTTTCAAATTGGCAAAATGTGTTTTTTAAGGAGCCCTAGGCAACTTTGGTGGTGCCCCAACTTTTCGGGGCGAACGCCCCTGGCCTGCTGGGCCTGCACCATGGCGGCCATGGCGCAGGGCCCCAGGGCGCGCGCCAGGGTCAACCCGTGCATGCTCGGCCATTGGGCAAGTCGCTTGGGCCAAAGCTGCCGGGGGGGGGGGGGGAGGGGCGAACTTGGTAAGTCTGATCCATACGCAACCCCAGAATCCACATGTTGTTTGGTCGGGGTGCCCTCGTGCTCTTGGCGTCCAAGTTGGAAAGGTACGACGCCTCCACGGAGCAAATCAACGCAAATCCCCTAACACATGTCTGCTCCCATGGCCCAAGACCTTCCAAAGTCCCCTCAGTCTGGCACAGCAGATGCCTGGTCTCGAGACACATGCGAATAGCCGTAGACCTGGCCGTGGAAAGCTCTGGGGCCATTGCGACTTTTCCTCGACATGTCAAACAGGGAGGGCTGACGCGATCTTCACGCCACATCCTGACAGAGCTTGGGCAAGGCTACACTCAAGTTGTCAAAGAGATGCTTGATACACGTGTCCTCTCTCCTGTTGCACTTAAACTTGGTTGTTGAAACTGGGGGGGATCCAAGAGAAACCATTTCCTTCCGGCATAAGAATTATGGATCGATTTTGAACATCCCAAATTCGGCAGCCTGCCTCTCCAAGGGATCGCTGTCCAGGTCCGCCGGAAAGTAGCCATCCGTGTCTAACGTCCATGCCTCATGTTGACCCACGAGCGGTCTGAAAAAGAACAGAAATGGGAAAAAGGCAGTTGCTGCTACAAGCCTGGGTGCAAACCTGGGGATTCCCATCCCTCGTGGCAAATGGTAGCCTGTCTTTTCCCGCGTAGCGCATCCCACAAGAACATGGGCGGCTCCCAGCAGCGGCGCCCGCCCACCTCTGTGGGACCCCTGCATAGTCGAAGCCCTTCATCACCGGCTGCATGAAAATGGGCCCAGACCTTGGCAGCTTGTCATTTCGCGGGCTCAGGATTTGATGGCCGTTGATGGCCAGTGTTCAGGCACAAGCCTTCACTGCAAGACGGGACTTAGCCTATGGTAGGTACTGCCAATGTTACCACAAACTGGCCATCATGCAGAATATGGTGCCCACAAATCAACCAAGTCTGGTATCTTATACTTCCTCTGAACCCGACTGGCCTGGCCCGGTCTAACACATTAAACAAGCGGATGAATTAAATAGGGGTACACAGTGTCCGATGCCTTCACCCCAAATCAACAATTGGAAGCTGATCTATTTGCAGGCAACGTACATGCACGGGGAGTTGGAAACCCGGGAAAACATATTTGCTCCGTCCAGCCAATTCTTACCCAACGTGCAGCTCAAGTTCGAGCAAACGGTTCCTTAAGCCTTACGATAATCACCCACACGACTCAGTCACGTATCTGGGACTTTGGGGCACTTCATCGCGACCTGCCTGCTTCCCAGCAAAGAGGTGATTCGCTGCCCTTTGGTGGCAACATGTCTTCTCACATGCAGCCAATGATGGCAAACTGCCAACAAGTTGGCTCCCGGGTTCGCAGGTAATGAACGCCAGGCACCCGCCCCACCCGTCGCCTGAAGCGGCACATGCCCCGGTAGCCCAGGCCGTAGCCGCCCAGCTCGAGCTCCATGCGGCCCTGCGAGGCCGGACCCGTTGGACCCGTTGCCAAACGCAGCAGTGAAATGGAAGGTGGTTTCATGCCTGCGACGTCGGACCAAGACGGAAGCCCAGGAAAAGAGGAAGAAACAAATAAGAAGGAAAAAAAGTTGGGGCCGCTGGGCCAGCTTTGGCCAAGGCACGCGCAAGAATGCGGGCACCGACTTGTAGTCCGGCACATAGGCAAACCTCACAGCAGGCGACCATTACGGCGCCCCTTTTGCAGCACCGCTGGAGAAACTTGATATGGCGAATGCAGAACGAGGGCAGCACCAAATCCTGTTTGGAGACGCCTGAGGCCAGTAAAATGCCATGAAGCAACATGGCAATCGCCATTACATGTCTGCATCCAATGCCCCACCGCCCTCAGCTTAGCCAGAAGCTGGCAAACTGGGACTTGAAACAACAACCAGTGCTCAAAATGCCTTGACACAGAAGCTACAGCCCGCCTCCAGAATTCGCTTCCGGCCTGGCCGAATTCTGATGGCTCAAAAGTCTCAGCACAGCAAAGGGCCAGGCTGGAAGCGCTCAAGCCATCGTGGAACACCACCACTGGGTAGTCTTCGCGCTGGTTAAACCTGGCGGGCTAGGCCTGCAATCTCCATGGAAACGCGCATTGCACGCGCTGAGCTGCATGTGTTGTTGCTAGCAACTCCGCGCAAAGGGCAATACCGTCCGCACGAGCAAAATGACTGAACTCAGCGACTGGGGCCCAAGAGCGTCAGTCACGGCGCCTCTTCCAAAGGATGGGCAATGTTCGCTCGAAATCGGCCAGCAGCTTCTCTCGATCACCTCAGCTTCGAGCATCTGAGCCTTCTCAGGCTTTGATCAAGCGTCACGCCGCCAGGAAACTTGGCCCATGCCCAAAAAGTCGATGGTTGCAGCAGCTGAAAAGGGAAACATAGGGACCCCTGCTTTATGCAGGCCGTCTTCTCTGGCACCAGGCCCCGTGCCAAGCAGAGCGTCCCGTGCCACTTTCCGACAGCATTACCACTAGGGCACAGCCAAAACGGGTACCCGGGTAACATTCTGCATTGCACGAGTCCAAACATGCCAATTTGACCCGACTTGCCACAGGACCTACTCTTGGTGGCCCGAGCACCTCCAATTGGGCACCCCAAATCCGTCTTTTGCTTCTCCCAGGGTCGCAACAAGGGCTTTTTTTTCAGCATGTCCCATTCACCCCCGTCAAACCAAGTAGTGAAACCACCTACAAGGCTTGGCCCACCTGAAGCCAAGCACAAAATAGTCAAACCGCGCGAGGGCGAAACGGCGAAACGGGAGGCCGCGCCCACCAAGTAGTGCAGCACCGCTTTGTACTGCCGAAGCCCGTCCTGCTTAAGGAAACCCGGTATCCCCCCGTTTTCATTCTTGACATGGGGGTACACTCCTCCTAAGGTCTAAGGCCTTCATTGTGCTCAGATAAATTGTCCAGTTGATCGGGGGGAATGATGAGAAACAGGATGAGAAAAACAGAAATACAAGTTGCTGGTCTTCTGTGTTGTGCCCGTCTTTTGTCTCTTCGACTTTTCCATTTTGAGATTATGACCGTCAACGGCACGACTCGTCAGGTTGGGTGTACGCGCTTCCCGCCTTGGAGCCCAAAAAGCCGGGAGCCGCTTCTCGACTGAGCTTTAAGAGGGACCAAAAATCAGCGCGGGTGACCTCCCCAGCCTGCGGTGCTCTGTGCTCGCACCACCCCGCTGGCAGAACCCCGCTGGAACCCTCGAACCTTACCTGGCCGCCCCGGACCAAGTCCGGAGCCTATCTGGGCTGAGACCCCAAATCTTTCAGCTGCGGGGGAAAAAGAAACAACACAAATTGTTTGACACACCCTGAAGGATTTCCTTGCAGTTTTTTGCCAAACCTTTCAAGTCTAGGTGGGAGCTACTTCAAAAGCCGAGTCAAACCTCCAGGAGTGGACTGCCACACAGCTCATCAACCCTTGCCACATTGGACAGATTTACCAGGGCAAACATTTGCCAGGCACGGGGAGGGCCCATCAAGCATCTATGAATTGGGTAACGCTGAAAGGGTTGGATAACAAATGGGTTCTGGGGTGCTAGACGCACATGTCTTTCCTTTGGTGAACCCATTTAGGGTCCCTTAATCAAGGTCCCACAGTCGAAATGTTTCATCCGGGCTCCTGCTTGCCTGGCTGCTCATCTTCGCAGAATCTGCCGCGGTAGGGTGGAAAGCACTCGCAGAAGCCTTGCAATCCACCAGGCCAAAGCTCGCCAATTGCGCGGTGTGTCCCGTGTCCCAATATATTCTTGCATTGTACGTATGGAACGACTTCCTTTTGCACAGGCGCAATGCCGTGATCCTACATGACGGCATGCGAGCGCTGAGGGACTCTCAGCTTGCCTGCCGGGATTCGACCAACAGCAAAGGCTATCAAGGCACCTCATGTGGCATTGACTTGGGACATGAAGATTGGAAAGCCAAAATCAAGATCAGCATGCCCAACCGAGACCGCACAATTCATAGGAAGCTTCAAGAACCAGCGCATGTGCAAAATGCAACATGCTTCCGACACCTGGCAATAAGGGTGCTTCATCATGGGTGAGCTCATTTGCCCATGGATTCCCCCCGCGCCTAGGTCAGAGAGACATCGGCCCCGACCAGTGGACCTAAGATGGGCATCAAAATCCATTGACCATATCTTGAAAGTGAAGAAAGGCACGCCAAAACGACATCTTAAATTCGACCAACAAACACGCAAAAAAAATGAAGACCTTGTAACTGGCCCATGAATTGTTCTCTCCTTTCGGAAACCCAGCAACGGAACTCTCAGGGCACTGGGTCTCCGACTCCAACAAGTGTGCCTTCCCGTGCTCCTCCACGGGGTCCTGCACAAAACGAGACAGGGGCACGGCCGTAAAACGAGGGGGTTCCTGAAAGGCTGTTCTCTTTTGCTTTGGATGCGGGGGCGCGGGTCTAACACTCCGTCCTGCAGCTCCCAGGAGCGCCAAGAGTGCGGCTCCTGGCCATGTGGCAGACAGAAATTGGCGGCCTGTTCAAAAGCAGCTTCACACGGCCAGGCCCGGCCTATGCTACAGCGCTTCGTTGGTTCCCTGCATGACTTTCTCAAGAACCCAGAGAGCTTCCAGGAGCTTCGCGGCCCAGCTAGGACGACTCAGAACCCCACGCTCCACGCCCCTCTGAGAATCAGCAAAACAAAGCAGTGGGACTAAAGTGTTGGAAACATCAAATCGACGGGTGGCCACCCACCTGCCCCGTCTCACAGAAGTCCGTGCCCTCCTGAGCGCTGGGGTCACAGGAGTCCATATGACCACGGTGGCAAGTGGGACGCGGGCTGGTGGGACTTAAACAGTCTGCATGTATATTGATATGAATATCTATGTACACACACATATATATATATATATAATATATATATATATATATCTGTACCCGGGCGCCCGCTGACAGGGAACCCTATTTCCACCTGGCGCTAAAGACGCATTTTGCTGGCGCCACATTGCGGCCCAGCGCCCTGACGCTGAATTAGTTCCTGGCGCCACATTGTGACGCCACATTGGGTGGCGCTCAATCAGGGCCTAGCTTTTGGCGCCATTTTAGACGGCGCTACAAATGGCCCGGCGCTACAGATGGTGCTCCGTTAGCTCTTGGCGCCGCGTTAGGTGGCAGCGCTGGATTAAGGTCTGGCGCTGAGTTAGCCCGCGCTTGGTGGAGCAGGAACTTCTTCTGATGGCTTGCCTCGCCACGGCGGGCCCTGGGCACAAGTCATATTGAATGGCCATGCTTGGCATTGCTTGGGCAAGATGTGGGCGCTTGTTAGGCAAAGTAGCCGTCGCCCCACATTTGACTCACTGAACGCCTGGAGGCAACGCCAACAAAGCCGTTTCACTCAGAACTTCCCGCATCCCCCGAGTGATCCTAATTGCGGCGCTTAGAACTATATGCAAAAAAGCAGCGAAACTTGCTTACATGCGGGGTACCCCCGTGAAAGATGCCTGATGACCTTTTGCAGCGGGGCGAGGCCATGGCAGGGGTGCAGGGGTGGCAGCAAATTGCAAATGCAGCAGGGGACGCACCGGTTGCGGAGGTGTGCGTGCGCCGCGCGGGTGTCCGCTGCTGCTTCTCCTCGCGCAGCGTCGCTTGCGTGTCATTTGCGTGTCATTGCGCGTCACTCGCGCGTCACTTTTGCGTTACAGCGTGTCACTTGCGTCCTGCGTGTCACTGCGTGTCGCTTACATGTCATCACATGTCACCTTTGGACAGGGGCTGGTAGTTCGTCTTCGTGCAATTCGTCTTCGCAATTCGTCTTCGCGGAGCTCGTCTTCGCAACCTGTCTTCGCTTTCTTGGAAATCGCCCTTGCGGCTCGATTCCGTGTTGCAAGTGACATTCGCCTAGTAGGTGAAGCGTCTTCGCCTGGAAATTTGTCTTCGTGCGACTCGTCTTTCGCAATTCGTTTTCGTTGGGTACTTCGTCTTCGCAGAATCGTCCTCGCAATTCGTCTTCGCCTGGTCGTGACTTTGCTGGGAATTCCTCTTCGCAATGTGTCTTCGTCTTCGGGTAGACTTTGGGTACCCCCCAGGCGGGTCCAATGTACATATATGTATATATATATATATAATATGTATATGTATATACCTAATTATATACATATCATGTGTATCCCTGTTTTTGCCTACTTGAAGATCCAAGCATCCGTCGGCGCCGAGGCGCGGGCCGCCAGCGGCAAATGGTTGGCCTGGATGAAGTGGCACACCCGCTCCCGGGACTGGCACGGCCGACGGTTGAGTGTTTAGGTCGAGACATGGGTCTGTCTCGTTTTTTTCCTTTTTTGGGAGGGGAGTCTTATTTGTTGGCTGGTGTTGAAGGAAACCCAAAGAGAAAACCACCATGAGGCGGGTGCCCTAAAAAAAGACACACCCACATGAAGATCGCCGCGGCTAGAGGGCGCACAGGGCTTCCTCAAAAGGAAAGCCGTCTTCCAAATCCTTCCATCATAGTTCGAGCCGAGGATGCATGGATAACACGCAGGGTACCCAGCGGCATCCCGCCATCGACCGATTTGAAGCCCGGGCAGCCTGGTCCGCCAGGCCTCGAGCACCTCTGGCCTCCCATGGGACTGCGGTCACTCCGTTCCAACTCCGCTTCAAAGGATCACGTGGATGTGTGTGTGTTGGTACCATGTTTGGAGTTGGTTTCAAGGGAGGCCATAAGGAAGGCCACCATTTGTGGGATCGCTTTGAGATTGCTTTTTTTGCAGCCTCTGGATAGCTTGCGACGCCGGCATTGCACCTGTTGTATCCATCTTTTAGTATAACACAACATTTTGGACCCATCGATCTCTTGGAATCCTGCGGCTTTTCGCTGCCTGGAAACCCCGATCTGCTTGTCAAAAGCACAAGGGCAAGTCCCATTCTGTGAGATCCGTCCCGAGACCCAACTAGTAATTACAAGAACAAATGTTGACTGAACCTTGGCGCTTCGGACCCTTGCTTCATAAGTGCCCGAACCTGATTGTAACATCAGCCTTACATTGCGGCATGGGATCATGCCTTGCAAATCCAGGTCAGTATTGGATAAAGTTCCCGTTGCGGAATCAAACATCTCCATCGCATGTTGGCCGCGTGTATTCAATGCAATTCTTGCGAGTTGCTGTGAATTTACGTGCGGCCGTTGGAGCCCCGTGGCCCAACTTTTTTTGCCGGAGAGGGACCGCCCGGGTCCCCGGCAAGCTCCAGGCCAAACAAAGCCGGAGCTGCTGGGGAGCAATGCCAACCTGCAAATCGGAAGGCGTGGCATCTCCAAGAGCTGACATTCAAGGGCTGGGGAGGGCGGGGGGGGTGTTTTATTGGTGAGCTTCTGTGGAATTGAAGCTTGGGGCGTGTCGTTTCTTGGGTCGCTCAGTGACGCAATGCAGTGCGCTAAGATAAGGAGTTGCTGTGCCTTTCGAGCTCAGCGTCCCGCCGCTGAGCCAGTGGTCGTAGAGGGACACCTCTTGTGGCCTGAGATGGCGAATTTGAGGACACCAAGGACTTCAAACAAAGTCAAACCATGATGTCTTGACCACTCACTCTGTGCAGCTTTAAGTCAAGCTCTGCAACCTTCCGGGCTCGCTCCAATGCAAAGATTTGCCTATGCGGCTTGGCAACCTGCCAAGCAGAAGCCGCCAACCCCCTTCCCACTGTGCCCAAGCTTCGCGTTAGTCGCTTGCGGCTTGGGGCTTCCGAGGGACGGGCTCATGGCTCGACGCCGGCGGAAGGCCTGGCCGGGAGCTTGGGACTTCTCCGCATGGAGAGAACATGAAAAGCGCCCAGTGGAAAAGTTTGGACCCGGAAACGATGTTGCCAAAAGCAGAGTCTCTGCGTGCAAACCACCCTTTTGCTGATGTGCTCATGCTGGCGGGCCTCAGCGGGCCACAAGCCGACTCCGTCCGGGTCCCACAAACAACCCCGCATCGCCTGATGAGGCAGGCGATGAACCACGTCGTAGCAGCGGCACGACCTGAGGCTCATGAACCTGCGACACTTCCCACTTCCCACCCGAACCTTCACCTCTGACTAGCCAGGGGCCAGCGTCCACCTTGTGACCCGTGGGCTTCATGTTATTCGCCCCAAGCCTCCGAAAAACCATCGGGCCGGAGGATTGCTGATGCTGCCCAGCCGGCCCCGCCCTGGGCACCAGGCTGCCGACCAAATCACTTTCAGCACCTGCGCTTTGGCGTCTCGGCTGGCGGACGCCCTCACTGCCAAGCCCCGGGCGAAGACTGCAAAGGTGTGCCTGGGCCCGCGCCCACGTCACAAACATGGCACCTTTGTGGACGGTGCCTACCGCCTTTTCAGGGGCAAACCGGAATCAAAGGATTTGGACAACCCTCCATAGACTGGCACCAGCACGGAAACCATGGGATCCGGATCCCTTGGGCTGGGGTTCTGAGGCACTGACTCCAGGTGCAGCAGCGTGTAGCCCTGCCTGGCTTTCACGCGTTCAGCCCTGAGCTCTGTTGACTCGGCGCCCGCTCGCAGTTCTCAGCCCCTGGCTCCTCCATGATGGCAGAGGCGCTGGCCAGGGAGCACTGCGCCAACCACCAAATGGCCTCCGATTTGAAAAGCTCCCCCGATCTGTGCCAAAAAATGCGAGCGGCAAGCAGCCCAAGCGAGCGTGCCGGCCTCTCCCTCCGTCTCAACCTCAGACAACCAGGCAGGATGCTCTCTCTCCCTCTCTCTCTCTCTCTCTCTCTCTCTCTCTCTCTCTCTCTTTCTCTCTCTCTCTCTCTCTCTCTCTCTCTCTCTCTCTCTCTTTATTGAATCATTCTGGCACCGCACATGGCCTTGAGACGCCGGTGAACAACAGATGTGGTGCAAGTCAAAAAAAAAACTGGGAAATCAACACCGTTTGCACCGTGTACAAAAATCGCGCTTTTAGAGCTGTAAACATGATTTGCTTTACGCCCATTGCAAACCTCGTTGGTGAGAGTTTGGCCTCCGTCATACCTGGTACACGCCGAGAATTAGGTAAGACTGTCAGTGGTTGCAAAAAAAGGCGCACATATTAGAACGCTGGCTTCCCAACAGGGTAGTTGATCAACGACTGATACAGTGATGCTGGTGCATGGCCGTTTCTTGATAGTCAGTTCCACTGTAGCTGGCTCATGTTCATTTCAGTTGTCGGTGCTGATTCCACTGTCATGTACGCCTCTTCTTAGTTTGATGATTTGAGCGGGGGCCGAACAAGCGGGACCTTTATGCACCTTCTCCCGTAGGTATTGCTGAGCTGTCTTCGCGCGCTTGCCACATCACTGTACCTGCTCTGCAGCTGAGGTCCCATTAGAACAGGCGAGCTGCCCACATGGCTGCAAGGACGAGATACAATTAAACCTGAAGTGCGAGTGCAAGCCTGCCACAATAAATGATGTACTCTTGCTTTTTGAACCTCTGACTTGACTAGCCAACTGGCATGCACGCGTGCGGAGTGTAGGACCAAAGAGGCCCCGGCCGAAAGCAGATCAGGATTGCCTGCAAAGCAAGTGCAACCACATGGGTGGCTGCCATTCAGCATGCTCAGGGCTATTCAGTACATGGCAGGCAGTCCATTGCACCACGGCTCAGTTCTTGCCCCTGGCCCTCACACACCCCAAGCCACGCCAACATGGGGCGCCTTCGCCCGACTTGGAAGCCTTCGCCTCTGCCGCCTGGCGAATACTGGGCAGACTGAGCTGGGGTTGATCAACATTCCATTTAGGGCCCCGAAATGAGCAGGGGTAGCATTTCCCATTTAGTGAGAGATATCATATGTTCAGTGGTTTTCACCCATTTTCATCCCACGACCTTCATGACCACTCCAGAAAGCTGGCTGGACTTGCTTGGGCGTGCGCTTCAAAAGCGGAAGAAACCCCAAAATGGCAGGTTTCCTTTAGGTTTACGACAAATCCAAAATGGATACCACACCCATGCACCGGCGCGCCGGTGTCGCCCAAGGGCCTTCAGCCACTGCGAGTGCCAAGCTGTGAAGTTGGGTGCCACCTCCACCGGCGGTGCCTCAGGAACCGCTCCCCCCGACTTGGCTGTGGCTCAAAAACATGTGCCAAAATGGCACCCTTGGCAAATGGAACCAAAGACTAAATCCTGCGTAACCCTAGCTCTTTAATTTTGACCCACAGCCACTTGAGGGGTTCCCATCATCCCTGTTATGACACCTAGATGTTTTGACCGCACCTCATTCCCCCCAAAAAAAAGAAATGAGAAACAAAAAGAAAGGATAAAAAAGAAGAAGAAAAAACACGCCCCACCAGGGCGAAAGACGCGTGCCAAAAGGCAGGTGCAACCGCAAGCCTTTCTTGCAGGCGGCGAATTCGGGGGGCCAAACTGCCGAGGTCCCAGCGAGGAGCGGGTTCACGGGCACCCATATCCTCGAGGCCACTCAAATGCTGTCAATACTGTGGACACAAGTTCGCAATAACGCTTGACCTCCCCCATCCACGTCCCACACACCGACCCCGAAATGAAGAACACCTCCCGAGACCCACACAACTTTGGCGTGAGCTGTGGCGCTGCCTCCCGCGTCGGCCCCTGGCCCGAGGGTTAGAGAGCGCGTGGCGAGAGGGGCGTTGCACCCAGTGTCGCCCCAATTTGTGGCTGGCTGCGGCCATCGTCTTTTCTCTTCTTTTCCTCTCGATGTCATTACATAACATGTTGCAACCTCCCCAGCTGGGCCAAACTGCTGGGCTCCATCCTAACACTAGGCTCGACCTCGCGGCCAAGCTAGGCGGGCTTGGGCATCTTGCAGCGGTTGCAGCTGGTCTTGCTCGCGTAGTTGTGGTTGCTGCAGGCGGGGCACAGCCAGTCCCCTTCCCGGAAGCCGTGGGGCAAGTTGGCCTGCTGCATGGGCTTCGGCACTCCACCTGGGCCAAGGGCCAAAGAGAAAGGGGCTGAGGCCGCTCCCCAGATCAGGTCTTAAAGATTGTCGGCTTTGGACTACTTTGTCCCCCACACACCCCACACACCCCACACACCCCACACACCCCACACACCCCACACACCCCACACACCCCACACACACACACACACACACACAAACCAAAAGAAATGGCGAACATAGTTGTGGTGTCATGCCCTTGCCAGATTTGTTAGAAGCGGGTGCTTCGGCAATCCAACGGCTAGATTTGAAAAGTCCCCACAGCACGCAAAGCACGCAAACTACGCAAAGCCTGTAGACGGGAAAGAGTGATTTAAAAACAAGCGCGATCTGCAATTTGCAGCTCCCAGGTAGGGTTCGAATCAAGCCTAGTGTGGCCCACGGCGCAGAAATCACTGCCCCCCCCCCCCCGCCCAACTCCGTGCCAGCCGGTATGAACTGCCCGTTGTGGGGATGGATGCCGAGAGCAGTTTGCAAAAATCCCCGGCCGAACCCGGAAGGTGTCCGAGCATGCGGACGTGCATCAAGGCACCATTCAATGATCCATCGTTGGCAGCTTGAGTTTTTACAGGGGTAGCATGTTTGACTTCAGCCGGAGCCCTGCATTCCAAGCGACATCTGTTGCATTGCGTCTTGCTGGCATAGTTGTGGTTGTTGCAGGCGCTGCACATCCAGTCGCCCTCCCGGTATCCATGCGAAGCTCTTGGTGCGGATGGTGGCTTTGGCACATCGACCTTTGGATTGCCACCCAGGTTGCCCGCTGGGTTGCCACCTGGATTACCACCTGGGTTCAGCTCAATTTTCTGCAAAGTTAAACGCTGACATGCAAGCTGGATTCGCAGCAGTCTACCAACATGGCCCTGAGTCCAACATTGACCGGCTGCAATCAAGCAACATCGGTTGCAGCTGACCTTGCTGGCATAGTTGTGATTGTTGCAGGTGCTGCACATCCAGTCGCCCTCCCGGAATTCCTGCGTACCCTTCTTCTCCAACTGCGGGGGCTTCGGCATGTCGGTCTTCGGCCCGCCACCTTAGTCCGCACAAATCTGCAGAACATATCTTTGTCCATTCATTACGGGGCAACATATCCTCCATCAATACAGCTTCCGCTGAAGCCGAGCAGCACTTGTTGCAAGTAGTTTTGCTGGCATAGTTGTGATTCGCGCATGACAGACAGATCCAGTCTCCCTCACGCATGCCTGTGTTAGAGATCCTGGTCTCCCTGGGAATGCTGCACCTATTGCAATGTGTCCTGCTCGCGTAGTTGTGGTTATTGCAAACTGGGCAAAGCCAGTCTGCCGACTGGGACTGGGTCGGAGCAGTCCGCGTGGAATAGGTGTGCATGACCTGCTGGAACGGCATGCCACCGTGCATGACATTTGGCGCCATGGGCTGCGCCATGGTCGGCATCACCGCCGGCATCATCATCGGGGGCATCATCTGGCCGCCCATTGGCCCCATCATGCCCATCTCCTTCGGCACATTGCCTGAGCCCATGAGGGGCCAAAGGTACCCCACAGATATGTAAGGCTATAGGCCCTTGCGATACATCCAGAATCAATGGTCCACGATATCAGCCGGGGCTCACAGAACAAGTGTTGACTGGACGAAAAAAACAGATTGATACAGCGATTGAAAAGGAAAGGAGGTGATTATGTAATCTGACCCTCCACAACTATCACAATCCAACAGCAAACACACACTCCCACCCACACACCCACACATGCACGCACGCACTCACTCACGCACCCACCCACTCACCCACCCGCGCACGCACGCACACGCCCTGTCGGGCTGAAAAAAAAAAAAAACGAGTCTAAAGCTGCGTTTTCAGCACGTCACGTCACAGGAAAAAGTAACCTCTCTGGAAGTCGGCTTCTGTATCCCCCCTTGCTCCGCCCAATCGCCCACGAGTGCTGCAAAGGCACAGCGGTTGCAGTGAGTGCGCATGGGATAGTTCAGGTTGTTGCACATGCCACAAGTCCAATTTCCGCCTCACAGGTGTTGACTCCGTTGCGATGCCATGGGCATCCATTCAAGGTGCAATTCGGTGTAGTCACGGAACTTTTGCGAAAGCCATATCCGAATCAACCAAGGCACCCGCCTTTCGAAACAAACGAACCTGGATTTCTAGCATTCACGTCTGAGGGCACCGTCATGGTGCATGCTTGCGAGCGGACGATCGCATTCGGCCCGCGGCAAGAATACGCGCAAGGTGCTTGCAAGCGCATGGAGACAAAACAGCCGTCCGAGCAAAGCCGTACGTCCATGCCACAAGCCATCTCGGCCCGCCTCCTCCGCCCTTGCCATAGGGCTGCCCGGGCCTCGGGCCGCCAGGCTTGGGCATCTTGCACCTGCACAGCACCGGCCGCGGGTCATGCGCAATTTCGGCCCCCTAAGGAACCTTTGCAACGGAGCGCTATCGCAAAGGTCTCATGTCATCCGGATCATCCGGATCATCTGGCGGCTGCGCGTCGCTGAATGGATTGTGTGAGCTCAGCACGTTCGATTTCAGCGTTGGTGGATTCTGCAAGTCGCTTCTAACATCGGCAGCCAGCATGGTGGCACTAAGTGATGTTCAAATATATATATATATATATACACCTGCATCTTCATTTGAGCAAAAAAAAAAGTGCGCACAACGGAAAAGTGCGCGTTTCAATCAAAAACACGCAAAGTTCCAAGAACTGCGCGAGGCGTTTTTGGCTGGTTTGAAAAAGGTGCGGGGTGTGTATAGCCTGGACATGAACCTGTCAAGCTGTTCAAAAACAACTATAGGCAAGGATACATGCGCCTAGTCGGCCAGAACTTAGATGATCCAAAGAACCAGAGTGCATTTTTGCTATTTACCAACGGAGCGGTTGTCGGGAATAGCCTTCAACATTGCCAAGCCAGCTTGACAGTCAAGTGAAACAAGTTTCAACTCCTTGAAATTGCAAGAAGTTCGAACGGCTCTTGCAAGTGGCGCAGCTTCAAGCGACGACCACATGTGGCTCAAAACCGATCTGTTGGTTGGCAATTTGGGCGCTTTAGACATCTGCTGCCTAATTAAAAGGTCAAAAACGCACGCATACATGCGCACACTTTTCGAATTTGCGCGCAATTGCGGATATTTGCGCGATAGTACCGGATTTTTGCGCGCAAATTGCGGGCTGGCAAGGCGCCGAAAATAGACTAATTTCACCTATCAGCGACTTGTCTCAACAAAAATGCGGCGCAAGCACAGTTCTGGAGCAAACAGCGGATCCGTGCAAACCCAGGCAATACTTGCGGGCTGGGAGCTCTTCACGGAGCCAAGCGGGTTGCTAAATCAATGGCCTCAAAGTGTCAAGTGCAAGTGATATATAGCTGGTACTTGTGCCGGGTGTGCCACAAATTTCCTGCCTAAAACAGGCTTGGGTGGAGACAAAGAAGAGCTAGATATGCTGTAAACATCAAGGACTTCAACAAACAGCTGCGCCGGCACGGGCACGAGCAGCGCGGTATCGGTTGTTTACACAAGAAGTGCCGAATTTGGCTACCAGAGGAGTTTCACCCGAAAAGTGCGCAAATCTCTCAAAAGTGCGCAAATTCCAAAAAAGCGCGCAAAAACACCACAAAACGCGCAAACAAGCATTTGAGCAGAAAAAAGTGCGCAAACGAAGATTCAGGTATATATATACATCCCTCCACTGCCACCCAAATCAACCAAACCCACAGGCAGCGCACAGAATCCGAAATCAAGAAGCCGCGATCCGGCCGTCCAACGAGCCCAAGTGGCGCCTGTTGCAGTTGATCTTGCTGGCGTAGTTGTGGTTGCCGCAGCCGGGGCACATCCAGTCCCCCGGCCGAACGTCGGACTCCGTCTTCACCGGCGGCTTCGCCTCGGATCCCTCCATCGCCTGGTCCTTGGGAAAGCGGCACCTGGGAGTGAGGCGGGGGGGGCTTGGGGGCTTGGACCTCTTTCCGCGGCGGGGAAAATGGAAAATGGAAAATCAAGCCGGGCAGGGGCAACGCGCGGCCCCGCCTGTTGCACACCAGCTTGTCTGCGAAGTTGTGATTGCTGCACGCCGGGCACAACCAGTCCCCCTCCTTCATATCAGGCGACATGGCGTCGGTTGCCGGCCCTCCCACCAGCTCCCAGCCAGGTAGCTAGGCACATTGAGGCACTCCAAATCACGAGGAATGAAACAACAAGAAGCAGAGGTTTCCAAGACTTGCTGGCACTCACTAGGTGGGAATGAACCCAAGGGTCCCCCTCTGAGGAAACCACAAGGGATGGTGTATAAGGGTCATTCCCTTGTTCCCTGTGGAGAACCAGCAAGAAAACACAGGCCTTGCAAAGGGTAGACAAAGGTCGAGTGGATGCCGAGAACCATTCCGCACCCGAAAGTGCCTTCCCACGAGAGGGCCCCAGCCGGCGCAGCGTCAGACAGTTGCCCACCATGGGGCCTGGGCATGTAGCGTATTCATGTCTCTCCAAGACTAAACGTGAACAATCCAATTGTATGCCACCTTCTGACTCGGCTCCGAGCTGAGGAAGAAGACATCCGGGCTCGGCGTGTTGAGGCCTCAAAACGCCAGGTGTCTAAGTGTTAAACAACCCATGGTCACAAGCTCTTGAACGATTTGGGAAACTCCAAAGCATAGCTGCCGGGTGTGCGTGCATGAGGTCAGCCAGCCCAAAGCTCACATTGAATGATAGAATTTGACTTGTGCCACGCCAAGATTTCCCCTAGCCCTGGGCGGCTCCTGCAGCCCTCTTCGAGGGTCCAAGGCCGCCCGATCAGCCGACGCATCTGCCGTTCAAACGCAGCCAATTGGCCAAGACCGGCCCGCGGCACATTTTGTGCCGCAAAGACATACTCCTGTACGAAATATCATATTCCTTGGCCCCCCCCAAAAAAAAAAAAAAACGTTGCAGGAATGTCACCTCTTAGCACCAAAGTCACGGGCTCAAGGAGAGCCCGAAGCGTCCAAAGCATCCAGGGCGGCCAACACTTCCACCGCCGCCTCCTTGAAAACGGGCGGCGCCTCGATGAGCTCCAGGCAACTGCTGCAGCCCATGCGCCTGCACATTCGGTGAGTCGTGTCCTTTGCACCGGATATGCTTTTCGAGTCAAGGTCAAAAGGCAACAGCGGCTCTCATCACCGTGTGCCGGGTCCTTTGGGAGCATCATGTCAATGCAATCCTTCCGCGAGGTTTGTAATTGGCCCCGATTTGCGGGGGCCGAAAGGGTCCCCAAAAAAGCAGAAACCTCGCTCCTCTCATTTCCGCCCGGTCCCAAATGTTGATAGGAGCACTGATGGAATCTGCTGTCCGGCCACCCGCCGCAAATGCTAGAATCTACAAAAGCAAAGGCCCCGAAGGATTGCCCAGTTTCCCTGGCCTGTAGGCCATGCTGGCGTTCCGAAACATCGGCAGGAAGTGCCCCGCGGCCGCGTCCCACTGCGCCCGCCGCAGAACAGCCTGGTCCGGCGCCAGGCACCGACCGTCCAGGTGGTCGAAGACCTCCACGCCGAGGCCCAGGACGGCGAAGAAGGTCCGGAGATACTCGCCCAGAGACTCCTGGGCTGCGACCCGGACACTTGCCAGGCGCCTAATGATTTCCACCCCCCCAGGTTTGAAGGACGAGCTGAACAAAAGGGGAGCCTTAGGTACTTGGAAGCTGGAGCGAGAGAAAGGAAGCCTGCTTGGCTTGCACAGGGATTCCCCCCTCGTTCATGCAACACCCCGAAATTTCCCGTAGGAAAGCCCGTGGTTGGACCAACGTCCTGACCCAACCCCCAGGCTTGCGAAACCCTACGCCAGGCCCTACGCATTTGGGAAAAACACAAGCCAAGAACTAAAAGCACGGTTGCATGCTTCCCCAAATGGTCTGCCCTTTCAAACACGCCATGATGAAATGGGTGAAAATTCAATGGGGCACAATGGAAGCTCACAGCCCAAATAGGAAAAAAGGTTAAAGGAGCAACTTCTGGGTGCGTGTTTGTGAAAACCAGAGGGACCCCCACCCCGCTATCCGAAGACAAAAATGTCCCGCTCCTCCGCGCAGCTCCACCCCTCAAGGTCGAAGGGCCGCGAGATCGCGGCTTCGCAGCTTGGCAAGGGCGGCGGCCCAGAATCGCAGTTGCGCAGACCCAGCACCACGTAGTCATCCTCAGGGCTCGCTTTCGTTTTTGTTCATTACCCGAGGTAGACGCCGACATCCCAGGGGTTGATTTCCCCCCAGGGATCGGGACATCTGATCAAAGAGCCTCCAGGGGCACCAAGGCGTGGGGAACCCGACATCCAGGCGAAACAGCGAAACAAGAGCCCAACAAGACATCCTCGATTGGGCCGGTGTAAATAGCGGTTTTTGGGGAAACCACCCTGAAGACACCTGAGAAACCTTGACAAAATACAACCAACTGAATGGCCGCAGTCAGATGCAGTCTCAAAGTCTGTTGGGTGTTATGGAGGTTGCCCAAATACCGGAACCCCACAAAGCGAGTTCAAAAAAGACACAGCGGTAGCAAGAAACTACCTTTGCTGCTCGTTTAGGGTGTTGCCGAAGAAAAGTGCCAGATACAAATCTTCCAGATTAAAGCATAGTGAAACTGCGATTGCGCTCCAACACGAGAACTTAATATCTTCTCAAAACATGACTTTGTCGGGGTATTCAGCAGGGCTTCCAATAAGAAGATCAGAGAGCATACAAAGATGGGTGCACCATAAACTGTCGTCTGCCCTAGCCAAAATGAACAACGAACTTTGTGGACAATCCTCTTCCAGTGTATATTTGTCTGCTTTGCCTTCTTAGCACAACGTACCCTTTGGGTTACCATATTTACATGTTTAATGGGAAAATTAAAATGAGACGTCTCCCTCAGTGTCCCATTTTTTGCCCAACAATGTTTGAGGGAGGCCTGCGTAAAATATCATGCCCATACAAACCCGCTACTATTTGTTGACCAATCTTTTTGGTGAAGATGCACCAATTAGCCGCCACTCATTGGGTGCGGGGGGTCCCATTTCCCCCATTGCCACTTTTCACATACCGTATTAACAAGTTCCAGTGTCGCAGCCATCCGTCCTTGACTCCACCCCCCCCCCCACCCCCCTGCAGCCGACTCGCCTCGCAGGCTGCGAAGAGCCACGTGAGCCACGCGGCGGCGGACCGCGACACGGCGGCACGGGCCAAACGCTTGAGGCGGAACTGCAAGGGGTCCACCGGTGCCACCACCAGGCGGGTGACCTGCACGAGCAAAGCGGCGAAGAAACCCGACCTGAAACCTTCTTCGGAATCCGAGGGTTGACTAGCCGTGTTTTCAGCAAAACGCTTGTCCTTGCCTAATGGGAAGCAAGAAGGAGGTTATTTAAAGAAATGGATTTTAAGCGGGTTGAATCGCCCAAACCTGCCTGTGACCGCCGGGAAGATGGCCCCAAGAACCCCGGCAGATCCTGTTGCAATGGGGCATATTGAGAAGCTGGCTTTGTGATGCCACAAAATTGAGGCCAGGGTAGGACTTACTGGGGAACCTGCACAGCCCACAGCCCACTGCCCACAGCCTGCAGCTTCTTCCTACCGCAGGCCGCAACTGTCACCGCATAGCCCAGGTGAACAGAGGCACTGGATGCCAGGATCACGGTGCCTCACACGCACGCACGTATCAACTGGATCATTTGACGGGGGTGCACCCACATAAAGGTGGGTCGGCTTTGTTTTCCCTTGAGCAGCCAACCACCCGCAAAAACAAAACAGTTGAAAGCGGATTGGGCCAAAGAGAATGCACATTCTCTTTTGAGCCAGCTGCGCATGCCCTCCTCTGGGAAGGAACCGCGCGACGCCCAGCGCCCTGGATGAGGCTCCAGCAGCTTGGAGCTGTCTGGCAGGTTTGCTGCCAGCACCTGGCACCCCAGCAAAGAGAGGGTCAAGTGACAGGACGCCCAGGATAGAATCCGGCTCAAACTGGCTACCAACGAAATCGCATGACACTTTGGGACCTCCGAAAGTTGCTTGGACTCTGCTGCAGTGCGACTAACCCTCACAACGAGTCGAATCGATGGGGCAAGGGTCCCAAACGATGTCCCAGTGACTTGTCCGTGGCTCCTGTGTGCTAAACTGGATTCCTCGTTTGCTATTTTCCTCTAAGCCATCAACAAAAAATGGAGTTCGCGAAAACCTGCCACCCCTCCCCTCCCTCCCTGGGGTTTAGTTTGGATTGATTTCGACTGGTTTCGGAGTAACCTCGCCTTGAACCACAGATCCTCCGGGTCTGCCTCCAGCTGCCTTCAGGGTTCAACCCCAAACCTGGGGGATGTCCATCACGAATTTGCCAAAGGACAAAAGACATGGCACTCGAAGTTGGGACTTGGACCCCAACGGATTTCGAGTTTCCCTTTCAGCGTCCCTTTGGTGAGAAGAGTGCTCCTAACCCTCCCAAAAAAGAGCAACAGCGGCCTCGGAGAAAAAAGAAAAAAAAACACTCAGCAGTTAAGTCTTGGTCTGGCTGCAGCAGCGCGTCCCCGGGCCCCAGGCGCCGCAGCAGCCGCTGCCGCCGGAAGACGCTGCCGGGGTCGGGGGAGGAGCCCTCGTCGGAGCGGGGCTCCGGCAGCAGGACCGCGGCGCAGGCGGCCGGGAGCCTCACCTCGCCGTTGGACGCCGTTGGACTCGCCCGATTTGGCCATGGGTCAAAATCCAAATCGTCCCCCCAGTGAACATCCCAATCCCCACTAAAATAGACTAAATGGGTGGTGCACCTACCGCAAAATGGTACCATTGGTTTTGACCCACAGCCATTTCTGGCCCCATGACTTTACCACTGAAGACACCCCTATTGGGAAGCCACCCGATTTTTTGGAATTTTCGCAACCAGAAACAGACAACATAGTGACCCCAATGGCTTTGAGAAAATACGGTGGGCGCTGAGCGATCTGCCAATCACGAGGGTTCCAATTCCATTTGGTCGTCTCTCTTTCCTGGGGTTGGGCTGCAGAGAACCGGGGCAAATACACAACGGATCTAGGCATTCCATCATCCACTGACAAAACCATGTAGAGGTCAACGGGCGTGCCTTTTTCCAAACTGATTTGTCCCCAATTCCTCCGCACTGAGTGGGGGCCTCAACTAGTCGACTCGAGGCTCAAGAGCGGCCCGGCGGTTTTTGCCTCTCGCTCGCACCGTCACGTGGCATCACATGGCTCGGCTCAGCGGCCCCAGCGGCCCCAGCGGCAGCGAAGCCGAGGGGAAGTCCGGAAGCTCCAGCCAGGCGCTGCCCGGCGCCGCGCCGGCGCCGGCGAAGGCGTGCCGCGGGGCCTCCAAGCCGTAGGCCACGTTTTGGGAAGTCGACCACCGGACCTGCGGATCGTTTTTCTTCAAGGCGGCCACCTCCAAGAGCTTTCCCTCGCTGTCGAACCAGCCGATATCCAGGTCCTGCGGCGTGGCCTTCATGGTGTCTCCCACCCGCCGTGGAGAGCCGTACCTTGCGGCTCCCTTGCTACCTCTTGGGCTTGTGGGATAGACACGTCGTACATCCCTCTACACTCCAAAAGTCCGAAAGTCCAAAACTCTCACCCTTCCCCCTTTCCACATGGAACCTGACAGGAAATGTGTCCTTTCTAAAAGAAAAATCGTCCAAACCAGGACCCCCCCTGTCAGGTTCCGTGTTTAGAGGCGGGAGGGTTTCGTCCAAAGCTGGGAACAGCCCAGGCGCTGCAGAAGCAGCGCCTCCTGCGGCCTCAGCGAACTACGGCCCTCGAGGCCTCGCGCGGCCTCCTCCGGCGTCTCCGCCAGCGCCCCCTGCAGGAAGTCCATCAGCACCTGGATTGTCTTTGACTGTGGATGGACGACATGCACCACCTAAGAAACACTGGAATGATGATTCCCCTGTAAATAACAACAAACAATGGTTTCCCATTGTTTCCCATAGTGGTGCAGGATTTCGTCCATCCACAGTAGGGTACCCCCAGGCTGCGTGGGTTTTCCCTCAAGAAAACCGCCCCCGCCCACCTCGCTTCGGCCGCCTCGGCCGCCCCGCACGCGAATGCGAAGGGGCGCATGGCGGAAGGCCTTGGCCAAGGGCGCCGCCAGGCACGCGGCGTCCCGCGGGTGTTGGAGACAGTCCACCTCCAGAAAGGAGCCCAGCCGAAAGCGGCGAGGGAGGGGCAACTCCATGGCACGCTGAAACGCAAGGCTCAGACCCCCAGGTTGGTTTGTGTGTGTGTGTGTGTGTGCGGTTGGTTTGTGTGTGTGTGTGCGCATCTGCTTTCTTTTTGCATAGCCACTATGTAAAGGGTGTATAACCCCGTTGGCACCTTGGTGTTGGGGTGGTGACTTTGGAAGCGGAAATCCGCCCGCGAATACCGACAAGAACTGCCCAAGAATGGGCCCATGGCCATTGTGACGTTCGCTTGACATATGCATCTTTGCACTGGGGGTTGGCTTGGGCAACCTTGCCGCTTTGAAGCAATCTGCGAGATAAGCCATGCCCGAATACACCTGGCCTGCAAACATCCAACTCCCCAGAGGTGGCTCAAATCATGGAATTGGCTCAGAAACCTTAGCAGCTCAATGCAGGAGGCACTGGAAATACACACTCCTCGCCATGCCAACAACATGCTAGTTCTGTCAGCCCCTAAGTGCACAGTCGCCCATATGTCACGGCGTGTCAATGGCACTTCCCAGCAACTATCTGCAAGCAACATCTTGCAGCCGTCGCCATCCACATGGATTTGAGCATCAAGAAAGCCAACAATCAAGGTCATCAAGCACAGTCAAGGGCGGTACCTCCGCCCTGCGAGGAGCAAAGCCTGCACAAGTCAAGTCGCTTTAGGCCTTGGTTGAAATATCGGGCACAGCTCAGGCTGCCTGGCAGGTTCACTTCCTGCAAGGATTGATTGAATGCATCGCCGAAAGACAGGCTCTGCAAGCCACCTGGCAAGATCACTCCCCGAAAGGGATCGCCAAACGTCAGGCTCTCCAGGCTACTTGGCAAAATCATGTCCTGCAGGGGTTGATTACAGGTCAGCTCCTGCAGGTGGCTGGGCAACGTCACTCCCTGCATGTTTCGGTTAAACCACTGGCCGGAAGTTACACTTTGCAGGCTTGCTGCAAAGCGGCTCCCTGCAAGCTTTGGGTGATTGCATTCCCAAGCGTCAGGCGCTGCAGCGAAGCTGGCAACCTCATGCGTAATAGAGATACATCCGGCTCATCCAAACTCAATTGTGTGATGTCTTCTTGGTCAATGCCATGCCCTTTCAGCACATCCCACACCTTGACCAGGCAGGTTTGAGAATAGGTGACCAGGCCAAGTGAGCCTAGTTTGGTCATACACCAACTCGACACCGCTGCTCAGGAGGAGCCTACACCCGGGCTTCCGAGGTAGCTCCGGCCTCAATAGCTGCAGGAGCTCGCTTCCCAAGATGGAGCTCACTTCGCAGCCATCAAGGCTGGTAAGGGTCAAGCTCAACGCGGAACTCTCCATATCCGATTCAACATTGGCGGCACTTGTACGCCTGCACTGTCTTGCAGCCAAGAATGCAGCCGGATCTGAGCCGGATTGTATAGACCCGTCATGCGGAGAAGAACAAGATCTGAAACATGTGCACCTATGTATCTGCTCACTTCTTAGGCGCTGCTGGACACATTGCATGCATGATCCAACGAAACAGGAATCGCACATTTTCTTGTGGAAAGACTGCGCCCGTCGTGTGTCCATTTGCAAAGAGCGAAGAGCATGTACAAATCCAACAACGACAAATTCCGCAAAGTCAAACTTGTCTATTGGCGCGATTCGCCTTGACTTTGGAGAGGAAGGCTCCCGGCAAAGACCTTGCTGTTGTGGCCCCCCTTTCAAAAAAAACGGCCCAGCCCAAGAGTTCGTCCCAGATCCGCTGACCAATCGCATTGGTAGACAAGGAAAATGAGTCATCTCGCGTTTCTTGAGGGTGCCTTTTTCAGGTTGTCTCAAAGGGAAACCAACAGGAAAACCGCAATCCATTTTGGAGTCCCCAAACAATTTAGACACACACCAATACAGTTGAACAAAACCAAATGGCACAAATCCCCCGTGTTTGTTTAGTCATCCCCTCTATTACCGGAACAAAGGAAACTATGAGCTGTTGACCCCATATTACTCCACCCCAATTTATTCATATTGGGGGTGTTCCAACAGAACCGTTGGCGTCATGCCTCCCATTCAACGGGTGCAAAACTGAATGTGGGCTCCGCAAAAAAAAAAAAACAACAACAAAAAAAACACAACAATGGGGTGTTCCCCTCCAAAAGTGATGCTTGCTCACTAAACCCAGGGACACCCCTCTATGAATAAACTGAGGTTGATTCGTTTGGGGTGGACATTACTTGATGGTGCCCACTAGGAAATAAGGCAGGGTTTCGGGAATGAACCCGGGAATTTTCGCTAAAGGAAGCCACCGGTGGGTATCACATCGATCCACGGGGGCCCCACCGCCAGCTGCAGGCGCACCAGAGCCCGGCCGTCCCCCAGCGGGCGCTGGGCCAGCTTCACCTGCGATTCCGAGCCATCGATGGATCCGTGTCCATTGGGTGCTCCTTAGAACGGTAAGCCCAAGGATGAAGCAACGCATGGGAAAGCATCCGGTTTTGGGGGCGCCGGTGTTCTTTCTTTGGGGCTCAAAAAAAAGGGGGCGCATCTGCAACATGTTGCAATACTAAAATCCACGACATGTCTAAACCACCCAAATTGGCAAAACTCGTTGTCATTCCAAACCCCGAAATCAGAATTGGATCCCCAAGTCAAGGACCATCATCACCCCCGATCCCTAGTCATTGCCAGTGACCCTGGAAAAATGGGTGCCCTGACCATCTTTATGAGGTGAATAGCTTTCTGGCGAATGAAACGTACAAGCGTGCCAACAGAAGCCTAGTTTGCCAACGCGCGCGCACCCACAATATGAAATACAGTATACACACACACACACCTCGCGACGGAAGTGCTGCATGCTGAAAAGCAAGGTCCACAGATTGGCAAGGGCGGCTTCTTTATCGGAAGGCTGGGCAGCCCATGTCCTCTCAGAGGCGAGAAATGGTGGAGCTCTCTGTGTGGGCATTCTAGCATTCGCCATGGTGAGATTATTCGTGCACCCAAATCAAGTGACCGGCCCTAGCCGACCCTAGCAACCGGGCCATACGCCACCCCCCGGGACCGCATCGCCTGCTCTGTAAAGTTCTCTGGGCACAGCTCCCAGCCCCAGTCGGAGGCGGCGCTGCAGACCCAAGTGCCCCAGGCAGCGCCATCCATGAGCCGCGTCTTCGCGTGCCTGGCCACCTGGACCCTTCAACGCGAAACTGCGCAGTTTGGTCGGGGGAGAAAGCGAACAAATTCTAGGACTGGTTCTTGGATGGCCCTTGGACGTATCTGAAGGGTAGATAGAAACGCATGCCTCTGAACTGGCGAAAGTCGAAACGTGGTTGCTTTGCCTTGCTTTGTGCCTTGCTTTGTCCGTGTCAAGTGCAGTGTCAGGGTCAGGCGTGGGATGGATGCTCATTGAGAAAAACAAGTGCAGGCCCTGCAAACCTGCAAGCCTCGGCCGCGCCGACAAAGGCCCTGCAATGGCAACCAAGCCACAGCACGCCAGGACCCTAGGAGACCAAACTTTGGGCTCCTTGAGACCCTTGGGACCGTTGGGACCCTTGGGGCCCAGCTCTTGTAGACCCTGTCGGCCGCGTCCACCAGGGCATCCAGTGACGATGTCCCGTTGGCCTTCGACCGCTTTTTGGGTGCAGCTCGCTGTATCGCATATGGCCATGGGCAAATACAAGAGAAACATCGGAAGATCGCGCCAGGCAGGGTGATCGTAAGGTTAGTTCAGTCAAGGAGCCACTGGCTGCACGAAGGGCTGCGGTCTCCGCCCCTCACGCAAGAGTCAGCCGCAAGCAGGATCGGCTGCATGTCTCTCCCAACCAGAAAAACTGACATGGGTGTGTGTGTGTGTGTGTCAAAGTATGGATATGGATCCTACCAATAGCACTGCTCTTGTTGGCGTCCCTTTTGGCCAAGCTAATTTGTGCAAACCCTGAAAAATCAACAGAAACACACGGGGGAACTAAACATGATGCCTTGTAAAGGGTACTGTTGCCTCAAAAAGGCAAACGCACATGATACCTCCATGCCCCATCAGATTCCTTGGCAGGACGCAAGCAACAAGCCTGAGGCAGCGGCCGGGCCGCGTTGCGACCTGGAGTGGTGCAGTCAGGACCCAAGGCAAAGCTGAGCCAAGTGCTCCAAATCCCAATCAGCACGAATCCAGCCTGTTGCGGTTCCAGGCTTCAACCCGAACCCACAAACACGCCCAACATATATATATATGTGTGTATATATATATATATATGTGTGTGTGTGTGTGAGTGAATTTTAGATAAGAACCTTTGGTGGACATCATCTTTAGTGGGGATTCATTTCCACCAGCCACTTTTTGAGGTGGAGCCTCTCTCACACACTCTTTGGCGGCCGGACATCTCAGAGACGGCCAAGACCCCGTCGAAGGGCGGCTCAGTGCTCAGCGAGAACATCATGGAGCCCCAGCCTTGCGAGCCCGGCTTCCCGGGAAGGTCGTTCAGCTGGAATTCAGCGGGCTGAACAAGGCGAATTACATGCAGCTTGGTCGGAACCCGGGGCCTCCCACATGAAAGACGTCTAGGAAGTCCAGGACTAGGGGGTGGATGCTTGAGCTGCGAGTGGCTTGCCTATCATCCCGCCTGCGTCGAAGAGACAGTGCGCGGGGCTGTAAGCAAGACCTGAGCTTGGCAAAAGAAGGCCGGAGGTGCAACTGTCAAACGCACGAGGGGGGCCATACCAGGCCACACATCTTGATCAACCTCCTGACCATTATGCATCTGAGCCATGGCGCGCAGGACCCCGCAAGAAAGATATGCCTGGACACGTTCACTAGCTCCAAGCCTCGCGCTAGCAAGTCTTCGCATTGCATGCTTGCAATCCCAATGGCACACGTGGCAAAAGAGCCTGAACTACATAGACCGCCTTCGCGGCCAAAGCTTACATACCAAGCAGCGAGTCATCTTGCAGGACAGCTAACTTGCGAAAGGGCGGGCCGAAAGCTGGCTTCGTTTGCCAAAACAACAACACGGCGTTTTGCAGACGAATGTCACACTTCTTCCAAATGCAAACAGGCGGCAAAACATGCATCCAAGCAATGTGTAGCAGCAACAGTTGGCAAACCAGTCCAGAACCCGAACCCCCTGAGCGAGGTTTCTTTGAGCCCAGCCTTCGGGAACAGGTTCCCACCCATTTTGCCAAGCGGCCCTTGCCAGTACAGGAAGGCTCTGCCTGGGAAATGACGCGCCCACGGCCCCGACTGCTTTATAAGTGAGGTGTTCGTTCTGGTGAGTTGGTGGGTAGGAATGGATTTCGACGTGGGCATCATGGGCCGAAAAGCAGAGGTCAGCAAAGTGGAACTGAGGACTGCACCACCACAGTCCTGGCCATCCATGCTGAAGAAGGGGCCTTGGCCGCCAGGATGCCGCACAGTTTCCCCAATCTCCTTGGTTTCTGGCTGTGAACAACTTTCACCTACACAAAAAAGCCTTCCAGCTGCCTCCTTCCAGCCTAGTGTGAATCGCAGCTCTCAAACACTCCATCCAAAAGCCCGAACCAATTGCAACCAAGCCTGGCGGAAGAGTGGCCCTCTGTTTCCAATCAACAGGATCCGGGGTCCGAAATCTACAGACTGCACTCCCCCCCCCCCCGCCCCCCCGCCCCCCCTCCGCCCTTCTGCCCGGAGCACATGCACGGCTTGCGCGCTGAAGCTCCCAGCTGCATGGCCACCCGTACCCTCAAACATGGACTTGTACTCGTGAGTCAACTCCTGGCCAACTGTCTCAAAATCGGGGAAGCACCAAAACAAATGGTTTCCCTCTAACTTTTGGTTGGTTGGTTGGCTGGCTGGCTGGCTGGTTGGTTGATTGGTTTGACTGAACCTCTGGCTGGTTGGCTGGCATGTTTGCTGGCATGTTTGTTGGCCTGCCCCATCTCTATCTACCTTTGCGACTCCTGGCCATGGTCAAACAACCCATGTGACGACCAAGGCCCCATCCTGCACGCCGCTCTGTGAGCGTGGCGTCACCGCGATGAGGCTGTAAGACAGAGGCAGGGCCTTGCAAACACTGTGACACTCACCGGCACGCAAAAACAAGTCAGCCTGTTGGGCCATGGCAAGATTGCGGGCAATTGAGAGGCTGCGGAGCCAGGCGAAAGCAACAGCAATGTCAACATAGGGACCCGAGAAAGCGTGGTTCTCCTTTTGGCCCCATTTAAAACCAACCAAGGAAGGGCTACGCCAAACAGCGTAAACGCTGCCTGCGATATGGCGACCAGGAGCTTTTGCGGCGAAGGCCAGGGCACCTGGCCAGACTCGCCAGGAGTGTGACGACGACGAGGGGAAGGGCATGCACTGGCAGCTGTTTGATGTGGCTCATCTTGGGAAAGTCTTCTCAACGAACCACCTTAACTCGGCAAACTATGGAAAGATCGCGGGACGATATGAGAAGATTCCGGTTGAAACCTATAGAAAGCTTGCAAGGATACGGGAAGAGCAGGGAAGGCCGCAAGACAGTGGGAAGACTATTGCAAAACTACAAGACAATAGGAATATCGGAATACCGTGGGAAGACTGCGAAAGAGCACAGAAGGGCTACGAGAAGAATTCGGGAAGACATAAATATAAGACCTACAACGAAATGAATATTCTGGCATCGCCATGTGCTTCTGGGATGGCTTCGAGGAACACTACAGTAAGATCTAAACAACAAGTGTTGAGGGCAAGCCATGGAAAGACTACACGAAACCTGCGAGAACACAAGACCTCCACAAACCCCGGAGAAAACCAAGAACGGAAAGACTGCGGGAAACATACAACACCACAAGACTGCCGCCACGCCGTGGGAAAACAACGGCGAGACTATTGGAAAGGCTACCCAAAGGAAAAGCAAAAAGAAGGTCTACAAGCCTGTGATCGCTGGATGCCCCCTGGCTCGACCCAAGTCCCCGATGGCCTCAAAGCCTGACACGTCCCTTGAGCGCCACGTCGGCCTGGAGGCCGAGGCGCGCTTGGCCAAGCTGTCGGCGCATGGGTCGTTCTGTAAGTGTACCCCCTTTCCGGTGGTTCAAAGAGAAACCAAAAGGAAAACCACGCGTTTTCTTTCTTTCTCTCTTTTTTTGGGGGGGAGGTCCTCCTTTAAAAGACACCCATATGTTGCAATGGTTCAAAAACCTGCAACAAGACTTGGATCCCAAAGAATCTTCACGCAAAACTGGTGAGCCGCCAGCTTTAACGCAATATGACTTGCCCTGGGTGGACTGTGGACAGCCAAGTCATGGCACAAGCGAGTTGACTGCCGGCCCCAGCGGGTCGGCCACAGGGTCGAAGGCCTGCTGCGGCAGGTAGATCCTGAGGCACGGAACTCCGGATTGGTCACGCGCGCGCATCTTGGGGATACCCTGCTGGCTTAAAGGGAAACAAAAGGTCGCCCTATTTCGACACATGTCGCGGAAGGCCGTTTTCAAGATTCAACCTCCCCAGCGCCTGGCCTTCAGGAGTTTTAAGGTAGGGAGTCCTTGCAGTCTTGGTCAGGTTGGTTGAGCATGATTCGGATTGTTTCTTACAAGTCTTGGAACACCAAAGTGACCCAAGATCTGATCGGCCAGCTCAGGCCCCAACTCCTGCACGGTTTGGCACAAGGGCGTTGCCTGGAAGGCACTGGCTCACTGCCAGGTGGGCAGGCCAGGGTGGCCAAGATGCAGCCAATGCCAAACACGGCACATGCACACGTGCACATAACATGTATATGAACGAGCAAAAAAACATGAACACGTATACATCCTGTACATACATTCCCGGCATGTATATGCACAAAAGGATTTCGCCTGCAGACTTTGAGAGTTGCACATGTGCGAGTCCGTATCAGTTCCGCATGCATGTGCAAGAATGCACTTCAAAGCTGCTCACAATGCCCTGTAGCTCATTGCATGCATCCGTCGCAGCACTTTTTGAGTGACTTAGAAGCTCTTCTCTCTCCTTCTTCCTGCCAACCGCAACGACGTACCTTCGGCAGAGTAGGTGGGGCGAGCAACACCCATGCTTTTCATGCCGTTCAGGTTGCCATATGAAACTACCTGCAAACCACTGTTTCCTCCCTTGAACCCCCATACCGGTTTTGCCGAGCTGCATGATCAGGGGGATCATGAAATTAATGATGGAGGAGGTGGCCAGACCGCCCACCTCCGCGATCGTGTCGAAGCCACTGCCAGTGTAGAAGGGGATGCTCACGAGCCACGGTAGCCCGACAGCTATGAAGGTGGCAATCGAGGAGCTGAGACCTCCCTGGATCAAGTTGCACCGGATCAGGATGGCCAGCACTGGGATGGAGGTGACGTTTTGCAGCATGGGGTATGCTGCCACTGTGGCCTGCCCAACTTTGGAGCCGCCGGCGTTCAGCTTGCTGAAGAGGTTCTCGTTGGTGTCGTAGAAGGGCGGATACGCCATGCCACCAACTATGCCAACCACGGAGTAGAGCACAACCTCAGCAGGGTGGTGGTTTCCCGCTTTTGAATGGGTCTTCAAATGAGCAAACCATAAAGGTGAGATCTGGCAAGACACTGGGAAACCCCCGCCCATCCCAGGCGAGATTGGCGGCCATCTGAGCCCGTGGCTACAAACCCCATAGTTGTCCAGAATGTCGTCCCTCAGGGGGCTTTGCAAAAACAAACGCCGAGCAGTGCAAGTCGCTTAAACTCGGCCATGATTTGCCCTTCCTTTCTTTCTTTGCGCGCTTGCAAGAGAGTCTGGGAACCTCCCTAGACTCTACACCCCCACTTTTGCAAGCCCCGGCCCACGGAGACATCTTGCTTCTTCTCATTCACCCAGGACGGAAGCGTGCTGGTGAAGGCCTGTGGGCTAACTGGCGCCAGTCGGAGTCTGAGGCATGCCACGCACAATCCATACGGGGGTGTCCCAAATGCTCGGAATACGTGTCAGCGATATTGAAATTGGAACAACTCAGGCTGCGGCGAAGTTGAAGAGCACAGTCCCAATCAAAGATGACTGCGAGCTTGTCACCACTGGCAACGGGTGGGGAAAGGCCGGCTCCTTTAGCAGGAGTGCTATCCAAATGACTGACATCACAGCCAGGCCAACCACTGCCAAGTACTGCAGGATCACGTTGTCATCCAGGTTCTTTACCGCAAAGGGTGCGCAAATCAGTGCCACCGCCAGCCTGAGGAAGGAAGCACCTTTGCCATGCCTCATGACCCAAAAACTCTCAAGCTGGCTGCCGTATCCCAATGGCAAGCTTGGAGCCCGGGGCCTCCATATCAACACGCAGAGTCCAAAGCTTGGGGTTGACTGAGCCCAGACATTGGACAAGCCATGCGCAAGTAGCTCCAACTTCTGCTATGCGGCTCCCGAAATCCCTTTCACAACACCAAACAATATCATGCACGACCTGTTGTGCAACAAAAGGGCCCCCCCTTTAAGGCCACACCTCCAGCCGGGACTAAAACCCCAACCGAATCGAAGGCCGAATCGAGCCGAAGGCCGCAGGCACATGGAGCTGGATAGCACGTAGCTATCGCCAAATGGGGTCACCGAGTCCGTGCGGGTGCCACAGACATAGGCCAAACCTCCCAGCTGCAGGCCTAAAGTGGCAGCAAAAGAAAGCCATCAACGTCACTCATGGGGCCTGAGAGTCTGATTGAACTGGATCATTGATAAGGGCAAAAGCCAAAAAGCACCATTCTGGGAGGGACGCGAACCAAAAACCCGGCTCCTGGGGCACAGCCGTAGACATTGAGCATGATGTAGTCCATGACCTGTCCAGACTGGATGATCAGGGACATGAGGTTCAGGATGGAGTTCACATGGTAGCCTCAGCTTTCCCGAACCAAAACCACGAGCGCACTCTTCCGGCGCATGGCGTGTAACCTCCAGACGCTTCCGAAGGGCAGACCATGGTGCCAAGGTAGAGCTCGTGGGGCAAATAAAAGGAAGCCAGATTGGTGAACTCAATGGTCTGATCGAAGCTGTGGTTCCCTGCGATCTTCCAGGCCCAAAGGCGAACATCCATGATGCGACTTGGACTCCTTTGAGTTTTCTCACTGTATCCGTCTTGCTGCTGATCTAAGGAAAACCCAAAGAGCGAGCGGCCATTTTGAAACAAATCGCCCATCGTCCCATGGCCCTCCTGCGCCTTCGCAACAAAGGCGCGAAGGGCCCCCGCCTGGCATACAGCGCATGGCCTCGATGAGCATGAAGCCACAGACCGAGGAGAAGCCCGCGATGACCGCCTGGACTAGGAAGAGCGGCAGCCACCCCGCCTGCTGCGCCAAGGCGGGCATAGAGACGATGGTGGGTCCTGACAGATCTGAGACGTGGAAACTCCCAGGGCGTGGAGAAATCAATTTGGTGGCTGGGGTACGCTTGGCAAAAACCGGGAAACATTCTTGGTTGTTCAGCTCTTCGTCACGTGGGGAAATGTTTGCTGAGGACTGCAAGGGTTACTCCGAAAGCCGGCTGCGTCCTGCCAGGTTGTTGATCAGGAGCATCACTCCGCCAATCAAGCCGATGCTTTTCGTCTCTTCCGGTGCCTGAAGCTTACCCCTCGGAATCCAGTGCTATCCCATGGTTGGTTTTGATTGGTTGTGTCCCGTGCGGCAGGGAATCCTTCACTAGTTGAGGAAACATCCCCCAAAACCATCCACCATGGATAAACCCGAGGTCGACCATGCGGCCGTTCGTTTCCTTGGGCTCTTCACGCCCCAGATTTGCTTGGACATTTCAAGTCGGTTGCTTCGCGCGTGGCAACCCCTGCCTTCAACGCCTGCTCCCAGGCGAGCTTCTCCAGTACCCAGAGCTGGCCCCCAGACTCTCGGCAGCGCACGGAGGCGCCCGCAGGCTCCACGGCACTCCAGAGGCAGCTGCTGCCGAAAACACTGCCCGGGCCGTACTGGCACACCTCAGTCAGCACTATACACATTGGTGAATAAACAAATAGATAAATATATCTGCATATAGTTATATTTATGTGTTCATGTGTTTATTTATCTTACACTATGTGTACTGTATACTTGTACATTATTATATTTATGTTGTGATGTTGTGTAAAAGCAACTGTCCTACTCCCATCTGCATTTGTGTGTGTGTAGCGTTGTAGCGACTTCATACGGCACGGGAAGCGTGTGACCGGCTCAAAGCGGGCATGAGGGAAAGTAGGACTCTCATCCACACATTCCAGCATCCCGTAAGCTCAGCACCGTGACCTGGCGGCAAGCATTCCAAAAGCAAAGCCTTGTAATGACCCTCATGTGCCGAATCTTGGGGTGTGGACCATCTGCGTTGACATATAGCCTACTCAAACCGCATACAATCATAGCATGGCGGGCCAAGCTTGCCAACACGCAAACACCCTGACTGGGTCAATCAGGCCAGGAGCACGCAGCTGCCGTCTGGCCTTCGTGCCAGCATCTCGAAAACGCCCTCTGCCACGATGTACATCTGTTGGCTCACCTGAACAGAAGGCCGAAAGATCAATTCAGTGCCGCGAACCGCTCCGTGCAAATCCACAAGCTCCGAACTCAGTCCTTTAACCCCTTCCCCCCCAGCGATCGCGTGAGGCTAGCGCCTGGCCCTGGTGAACCACAATGTCATTGGTTTTGACGACCTGCACTCTCCTGGGGGCAAAGTGCTGGCCCCTTCGGTTCAAACAGCGCCGCTTTGCCCTTGTTCCACACTCGCACGGCCAACCACCTGCTGTGCAAGTGCAACGGCGTCTGCGTTAGAGGAGCCAGCCGCCCTTTCAAGACAAAGGCAAGGCAAAATGATTGAAGGTTGTAGCCGCTGTGAGGTTCGTTGCTGCATTTGGAGCGAGGAGGGTCAGACATAAACAAAGGGAAGCCGAGCGGTAGGCAACCAATCAGCCAACTCAGCTCAGCCCGAGGCTTTTGCTAACACACGGCCATCGACTGCCAGGCGTCATGGCCCGGATGACAGCCCACAGTAGCTCCTTACAGATCCGCAGTGCCCGGGCGGCGAATGGGAAACGAGTCAAACATGGCGACTGCCCCGCACCTTTTCTGGCGAGTGGCAACATGGAACAGAAACTCCAAATTCCAAGGGTCAACCTGTACATGGCAAGGAGACCAGTCCTGGCGGTGGTGGCCCATAGCCACTTTCAGGCTGTCGCCTGGCATGCGCACTAGCCAGACGTTTTGATGTGCAGGCCATAAGCCCTGAGCCATAGGGCACAAAGCAAAGCGCGGCCGAGCGGCTGGTGTCGAAGATCAGCTTCAACCACTCCTGCTGGCTGGCTGCCGGCAAGCTTGAGCGGTGCTCAGCCACACGGGCTTCCAAACTCCTGGCTGGCAAGGCACTTCAGGCTTCGCGTTTTTGCCAACGAGGAAGGCCCCCCCCACGTGCAACCACGAGGAATGCCGAAACGCTGTGCTGCATTCAGCGCGAGCCATACGATGAAAGCCGGGTCATCTTCTCAAGCCCCCCGGCTTGAGTTTTCAGCACAGAAATCGCCGAACATCCCTACGCTCCCCCCTCTCCAGCCTCACATCCGGAACTCTGCGTCGCAAGCCCTCATCCTGCGAGGCCTCGGCATGCGTGCAGCCCCCACATCCCACATGCATTGCGACGACAGAACTCAGCTGATCCGCAATGGCCCTGTCCAAACAGGGCTCCCTACACTTCTCCTCTCTGAACATCACCCCATCCAGAGAAGGCGCCCTTTAAAGGGACCCAAATTGGGCATGATTGAAATCACCAAAAAGGAAATATGGCAAGGAAGGAGGTATCCGAGACCAGGGCTTCCGATGCGCGCACTGGCAGCGGCATGGAACGGCTCAGCTCCAGCGGTGGCTGCCCTGAGTCGAACAATCCAGGCGTTGAGCATCTTGGGCTGACGAACAATCCGTCCAAGGCGAACAAAGTTCTCAAGAGACGTGATGACGTTCCACAAGGTCCCAGAGTGGCAGGGGCCGCTCTCATTTGCTGTGAGGCATTAGAACGCCTCCTGGTTTTTCTCCGGAAAGAAGAGAGATGACAAACCAATCTACCAAGGCGAATCTCACATGCGATCAACGACAACACATCTGTAAAATTCTACGACATCAAGTAAGGGACCTACACCAAGTAGAGCTCGCGATAAAATAGGCACACTCCAACAGGCCACCATCGGTGAATAAAGCTGGACGAAGCCAACGCCCAACTCGCGTCCACCCAGCGCCTGAAGGGGAGCTGACGCTCAGACCCTTGGCGGCTCGCAGCTTCTCCTGCCTCATTGTGAAAGAGAGCTAACTGGGCAACGCATCGGCTGGAAGGTGATGCCTTCAAACCTCCCACGACGCTTTACAAAACTCGCACACGTCCAACAAGACAAACCAGCATGAAAATGAGTTAAGCTTGGACTCTACGGCATTGCCACGATGAGATTTCAAGCGAAACCACTGCCTTCAGGAAAGAAGGTGACTGAGCACCAGAAGCCTAGCCAAACCATCCGGCGGAGAACCCTCGGAACAAAACTAACTGACAATGGTTCGGAGACCCTGGATGGGCTCTGACAAACGGTTTCCAGCTGGCACCAAAGGACAATCCCGCACGCATCGGATTTGCTTGAACCAATTTAGGGTCACCCAACGTCCATGTGAAGCTTAGCGAAACACTGCTCCAAGGAGAAAGCCCTGCTGCCTCAAGAGAAAGAACCTTCGAAAGGGTTCCACGCCAGGCCCCCTAGCCAAGTCATGTGTGACCAGTGGGGATGCCGCTCCGCAGCCGCCATGCGCTGTTCGCAGGGCAGCTTGTACAAGGCGTTGCGGCATTGGGCCTGGCCAAACTTGCCAGCTAACCGCACATGCTTGTTACCCACACACAGGGAGCCCCAATTGCCGGCACTTGGGCGGAAAAGGGAGAAACAAAAAAAACATCTTGGTGGCACCTTCCCCCGCCCCCCCTAGGACCCATAGGAAAATTCACCCCAGGAACATTCAAATCCCCCGACCACTGGTCCCTTCGCCGACCGGTTCCGGACGCGTTCGCGGATCGCCTCTTCCAGGTCCACAGCCTGGTTCATCGCATCGTGCGGGGTCCCGGCATCGCAACCGCGGTCAGCCCGCTGCGGCCATGGGGGGTTTTCCGGGGGGGGGGGGGAGAGGAGTGAGGAGTTATCGGTTTTTTGTTTGTTGCTATCTTTTCCTTTGAGGGTGTCATTGTTTTCTGGATTTTGCTGGCCCTTTCTTTTGGGGAAGAGGAGTCGTGTTCGTTAATCGCTGGATTTTTGTCGAGGAGTTGTCGGTATGTTGTGCTGTGCTGTTTGGCAATCACTCTGGCTTTGCTGCTTTTTTCACATGTCTGGTGGGTTGGCTGATTTTGTCGACTGCATTTTGTGCATCGATGAGTTGGCACTTTTGCCTGAAGGCCGATATCCCCTGTTTGTCATTACGGGGGACACACGGGTGTCTCTTTCAGGGCCGAAGCGAGCTCGGGCCAAAGCACCTCTTCCAAGCCCACGGCTGAACGTGACGCGAAAGGTGCTGGCAAGCTGCTGGCGCATGTTGCAACGCAAAACCCGACCTGTAACCCCCAAACCCGCCAAGCCGCCATCCAACCAAATCATACGGGAACTTTGCTCAACTTCTGTGGGCTTTGGGTGAACCTTGTGGCAGGCAAGCTGGGCCCTCCACGCGCCGCAAATCCAAAGCCACGGCCGCTGGGAATCCGGCCTGGGCGTCAATAAAGCGCACGGCGGATCTGGGCCGGGCAGCAAAACAGATCCAAAAGATCCTCTCAAGTGACAGCAGCTTGTGCGAAAGAAAACTTGACGTCCGGCTCAGGACGAGTCAACTGCACCAAGAGTTCCAGGCCAAGGTTCCCTGGGTGGCTGAAGCCAGCTCAGGCCCCAGCCAGGCTGGCCAGGAAGCGCTCAAAGTTTGCGCTGGTGTTATGCGCGCCACCCACACCAAGTCGCGCCACCTGGCATGAGGAGGCTCTGGGGGGCATGAGGCTTGGGGGGCGGGGGGTCAAAACACAGGCTTCTAACAGCAGGGTAAACCATGGAGTAAGGCTTGTTTGAAGATGCCGGACCTCACTGAACAAACCACTGGCTCCCCAAAACAGCTCATTCGCCGCCCAGTCCACGAAAGCCTTCCATGTTCATGCGATACTCCAGGGCCCACTTCCCAGTCAATCCAGCTACCCTCTTTCCAATGCTGAAAGCAAACCAGGGGCCTTTTCAAGAGGATGGTAATCAAAACCTTGTCAGCTTCCAGGTTTGTTGACCAGGTATGCCTACTTGGACCGAGAGAGCGCACATTGTAGGCGATGGCATCGGACAGTTGCTCGAAAATGAAGCCAAGCCTCGGCTTGCAACAGCTCAGAATCTGAACTGGAGAATGTCCATCCTCTGGCTGAGGTCTGGCAAAGTCAAGAGGGATGTTGACCGAGGCTATAAGGAGCTGGGCCCCCAGCAGCTGAAGCAATGTATCAGCCTGGAGCTGACCAGCTGAAGCAAACTCCCAGCAGACCTACTTAGAAGTAGGAAAGGGACCCCGGTCAGCATTCCTGTCACCAAACGGGGCCAAGCCCTCTTTTAGCTACCAGTCTCCCCCCGCACCCCGCCCAGCAAACCCAAAGGATGGATGAGACGGTGGATGGACAAAAACCACTTCGCACCAGTTGGTAGGTGATTAGCTTGTCCCAGTGTGTCTATCCTTTTTGCTTCCCTCGAAACCTGCCTGCAAAGGGTCTCAAAAAAAGAGCGGGGCTTCAAACCCCCGGAACTCGGCTCGCCAAAACCTCCGAGCCGCCACGCTGCTGCCACTGCAACCGGAGCGAGGCCTTGCCCGCCTCAGCTGCCAGAACGTGCGGAGGACACTGCTGGGGGGCTCGTCGCCTTTTGAGGGAACTCCGTTCTTGTGAGTTTTAAAGGGCAAAGGGAAAAGCAACGGGAAAACCCACCCATATTGGGGTCCCCTGAAACAAAAAGCGTTTCTACTTTAGCACATATCTGCAACAATGTTTGGGGGGAAACGGGGGACACTCGCGGATCCAACCAAAAGGACAGATGGACCATCATCGTCACAGCTCGTTTTGCCCGCGACTGATGGCACAAAATGGGCAGAAATTGCACCAGCGACCTTGAACCGAAGACAGGCTCCAAGTGCTTGGCTTGCCTGATCGATGCTTCCGGCCACTGCCTCAGTCATGCCATGTTTCCAGCTGCTCTTCGTGGCTTCAGGTGCTGTCAAAGCCAGTGCTCAAAGACTACAGTCAGACTAAATAAGGGATCTTGGGCGACTGGAGAATCCTCACTTCTCTTGGAGGGTCTTTGACACGTCTTGGGTCTTGGGGCTGCGCCAAACTCGAATTGCGAAGGCCCAGCGAAGGCCTTTCTCAGGCAAAGGCAGCCAGGTGTTGCTCCACACCCTGCCATGGGCTTAGAATGGAACAGTGCATTGTGCAGCTTCTGCGAAGCCCCCCCCCCGGCCCCGCATGAATGATGCATCCAAGCCCCTCTTGGAGGAAGCCCCCTCTACCCACGCCGCTCTGCCCCGCCAACCCCACCCCCCACCCACCAACTCCGCCTCGAGCAGGCTACCGTCCCCAAAGGCATTGAGGTCGCGCAACAGAGAGCCCAGCTCCAGCAGCAGCTGCTGCAGCCTCTCCGTTCCAACTTTCTCCCCGGAGCGGCACTCCAAACCCACAAACAGCAGTCAGGTCAGGCAGCAGCAATGCGTACTCCCACCCGTCTCCAGCCCGGTCTGCCCCACCCACCTGAGCAAGCCCTCCTGCTGTGCCCCACTCCCCGCGTTTTCGGACTTCCAGCCTGGAAATAGGGCTCACGTCGAGCTCCTGCCACGGCCGGCATGCCATGAAGGGGAGCACCCAAGCTCCCAACCTCGCCGCAAATGTTCGCGACGGCCGCCCGCTGCAAACTGTCCAGTACCGCCAGCACACCTTCACCTGAGCTGATCGCTTTGCTCTGCATCTTTTCGGGGCGCACACTTGAGCCTGCGAGCACTCGACCCTCGCGCCAACCCTTAGATGCCCTTTGGGCACCGACAGAACAAAGCCAGGCGATGTCTGGCGGCGTAGCCGCTGAAGCGCTGATAAACCTGAGAAGGCAGTCAGGCAGCCCAGTGACGAAAGGCACCCAATCAACCAG